GTGTCACCCTCCGCCGGGTTTCTGCTTGTATCATCCGATTGATGCCAGTGGCAGTATATAATGTGTGTTTGAGAATAACGTTAGCGTTAGATGATGTCTTACTAAGAAGAGTAAGAAAAAAAAAAAGACTCAATTCCTCGTTTTGTGTCTTCATGTCCAGCAGTTGTGCGTTGTTCACATGGGTTAAGGTATGGTGAGTTGTGTCATCGTCCGCGAACAGTGGCTTAGGTAGCTTACAGTGGCTTACAGTAGCGCCAATTGCCACAGTTTGATCGACCAGCCGGATTGGGCATGACCGAAAGAAATACCAGCCAATCAGAGAGCGGAGCGCTTGGAACGGTAGTTGTGCTGGGAATGCTACTTGCGGTGGGAATGCTAGTTGACATATCAACGGCAGATTGTATCCCTGGAATGCGAAGTATCATACCCGCCTGGTGCATTTTCCCATTACGGTATTTATCGGATTGGCCGACCTTTGCATGTTCATCGTAACAGTAATTATTTCCAATGCAAACATAATTAGTTGTGGGAGCGGAATTTTCTAAACAGTGACTCTAAGCTAATAGAATAACGGGCCTCCATGACCATGTAGCGATGTGCTTTCGAGATCCCTCGTGGCTGCTGATCGTCGTTGGCCTTGTAGTTATCAGCAACACATATATTGTACCGAGGGGTTATCTCGAGGCATTTTTTGGTGGGTGATCCGCCGGAGGGACCCGCAAATGATGGCCCCCTCAAAAATCCCACTTTTACCTTACAGGGTGGCCTGGCGGCCGCGTAAAAAAGGAATAAAAAAAAGAGACGCGTTGTAAGCTTGGGATGCCGGTCCACGAAGTTTGTTTGCCTATCGGGGTCCGACGTATAACGCGTCGCGTGCCGCGCGAAGACGAACGGCCATTTCTTGGATGTTAGAGAGCCGGGGCTGAAATCCTCGCGCATCATGGTCTAGTACCATCTCGAGAAAAACATTTTCCTGAACCAACAACAACATCACGCTTCAGTTAGTGATGACTCCCGGATTGCCAAACCAGGCAAGGGGCAGGAGGAACACCCTGACAACACCATCTTGTGCCGCGCCCCCGCGTCAACCTCATGCCACACTAAGCGAGCGATCAGCCGCAGAATCGGTGGGGGGCCGGCCAAAAACCTGGAGACTCTGATCATCTGTGTCTCGGTTCAGGCATTCTTTGAATGCTCCATTACTTTAGGTAATGACCAGGCCGGCTGAACCGGCCACTTCGCAGCCCCTCAAAAGGGACGCGATAGGCACTGTGAGGCTCAGCGGTGTTTGTTGCGCTGCGCCCAACCGGCCTATCGGGACTGCGGCGCTGAGCTGCCAAAAGTCAAGCGCCGGCCCCCGGTGCCCCGGCGGGGACGATCAATTGTCGACTGCAGATGACAAGTGTGAGAGAGAGAGATCGGAGAGACCGAGGCAGTGGCGGCGAACGACTCGAAAACAATGGAGTCTGAGGCAGTTTCGAGATTTATAAACTTATTGCTAACATGCAGTGGCCTCCTCCGGGTTGCAATCTTTGCCGGCTGTCTCAGAGGATGAGCAACAAGTTAAATGGCATGTCGGGACTTGCAGAGAAGATTCGCAGAACATTCTCCCGCTTCACATTCAGGCAGGCGCTTCGTTTGCAATTCCAGGGGTCACACTGTTAATCACCTGCGATGTGCATGCATCCCCGTTGTTGAGGTAGGGCTGCCAGTGGCGAGCTGAACAAATCAACCCCTGACTGAGGGCAAGTCGAACTCCCCGGCCCGTGACCATTCAACCCAGAGAAGCAACCCCTCTTCAAATTCAAGCTCCGACTGACAATGCTGAGCAATCTGTAGTGTCGTTTCACTGTCGAAATGGAAAATCCACACCCAATTTTTACCACCCTATTCCCCATCAGACCCATCCAATCGGCCACCGTATGCGGCCCTTTGGCCCTTGGCCTGGAGCACTGCCGAGTCTGCCGGATAGACTCCTGGTAATCGGAAGCAGTACGCCGCCGCCCAGCATGACGACCGCCCTCGCGGCCCAGCAAGTCCTCCTCCTGCCGGCTACACTTCCAGAGACCGAGCATCAGACTGAAGTTGAGCCACTTCAGATGGAGACACTTCAGATGAAACGGTGCAGGAGGCGCTGTAATAGCTTGGGTTGTTGCACTAGACTAGGTAATTGGATGCGGCACGGATGGTGGCCTGTAGGCCGTAGACGACATGAGACGGCCCTGAGTTCGATATATTCTCCAACCGCGACCTTAACGCAAATGGCGCGGTTGAGATGCTAGTTTCTCGCTTGGTTAATTCGTGCGTTGTACGATGGAGGTGATGTGATCTGTGCCGCTCGTCTGGGTGATTGTGTTACAGGTGTGATACACTTGCCGTTTTTGTTGACCAAGGTATTGGCGAAGGTATCGCCAACCCTCGACTACTGCGGTAATCAACGTTGGTGACGGTCCAAGGCAATGGAGGCTCGTTAAGTTGCTTCTGTCGGAACGAAGCCGCCTTGATGGCTGCATTCAACGGACCTCGGTGGTTGATTGGTGCCAGCACTGCAACCCCTCTCCCTTACCTACCTTACTTAGTCCTCTCCCATGCCCATCAACAGCATGGTCAATCAAGCACTTTACCACCTTTCAACTCAATTCACTGCTTTGACTCGGAATAGCTTCTTCCAAGGCATATCTCAGCGGTCATCGCCCTGCAGGTTCCAACAGCTTCAACTCATTGTTCTGGTCTGGTGCCAACAGACTGTCAAGTGAAATGATCTGTCGCCGATGGAGCCAGCTGCAGCGTCTCCAATGAAAGCGGGAACATACCTGGTAGGAAGTAATTAGGAGACGAGTGATTTACGGACAGTGAAGCGAATGAACTGTTTCTCAAGGCTGCAAAATCTACAAGGAAGCTTGTTCAGCAATCTGTAGGTCCAGTGACTCTAGCCACTGCTTTGCTGGTATCGCTCAGCTGATTCCGGTAACGTTACGACCTTTGATTGGTACTGTAATTGACTTTCGACTGCAGTTTCGACAAGCAATGGCTGCCTAACGTTGCACAAAGGGCTGCTCTACGTTTCTTTAGCCCCAGATCGCAACCTCTCTGTCCATCTCTTCAACTCTCGCCCACACTCGTTACAAATGCTGTTGCCCTATCATCCCTATTATTTAGTCCAGAGTCATGATGGCCTCAATCCTGTCTGCCAAAACCGGCATCCTGGCAAAGGCCATGCAGGATCGGCTCGGTCATGATGGCCCCGGCGAATGCATCACATCCATCCGCTGCAACGGCAGGGAGTTCCATATTGGAATGTCGCCCTTCTTCATCTGCAATTCGCCTGCTGTCGAGTCCCGTTATCGCAAATATATCGCCGCTGTCAGAGACGGGTGGGAAGGATTCAACGCACAGGAAGGCGAGCATCCGGAAGACCTGATGGACTGCTTCCATGCGTGGCTCATCATTGCCTTCGAGCCTGTCTTTCTGGACGTTGCTCCGGATGTCCCGCCGTTCTCTGACCCCGCAAAGATCGCAGCGGGGGAGGCCCACCCACTTCTTCCCGAGTACTTCTTCCCGGAAGAGTACCGCTGCCGGCTGGAGGTACACAACGACCAGCCGTTCCCGATCCTCATGAGAGACGAGGAGAGCCGCTGAATTCCGGAACTAAACGACATTGAGCCTGAGCTTGCCAAACAATTAAAGCAATACGTCAAGTTCTTCTATCCCCATGAAGTCGAGGTCTCGTTTGAGAAGCCCGACTACGCCCTATCCGAGATGCCGACACGGGCGTTGGTCGAGCTGGACGATTCAGGCTCCAAGACGCTTTGCTTCTTGAAGGCCTTCGCGCTATTTGTACCCGACTCTTCAGTAAGGCTTGAAAGGGAGCTCGAAGCCCATCCCCGGATCCTCAAGTCTTCCTTGGCGCACGACGCGCGCATTGTTCGTCTTTGCGCGGTCGTATCGGTAGAAGAAGATTGTCGAATCCTGGGCCTGCTGCTCACGTACATTGACCGCCGCCGCGAAAATGACGGGCTCTTGCTCGAGGACCACCTGCTCCACACGCCCATTCCGCTCCGACAGCGCTGGGCGAAACAGATTCAAGAGACGGTCGAGCAACTCCATGGCGCGGGTCTTGTCTGGGGCGATGCCAAAGTGGAGAACGAACTGATTGACAAGGACGATGACGTTTGGCCGATTGGCTTTGGCGGCGGCTATACAGACGGATGGGTTGAGGAGGACAAGACCGGCGCTTTAGAAGGGGATTTGTAGGGGGTAGCCAAGGTTGTTGAACATCTCTCCAACGAAGAGTACGAGCCGTACCCTGACTCTGATGATTCGGACGAGGATGTGTAAGTCAAGATGTTGCTCGCCGGTACCAACTACATGAATTGTATCCGCAAATCCGCCAGTCCTGTTCTCTGTGATCTCTCTGGTCATGGGGGTTGATGTTATTAGAAGCTGTCCTTTTTTTTCTTTGAGTTACTTATCATTAAGGTTTAACTTCAGTCGACAGTCGTTTAGTTAACAGTTGAATCAACATCCTACCTTATCTACTGCCATACTCGTTAAAACGGTAACTTAGAATGACTAAAGGGAAGGTGTAATAGTATCGGCGTATTCAGTGCGGTCTAGTGCGTAACTAGAGGAGAGATCAATATGTAGCACCTAAGGTACATTTGTCGCTCCTAGTTTTATCGTGACGGGGCACAGGAACTGAGCTTGTGTGTCCTCTACTATGGTGTGGTTACACGAGGAACCAAACTGTGGGCAGGTCGTGTTGAACTGAACTGGCTCCTTGGCACCTGGATTCAGGGGCTGGGCACGGTTGCCCAATGCAGTAAGCGTGGAAGACTCGTCACCCACCCAAAAGCAGGGTCTGGCGAGGGTTGTTCTGCAAACAACCGATGTTCCTTTCACCCTTACCACAAATTTGCGTTACTAATAACTTTAATTTTAATGTTAGTATTCCATACTAATTGGGGGGCTGGCGCAACGGTAGCGCGTTCGACTCCAGTTACTGAGTAATCGAAAGGTTATCCGTTCAAATCGGGTGCTCCTCAATTTTTTGGTGGTTTTTTCCATATCCTTGGATATAACCTTGAGCTAGTCCCCAGTTTTTCCACAGCTGAATTCCCTTCACCTCCCCACCCAGAGAATTCTCATCTGTTCAGATGAAAGACCAAGCACAGGGCTAATACTGTATGATCTGTAACAGCACATTTTCTTCTTTTGCCCTCTGTTTCCTATTAGGAGGTCATAACACTTCTGAACTTATTCAGGATGGCTCGGTCTTATAACGGGAGTTAACCTCTTCTCACTCATAACCAAGAGTCAGAAATTAACGTGCATTATCAGTGAGTGGCCTACTTCCTACGCCACGCGACACCTCTGCTCCTAACAACAAATTTCCTCTACTACCCTTGAAAATGCCACCTACTTTAAAAGAAGGCCAAGTATTCTTGGCCCTTCAAGCTCTTCAATTGACAAGAATCTTGTTGGATTTGGCAGGTGGTCAGAGAGGGCAGTTCAGGGGTGACTAATGGCTTGGCACCAGGATTCTCAGGATCAGGAACAGGCAGGGAACTTCTGGAAGAACACAGACAGGAACATCATCATCAATTGAGTAGTTGCCCATCTTTTTGGTACCCAATTACTACGGTGCGGCACATTCGTGGCTGTGGCTTTCCAACAAGTCTAAGCGGGCGAACCCCAGTTTTGATTTATGGGGTCTCACGTAAGACTCTAGCACGCCGACGCGCCGGCAAGCCTGCACGATGCGGCATTACTCCCAAGGTGAAGAAGCTCACTCATTTAGAAGAGTAGGCGATTGTTCGATATATAGTCGAGCTATATACGCGAGCTTTTCCCCCCAGATTGAGTGGTGTGGAAGATGTGGCCAACCAACTACTACGCGCACGCGACGCGTCTCCTGTTGGCAAGCTATGGGCGCATCGATTCGTTAAACGCCAGGTAGAGCACCGTACGTGTTTACGCGTAGATATGACTATCAGAGGGCTAAGTGCTAGGATCTAAAGTCACTGGCAAGTAGTTTACGCTCGTATGGAACACTAAGGCCAGTACAGCATTATCGTGACGATGTCTACAATTTCGACGAGACCGGGTTTATAATGGGCATAATCTGCGTGGGCATGGTGGTTACGACCTCGGATGGCCGTGGTAAGGCAAAGCTAGCGCAGCCTGGTAATCGCGAGTAGGCGACGGTTATCCAGGGAGTCAATGCCCTTTATTCCTACACCGCTGTGCCCTAGGGCGTGCCGGACCTTCAACGACTTTGTAATGATTAATAGCCAGCACGACATGTCGATAAAGGATAAGAAGCGATCTTTTAAGGAGCAGACAACAGTGTACCTTGTCGATCAGGTCTGATTCGAACGAACAAACTTTCGATAGCTAAGGTATGTAAATAGCTGGAGACCGGAGTCAACACACCCTCCCACCTCGATATGCCTTGGACACTGGCAGCTATTTTGTAGTTAGTGTTGAGCGATGGAACCAAATTGTAGCTTGACTACGTCTGTCTTCAACGATGAAGAGCTAAAACTACCTTAGCTACACGTCTTAGGTACCCAATATTATTTTAAGTGTTTTAGACGACGCGAACACAAGGGCAAGCACCCGAATACCTCAATTCCGTTTCATGTAAAGCCCGGGCACGACCCTTGCCCCGAGCAGACTCTAGGTACTACAGGGTAAGTAAGGAGGCCAAACATTCCCCGCAGTCGGGCCACAATACTGGTGCCGGGATATAATTCCTCGGATGGAGCTGACGAGCCGTGTTGCCCTATTCGGTAGCAGATGATAGCTTCGTGATTAACCAGATTGCTTTATCAAGGGAACAGCTTCAAATCAACGCCCTGCGTTCGCCACCAGTCCAGTACCGTATTTAGGCGCGGCGAACCCAATATCTCATGGAGCCACGCCAAGACCAATACTTTCTCGGTGTCATCATCGAGGTTATGACGGCACCAATGTGTTCCCAGTCATTGAAAAGGGCAAGTGGTTCTATGCCAGTGTAGAATCATGGTGCAGGTCACAACACTCCTCTACTTCAATCGTTCACATCCCGGAAAACCCAGCTATTGCCGCCATGTTCCTCCTCCTGCCCCTTCTGGTCCCCCTGGCCAACAGTGCCGTCATCACCAGCCGGCAGAGCGTATCCCAAGTCGTCCGGCTCAACTCAATCGAAAATGTCGCGGTCCGCTCCAACGGCCAGATCCTGGCCACCAACATGAACACTGCCACGCTCTACGCCATCGACCCCGTGGCCAAGACGTCCATCACCGCCCTCACTGTCACGGGTGCAACGGGCCTCTCAGGCATCGGCGAGTACGCACCGGACGTCTTCGCCGTTATCGGCGGCAAGGGCATCTACAAAATCGATTTCACCAGCACGCCCCCCAAATCCTCCCTAATCCGCACCATCACCGAAGCAAACAACCTCAACGGCCTGGCCGTGTTCGACAACTCATCTGTGCTCATCGCCGACGCCGGAAAGGGCGCCGTATACAAGTTCGACGTCAACACGGGCGCCTACGCCGTGGTGTTGCAGGACGCGGCGACCATGGCGCCCACGGGCGGCATCCCGTTCGGCATCGACGGCATCAAGTACCGCGACGGCGTGGTGTGGTACACCAACATCTTCAAAAACAGCTTCCACAGGGTCAGCGTCGACCCGGCCACGGCCCGGGCCACGGGCGCCTTCGCCACACTGTGGACCAATCTCATGGGCGATGATTTGTGCTTTGGGCCCAACGGCAAGATCTATGTCGCGACCAACGGCAGGAACTCGCTCGTCGAGGTCGATCCGGCCGTCGGCAGGCCGACGAGCGTGGGGACCGTGACAGGTTCGACGTCGTGTGCGTTTGGAAGGACGGAGAGGGATGCGAACGTGGCGTATGTCGGGGCCGGGCAGGGCGTGTTTGCTGTGACGGTGAGGGTATAGGTGGAGCAGTCAAGGGAATGGACTGGAGGCACCAATCTTCTTCGTCGTGTCTCTGGGACATTGCAAGCTGAGTAGATGAGTGTCGCGGTTGCTAATCACGGCAAACTGGCTGTCCCGAATTCCCACCTTTGCCCGCTTGTGATGTTCAGATCCCCTTCCGTGCTCGAAAACAGGTGAGATGGGCATGATCCAGGGGATAGAGAAGCAAAAAAGAAATGCGAGGCGAAGAACCATAAGGATACTGCCTTTGAGGAGTGAAGGAAGGTGCTTTGGACGGGCTGGGAATCGAACCCAGGACCTTTCGCATACACGTACCATGTCACGGAGCTGTTGCACAATGACCGTACAAGATGCTAAGCGAACGCTCTACCAACTGAGCCACACGCCCATCGAACAATTGGTTTTGCGGCATGAGTTTGCGGTATTTAACCTCTTCATAATGCCGGTGGAGTGGGAAAAAGTTCGGGGGGGTTGAAGTGGAGCCGCAGCGAAAAGGGGCGCCGAGACGGGTTGGACGGTGAACCCCTGAGCCTGGTATTCAGGGGATGAAAAGATTTTCTTTTCGAAGGGGAGGGAATGATTCGGGTCTGGAACCGCTGATCTCAGGTCGAACGACTCTTCGCCATGCAAACGACCTTGTGCCAATGAGCTGAGTGATAGCTGGATCAGGGCTGCGAGGCAGTTATCTTAGCTTGGACTGTGTGTCTAGTGACGCCTCTGAAATGGCGGAACTCGATGGTAGTGGATGAATCAAGGCGGCTTTCATATTTGGGCATCAACCTGGTTTGATTTTACTGGCGTGATTTGAATCTGTGAAAAAAGGAACAAATGAAAATGAAAAGGACGGAAAAATTAAGAAAACGAGTAAAGGTGAAGAACAAAGCGAGAAGGAGAGACGGAAAAGGCAGAGTATGAAGAGAGCAACATGGATAACGTTAGAGCCGAAGTAGGATGGCCATGGCCACACACACGACCGACTTGAATGGCAACTTGGGACACCGTTTCATGGAGACCGCATCCCACTCGGGTTTCGCAGATTCTTCGGTAGGTCTGAGACTCCGCTTCCATCATCCAAATTGTTAACCCAAAATCATCGAAATGCCCTTGTCGGGTCGAGGCAAACGGTCGGCATTGGTGTGTATGGGCACAAGTACGGCATCTTGCTCCCTTTGTCGAGATTGGCCTTCTGTCGTTGGTCGAAATATCAGAAGGTCGGACTCAGAGTTGGCCGTAAACTTGCTGAGCTGAGTAGGGCTGGCAAGCCTGAGAGGCAAGAGTGCGGATGTGGGAGGAGCTGGCTTGGAACGGTGGAAGGAGTGGTTCGCACTCAAGAGCTGAAGAAAACAGGACCTGCCTCCCCAAGTTGGAACACATCACATGAAAGCGAGACACTAACTTGAAGTCAAATTGGTCGGCTCTCCTCTTGTTTCTCTTCCTCTTCCTTTCTCCAACCATCGGCCAACGCAAGCGTAAGTATCCCTACAAGTTTGCACCACGAATGCGCTGATACTTCGGTCGCGGAGCTGCTGCCTTGAGCGAAGTTACGCTTAGGTTCCTTACAGAGAAACAAATCCAAGTTCACACTCTCCGTAAGTCGCTTTCTAGTCGCTTTTGTTCAAGCTCGCCGTTCATGGCACAGCATTAAGCGTCTTCCTTGAATCTTGCACAGCGTTCCATTACTTCCGGTCAGTTGAGCAACCGTTCGGCCTTAAGTGCTGCCGCTGAGTCTATGCTTCATTCTCGACGGGAGTACAGCAGCCTATGTCGTCGTTGCTAACATGAACGCTCCCGCGCTTTGTTTCAACTGCAATGCTTGTTCAATGCGGGCCTTCCAACGGGCAAAGTGGGAGCACCATAGCCGGCTTATCGACTCATGTTTTCGTTGTTTGGGCTTCTTGCTATTCTTTGCCTTTCAGCGATGTCCTGGTATCTCCGATGCTCAGTTTTCCTTGTTGCCGCGTGCTTCGCATTCTTCCTGTTTGGTGTTAAATACCGCAAAAATTCGATACTCGTCCTCGGCACATTGCCGCTTTTCGATGTGACGTTTCACTGATTTAACATGACCTTGACAGACAATGCCTTCAAAAAAGACCGCCCCCGGCCTGGCAGTCCCGCCGCCTCCCCAATTGGTACGAACTCGAGGGCACACACACTCGAGAGATCTATCGGATGGTTAATCGCTGCATACCTTAGTCACGATGACCCTTGGGGACGGCCGGGTCCTCTCAATCACGGGAGGGTCTCAGTCTCGCCAAGCTGGCTGGCCCCCCCCCCCAACACCCAAGAGAGTTACTGTAGCTATTGAGGTGCTCGACTGTTTACCTACCTAGTCAAGGTTACTGACGGTGTCAGAGCGCAACCGCCGAGGACGACAATGAGGACGAGGGAAAGGTGAGCATGGTACTCATCCTTTCGTTGCGTGACAGTCTGCTAACACTTAGATGAATGGCCCCATAAAAGACGAAGAAGCGCATGGCAAGGCATTCGTGACTGTTCCCGCGCCCTGTCGATGAGTACAGTACTAACGTTGGGTTAGGGGAAGAAACAGGTCACTTCCCCTGACATTGAGCAGGCCGGGGCCCATAAGAAAAAGAAGGAGAAGGAAGAGAAAGACAAAGAGAAAGGAGGAGGAGAAGGAGGATAAAGAGAAGGAGGTGGAGAAGAGTGAGGAGAATAGGGAGGAAGAGGAGGTGAATGAGGTGAAGGTGAAAAAGGTAAAGGAGGAGGAGATTGAGGAGTAAAGTCCTATTTTCACATTGCTGAAATTTACCTCTTGTTATCTCTTAGAACCGTAGCATTGCTCTTCTGACGTGGTTAGCTAAGTTGGCTGGTTATTGACAACTCAATTCCCAGCTTGGGTTAGGTACTTTACATGAATGACCGGACAGTGTTTGTCTCGGGAAGCTGAGCTACAGAAGACCGCGTTGGCAGTCAACAATGAACGATGGGTGTCTGACCATGCTCTTTGGGGTCAAGATATCTTCAGGCAGCCAGTCAGTGCACAGGTGACGATGTAGCGGCACGTTCGCAGCCGGGTTTTCCTTGGGCGAATACAAAGCAGTTTTCTTGAAACTTGAAAGCCACGGTTTTTATCATACCAGGACCAAGGCCGGGCTAGGGGCTAGCCAACCTTTCCACTTCCCTCCCTACCCAACAAACTTGAACAAACCCAACCGGGCTCACGAGCCTCTAAGATGACGGCTCCCCTCCTGACGGATCGACGAAAAGCTCACCCAGGGCAACTCCGAACTCAAACGACCCACAAAGCCGGTCCTCTACAAGCGGCAGTGAATAATAAGTTCAAGTTATAAACCCAAGGGGAGTTCGCATTCGCTTCGAGCCTGAGCTATAGCTGACCTTTCCCGTCTGCGCCCGGGAAAGCACCCAGCCCTTGCCCAGTTGCTGCCCACTGCCGTCTCGGCTATGCATGGAAGATTCTGCCAAAAACCTCGCTCGCAAGCTCCACCGAGAAAGGAAAGGTCCAAACGGTTTCACGTTTTGACTCTATGAATTTCCGGGAAAGCTTGACGGCTTCCACACCGGAGGCTGATCCCGGCGCTGCCGTCAATCTGTGACATGGATGGGCACAGGGGAAAACCTGGAGACCTTCTCAGCACCCAAACAGGAAACCGATCGGCCGAAGTCGGATATGGCAGATGGCGGACGTGTTGCCATCATAGGATTATCGAGATGAGAGAACCTGAAAGGAGAGTCCTTGGCGAAGGTGGCGGCTCGCCGTCGCATGACTACCCATGTCGTCTGCCAACACCGAGATCCCGACATCGCAGGAATAACGCAGCTTTAATCGACCGGTGGCCTCAACTTTCGACAACACAAAAGGGTCGTGGATCGCGGGTACTGGGAAGCTGGGAGTATCCGTTGCGGCAGGAAAGTTCGGCCCTTGAAAAAGGGCTTGTCGCTCCCCGGCTGCCAGGAGTTCAGATGAATACCAGCAACAAAAGCAAAAGTAGGAACAAACATCACTAGGCCGGATAAGGCGATGTTTATAGTTCCAAGTCGTTATGTACACCAAAATGGCAACTGTGTCGCCACAAAACTTCGCTCGCCCAACCGTAGCCAACAACGCCAGCCTCAAAGCATCCAAGACTTTAACAGGAGCCCAACAAAAGGGAAGGTAGAAAAGAGAATAACTCGAGGAAAGAACGCTCTCCCAATGCACCAGCGCCGACCCAAGTGGTATTTATACAGTAATCGCCATCGAAAACCACACAAAGGGAAGAACCAGTAAACAACGACGAAAGACAAGCCTCAAGCAAGCAAAGCCGAAGTCTGAAACGTCATCGAGGTCCCCATCCCTATCCCACCGCTCCCGCCACCACCCCCCGCCCGATAATCGTGCGCCTCATGTTGCCCCTGGCAATGATGGTATTCATGCTCCAACCCATCCACATAGCCCGGGCCGTGGTGGGCCACCGACCTCGTGAGCAGGTGCAGACCACGGCACTGGCTCGCAACCCCTTGCCTGACCAGGTTACTGATGGACCTCTCGCTGCCGTCAAACACATCATACGGAAAAATGACGGACCGCTCGCTGACGAGCTTGCTCTGGTCGAACGCCCCATGCTCGAGCAGCAGCACGGCACACCTCAGATAGCGCGCCTCCATGTGGATGTCCGACCGGACGTCAGTGCGCTGGATGGCGAACTTGACGAGCTGCAGGGGGGTATTGCCGCAGTTGTTGAACACGTTGACTGACGCGCCCTTGGCGCAGAGGAACTGCACGGCCGGGACGAGGCCGAACTCGGCGGCGTAGTGCAATGCCGTGTTGCCCTCGGTGTCGCGCTTGCCGAGGTAGCCCTTCATATCGAAGTCGGTCTGCTGCTTCGCGGCCGACTCGAAGATGCCCTCGAGCTTGGCGGTGAGCTCGGCGTCCGACAGGCCCCTGCCTGTGGCGGCGCGGCGGAACAGTTTCATGACGGGGGTACGCCGGACCTTGTGGGCGTTGCTTTCGTTGGGGTCGAGGGGGAGATTGAGGGTCGGGACTTCGGAAGGGTGGATGGAGGCAAGGCTGTCGGAGCCGATGGTTGATGTGTCGGCCGTGGAAGGGGTTCTGCCCTCGGAGAACTCGGGGAGGTAGCGGCGGATGAACTCGACTTCGTCGCCAAAAATGCGGTGGAGTTTCGGCGCCGACTTTTCCAGGTTCGTCCGGACGCTGTGCCATAACCGCTCGCCGTTGGCCGACTTGTTCGCCACCAGGAACCGGGCGGCCCCATGTCCAACTTCCCGAAATACATAGTACAGCGTCTCGATGGGGAACGCCTTCTTGGCAACGAGGTGATGCAGGAACGTGTGCTTGTCGACGTCCCGGTGGCAGAAGTCGAAGTGGCGGGTCCGCAAAGTCCGGATGAGGTTGAGGAAGGACACCGGCCTCATGGGCGGATTCTCTGGCGGGTCGAAGACATGGAGGAAGGTCTCGCCACGGTGGTTGACGATCTGGACGTCATCAGTGCGTTTGAGAATCATGAGCAGGATGGAGACGCGGGCGCCCCATCTCGCGGCCACGTGGAGCAGCGAGTTGCCGTACTTGTCCACCATGTTGGCCTCTTCCTCGGTCACACGGAAGTTGTTGTAATCGTCGTCATCCCGATGCTGAGCTTCGATTGCCCGCGATAACCGTTCGTGAACACAACCAGGCTGTCCGCGGCTGACATGGGCGGCACAGCACATGCGGACCAGCGCGGTGTTGAGTTCCTCTGTGGTAGGATTGACGCTGGAGAACTTGGACTTGAACAGCCCGCCCATAGCCGTTTCGGCCTTGCCTTTGCCAGCCTTGCGGGGCTTCTCCTGGAGCATGGCCAGAAACTCTTCCCGCGTCATCTTGCTAAGGGCCGTGTTGGCGCCGGACGCGTTCACGTTGACGCCCTTGGAAGACGCTGACGAGGATGAGCGGGCCAAGCTGGATATCCCAGACGAGATGCTCGAGAGAACCGAGGCCCATGACCTACGCTTGGCCGATTTTGTGGACGGGGTCGTGGAGGGGGCTCGGGATGGTGACTTGTCCCGGCGATATGTGTCGGAGGCGGAGGCGGTGCTGATGGCCAGAGGCGTCGATCCAGCAGACTCGGACTGCTTGACCGTGGACGGGCTGTCGGTTGTTGGGCTCGGAGCGAAGGACGCAGGTTGAGTTTCGTTAGGCACTGGGGGCTGGTCGACCGACATGCGGCTCCCTAATTCTATCCTTTCGTGGGCAAAGCAATTTTGCGGCCGTGATTCGAGTCGCCGGCGGACTTTCATGTTCCTTATCCGCCGCTCCGCCCTCACCGACCTCAGGAATCGCACGCGGACGAGCATGGTTGCCAGGTCCCGCGGCCTCCAGTCGTCAATTCTGCGGTCCGGCAACAGGTTCTTCAGGTGTTTGTGCGAGTTGCGCTGCCTGCGGCCGTCTCGAGTCAATCAGTGAGTGTTGCGGCGACACGTGGGGATAAGGGGCGACGCCATCGACGCCGGTCGTGGGGAAGGGGGTTGCGCACCTTGGGTCGAACGAACCATCTCTGAGGCGCTCAAGGATGCGCACGAGGGGCAAGCGCTCGCTTTGGGTGCAAACATAAAGGCGCAGAAGCTTCTTCTGCTTACCAGGCGGCCATGGCTTCTCCCGTCTCCCCCGCCGGGGAGCAGGCGGTGATACAGCGGTGGTGGTGTCAGCCATGAGCTCCATGGTCAACGGATCTCAGTTCAGCCCGTCGGTCCGGCGTTCAAATGACGCTCGTTCGACTCGGCTAGGTTGGCGTCAAACAATTTCGGGAGTGGGCAGGGCTATGATGGGCTTCGGTAACTTGAGCCGGACGAGAGGCATTTGCTTTTTCCTTTCTCCTTCGCTCTCTCCTCGTCGGCGGGCAGCCATTCAAGAGTGTCGGGTCAATGACACAATCATCGCTGACGATTCTCGGCAGGTGCGTGGGAGCATGTCGGCATGGACGGCGGGCGGAGGATGAGGCTTTCGGGAGCGGCAGCCGTTTTAAGAGGTCACCACCGGGCAATACCACCAAACGGTGGTCTGGCTGCTGGTGTCTTTGGAGGGGACTGTCGCCTTCCCCAATCGGTTCTAGAAAGTGTCGGCGGCCAATGGCGGGGAGACAGGCAGGCCGGTCCAGTCCGCTCCCACTCGTTCCCACTCGCTAGCCCGGAACCAATCCCCAGACCCTGGGTCGCAATTTCCACCCACAGCAGAGCCCGTCCCGACAAGTGAAGACAAGGCCATTTTGATTCAGGACAGGGGCGCTTGTTACCTAACGTCAACGTTCATTAAGGTCCGAGCGGAAACTAACGTTGAGTTATTATTAGAGCTGGGCTAACATGCAATCAACAAGAGGGAATCGAAAATCGTAAGGATGAGTGAGGATTGCAAGCACGGCGAACCTTTGTTGAGTGCTCGTCAAGAAATGGAGGGGTCAACTGCCGGAATCTCAGCCGGGTGTCTTGCAGCAGCCACTCAGGGCTGTCAAGGAAAGCAAAAGGGATCGAGACCATGTTGAGTGTATGAAACCAACGGATGGCCGGCGGTGGCTGCAGGAAAGCTGTTGCATTGCTGTTGTGTTGCAATTGCACAGTGTTGGTTCCGTATAGTAGCATCAGAAGCGGGAAGGGTTTTGGCAAGCATCTGTGATGAAGGAGAGCAGGGTGCGAGACGAAGGACAGCGGGCCAAGCCCCAATCCAGACAGCTGCTTGGCAGGTCCTCCGTCCGGATTGCAGCAACCATCCATTCAGAGGCCGCGATTGCATTGATGCGCCCCACTTTGTCCGAGCGCAACGCGATTCTTTCCAATGTTGGCTGCCAAAATTCCGTTTGGGTTTGGGCCAGTTCTCGGCAAACGGCCGCCATTTTGTGGTGCTCACATTCGAGCTGTGCAGCACACTGCAAGTTGGAAGAGTTGGGTTGTCTGTCGGGGATTTCTCTGACCCTCTTTTTCTGGGCGTCCGACATGCCATGTTCCAGAGTTCCCAACTCTTCGGCACAGCCCGATCTCCGGCCCAAAAGAAAGGAATCATTCCGATCGGTTGCTCTGAAGCGGCTCCCTTTATGTATATTACGGAGGTGACTCCATAAGGCATGGCTGTGGCCCTGGCCCTGAGAACGGAGCCAGCTGCCACTGACAGCTGACGGATGCCAAGAATCAGCTTGACATTTTGGAAACCATTCTCAGCGTGGAGGGTTGGCTACAGACATATATATAGAAGAAATGATTCCTACTCTGTTATGCAGTACATTATCGGCTCTCGCACCATTTCTGATTGCGATGGAGGCGAGCCGGCCGTATGAAATTCTGTCCTGGTCTCATCCGAGACTACACAATTCAGACTTGGACATGAAAAGCACCGATATCAGCCGCGATGACAGGATAGGTGAAGAGTGTGCGAACAGGCATCCACTGTGACGCACACATGGCGTGGTAAGTGTCTCGATGATGAGTGTAAACAACTCCTCAGATGTGAGAGCCCGGCTGCATTGGTACGGCGCGTCCTGGCCTCCATCACCCTACCTAGCGGGGGTGCAGACTGCGTACACAGAGAGTCCTGTCCCTTTGTCCCGGCGAAGAGCATTCCGACTCGCGAACTAGAAAGTACGTCCGCCGATGTCAGACACTGGATAGTTGGCAATGAGGCGATTACACTGACCAAGCGAAAGAGATGATCCGTCGCGAACTGTCAAATTTGGGATAACGTTCTTATCAGGTATGTTGGAAGGGGCTGCGTCGAATCGCCTTGTCGCTTGTGATGGTCACTTTCGGAACCCGACCGATGTCCAGCGGTTCCAGCTGAGCCTTGCGCCATGTTTGCCCAGATTTTCAGATACGAGCCAGGTCCACAGAGATTCGCAGAACCACGCAACACGTTATGGAATCAAGCATTAACCGTGTGAAATTTGGCGGATACGACCGGACTTGAGATTTCTCGACATGTCCTGACTCATGCTCATGAGGCAACCTTCAGGTACGCCAGAATTGCCACGGAATCAAAGGTGCATGAGCTGAGCAGTAAGCGTTTTTCGATATCTCTCCGAGTGCGCGATACCCCTGACCCAATCCGGTTTGTGTGCCAGCAAGCACCAATCGAGGCGGGCGGACGCCGCCACAGCCTGCCAGGGCTGGACGCAGCCGCAACAGTGGACTCCGGGTGGAGATGTCAAACGCGCTTTCCCTCGTGAGTCGTGACGATCGGTGGGCCCTTAATGCTCTGAAGCCGGCTCGCCGGGGCCCGGACCTCGTATCGGTTTTTCAGCGTTTGCTTTATAACCAGCTTTCGCTGTTTCTCGCGCTGCCTCTCTTCCTCTTGGCTTGGTCAAACCCACACTCATTTTCGTCGCTCGCTCGGTCGCTCAACGTCAAGTCTGACAACACACTCATTATTCGAAATCATTCGAAACACTCGTTAGTCGAAAATTTAATCCAACAACTCCAAACAAGAAAACCGCCAAAATGCGCGCCCAATTCGCTGTCCTCCTGGCCTTCGCCGCCCCGCTCTTCGCCATCTCCATCACGTCCCCCTCCAAGAACGACGTTGTCGACCTCGAGGCGGGCGTGACCGTCGAGTGGTCCACCGTCAGCAGCGACCCGACCAAGGCCCACCTCTTCCTGGTCAACATGGCCGCCGGCAACACCCCCTTCAGCAAAGACCTCGGCGAGGTGGATCTCTCGGCCGGCAGCAAGACCGTCACGGTGTCGGACGTGCCCGACGGCGAGGGGTACCAGTTCAACTTCCAGAGCGTCACGGCGCAGAACACGGGCATCCTCGCCCAGTCTGAGCAGTTCGAAGTCGAGGCTTCGGGCGAGGACGACGCCGAGTCCAGCACCTCGTCGTCGGCTTCCGCCTCGACCAGCGAGTCCGCCGAGACCGCCTCCAGGACTGCCTCTGCGTCGTCGAGCGGCTCCGCCTCCGCCACCGTCACCGAGACTGCCACCACCCTCAGCACCGTCTCGACCTCGGCCACCGGCTCCGCCGCCTCGGGCGCCGAGACCGCCTCCCGCACGGGCGCCGCCGCCTCCAGCACCAGCACCGGCGCCGCTGCCCCGACGGGCATCGCTGTCCAGGGCGGCAGCCTGCTTGCTCTGGTTGCTGGCCTCGCCGCTGTGCTTGCTTAAGTTCTTCCTTTGTGGAGCGTTCAGGAATGAATAACAACGTGGAGGTTGCAATGTATCTGATGAAGCGGTAATGGTAATCTAGGTGTTGGGTTGTATGTTGGAGCAACTGTGGTGTAAAAGCGCCGGAGCAGATTCGGATAGACGGTTGATGGAAAATAGAGGTTAATCCTTCGCCAACTGCGCTGTCAATAGTGTGAATATTCAGAGCCTGTGATTGTCACTAAGTAAACCCGGAAGGATGGTCTGCATGTTCGAAAGAGATAAACACGAATCTGATCCTGTTTACACCCATCCTGTCGCCCACTCGTTCCTACTACCTATTGGGAACGTTGGTACACAAAAATCCCTCCGCGACCCAACATTTAGTACACTTCGACTACGCACAACAATACTGCAGCATTAATCCCTACCCGTTTCCCCAATGCTTGACGCTCACGTCATCTCCATGAGATCTCTTTCCTCTCCGACGCGGTCAACCCCCACAGCTGCATTAGTGACAGCCTTGATTCTGCCTTGGACCGAGGTAGAATCTCCTTTGGGATGGGCATCAAAGTGGGCGAGAAAGGATGGCCGGCATTGTGAAACACAATCTTCTTCCGAGCAGCGTACCGCTGATAGTCACTCGATTGTCCTTAGCTGCACCCGGGCATGGTCATGCAACGCCGAGTCTAGCCAGAGATAGCGAACTGGCGTATGGGGAGGAGTGCTGGCCTTTGCCGAGTCTTCGGTCTAGCCCAGACAGAGAGCCTTGGCTTGTTGTTTGAGACGTGGTGTTTGTTCACGCTTCGGAGCTGGTTGGCTCGCGCGAAGGCGTCGAGAGGCGTTTGTCGTTGACTGTAGTTCCAGGCTCGGATTCAAGTGGTGAATCCAAGTCCATGGCGTCACACGTGGGAAGGGACTCTTCACTTGAGGTTTCTGTGCAGAAAGAGAGCTGCTCTTGAGGAGTTTAGAGTTTACTTGGGATTGGCTATTAGGAGTCTTGTCAAACGACGGTCGGAGGAATCCTGCCGCTGCTCCATGTGGCTACTAAAAGGTAACTATTCCGAGTATCTTGATCACCTCAGGTACCTATGTTGATCATACTGGGCAAACAGTGTATGGGAATCACTGTGTGTTGCTCTCATTATGCTACGGTACTTATGAAACCAAGGTCCTATTGTTCAAGTTCCTGACTATTTGTTCGGTTGAACAATGCGGAACCTGACTCAGAAACGCCGTTTCGTAACCTCGTCCACATAGAACAAGGGGAGATGGATATCTAACCTCAAACAGTCTTCCGGGCTATATCATCAAGCTTATTCTCCCCTATCATCATGATCATAGTGGCACATGGATGAGTCGTTGCGTTGGATGAGGCCGAGTGGCAGTAATACAAACCCAACATCGGATTGAAAGCGTCCTGATACTGACATGTGTTGAAGCTTTGTGGCACCCTGGAGCCCTCAATGCTGACGTTCTTATCATGATCAGGAGGCTCTTGACCTGCTAGCAACTCTCAACGGATCAAATTATTCGTCACATTACGTGCATAGTTATATCTTGCATTAAGACTGGAACCATTTTCAACCATATTCAACTCCCACCAATCTCGCCACTCCTAAAGCCCTTTTTGGGCATACCTCCATACATCAACCTCCCCGACCGTCATCTTCAACAAATACCTCTCCCAGTATCCCACCAGCGGCTCCTCGGGAAGCTCCCTCACATGCGGCACCATCCCCTCCCCCTCTCCCTCCACTCGCCCATCAAACACCCACTTCCACCTATGATCCTCCTCCCCCACCGGATACATGACACCAGCCGGATACTCCGACGACGACCCCTCGCCCGGAATCATGCCCGGCACAACCAACCCGACCTCCCTCGGCCCCCTCCCCACCAACCTTTCCCTCACCTCCCTCTCCTCCTCCACCCCTAACGCCCCCCCAATTGCGCCTGCCGCCCCATTGACTCTAACCAACCTCCACCGTCCAAAACCACCCTCCTCATCATCCCTCTCCGAATCCCCCGTCCCCAACAGCGCCTCACACTTCCACACACCATTATCATCCAGCCCCAACCCGCCACACACAAGCCTCACCCGGACCGAGGAATGGATCCGCTCCGCGGTACCGACGAGCGGCTCCAACGTGTCCTCGTTGGTCGTCTCGTCGACACGCAGCACCCGCCCGGGCCGCCGAACCGTTTTGCCTGCCAGCGTGGTCAGGCTGCTGGTCGGCGCGCGGATGGTGCCGAGGGCCCAGGGGCGCGGGGACCAGTTGCGGAAGAGGTCTTCTGAAATTGTCAAAGTTGAGGTAGAAGTGCCAGAGGTGAAGGAGGGGGAGGGGTGTGGGACGAAGCAGGAGGGCGGTCCCGAGTGGGTGCGGATGGTGCATTCTTGCGCGTCGCGGGTGATTGTTGCGGGCTTGTTGCTGTTGTTGTTGGCGCGCGGTGGGCGGTAGATGTCGGGGTTGGCCCAGGGGAGGAGGCCGTTGACGGCGGCGGCGGTGGTGGTCTTTGGCGATGGTGGCGGGGTAGTGGTAGGCTTGGTGGGACCGCGCTTCTTGCCGCCGGGGAGCAGCTTGCTGAGAGTGCGTTTGATGGAGTCGAGCTTCGGGAGGGAGGGGAGGAGGGAGGACGGTTTGGTACTGACGGGGGCGAAGGGGAAGGGGTGGGCGGCCGAGTAGCCAAGGGATTCGTGGAAGAGGGCGGTCATGCGGGCGAAGTTGAATTCGACGCCGAGCGTGGAGAGCTGGTCGCACATCCCTGGCCGGGGGTTAGGCTGCTACTGCTGCTGGGGAGGCAAAGACAAGGATGGGACGTACAGGCCAGTGTGATGTCGGATATTTGCTGGTCGTGCCAGCCGCCGCCCACATTGCCGTGGTTGCCAGGGAACCAGACCTGCTTCAGGTTGGTGGTACTGCCCGGGACGCGCTCCCAGAGCGACGGCCGGAAGGCGTAGCGCGGCTCGTCGAGAGCGAGAGCCTGGAATGCATTCTCCACCTTGTTGGAGATTTGCGTATTGGTGAAGCGCCATGTGCAACACAGTCAGTGCCGGGTCTTTAACGGCTCAGGGGAGGGGTTTACGTATTGGTCAGCGGATCCGCGGACACCAATGACGGGAGCTGGGGGAATCCCCAGGGTGCCAACCGTATCCCACACGGCGAGCGCCTTAATCCTAATCTCGGTCACGCCGTCGTGGTATGTGTCTCTCGTGTACCTCATCTGGGTGGCATCAGCAGGAACTCGAAGAAGGACAGGTGTCTGGCGACTTGTTTAACACACCTCTCGCAGCCCCTGCTTGTACTTGCGCATGCGGGCGCCCTCCCACTCGATCTTGGCCTGACCGTGCGAGCCATTGTACTCGGGCAGCCCGGGAACGAGATACTCGTCCGTATCGCGCCCCCGGTTGCCCATGTTCTCGTAGTCATCAAAGATGGCGTAGAAGCGGTCCAGGCCCTCAGGAGTGAGCAAGCCCACCGAGGCAATCATGTCGGCCACTGAGCGGGCTGTGAAAGCGCCACGGGAGAATCCAATCAGGATAATGTCGTCTCCGTCAACGTAGTTGGTGCAGATAAAGTTGTATACCTCGCGGATGTCCTATGATATGGTCAGTGACATGATTTGAGTTTATTCTTGTCATGAAAAGATAAGGAGCGCACCTGGTCCAGGCCCATGCCGAATGCGCCCCCGGTAAAGCGGTCGATGGCGTTGGCGGTGCCGACGCCGGCAAAGTAGTTGATGACTTGGTGGGTGCCATCGCTGCAGGTCCGGCAGAAGACGCGGGAGATGCGTGTGACGTTGGATGGCGGATCAGCCCTTCAAAGGTCAGTTCAGACAGAAAGGTCTTGGGGGTTGTAAATGTCATACCCCTTCTCCCCCAGAGAATCCATCCAGGTTCCATCACAGCACACAATGAGCCGTTTTGGCCGGCCAGGGTGTGTTACGTGCATTCCCAGGGGTGTCGCCATTGTGATAGACTCCTAAGAGATTAAGACTTCGCCGTAGTCGTGTGAAGTCTGGGATTTCAACCAAGAGTCCTTGGGAGCCAACATCCATGGGGAAACACTGTGCTTTAAGGGTTCGACTCTCCTGTTGGTCCCGCCCATGTCGCCTTTCTGCAGGCCGTCAGCGCCAACGCCTTTTCGGCAGTCGGCCGGCGGAGGCTGGGTTCGAGGCTGCAGGAGATCAACAGCGCATCCCGCTAAGGACCAATGGGGCTTAGATGACCGGCCTCAGCTCTTGGCGAGCCAAGCCAGGGGTCAATCCAGCGGTCCACGACCAAGAGGAGGGCATCGTGGCTTGTGTCCTACTGTGTAAGGTTGAGAGACGATTTGTCCGTGCTGTGACCACACGCCTCCCTGGCCAATGGAGCGGGTATCGACAGGCTGCATGCTCACTGAACATAAGGGCTGAAGTGGGGATGGCATATCCGGAACTGTAGACAGTAAGTATGTACGGATCTAAGTACTCGGATCTTCAGCCCCTGGCTCCTCTCACGCTGCCGAAACCATTGTTACCACTCACGCCAGGAGGCATCGGCCGACTGCGTTCAAATCCTGGTTTGCTATTAGCGCGGAACTTGGTAAGGAAGGACGACAATGATCTGATATTCCCCTTCTTCTCTTTTCTCTTTTCTTCCTTTTTTTTTTTCCCTTTTTTTCTCGCTCCGGTTTCTTCTACATCCTCCTTTATCTCCCATCATCCTACCCTGGGTACTTTTCCTTGCAATTCCCTGTTTCCTTCTCCTACTACGGATATGGGCCTGCCATGTGCCACGGTAATAAACAAACCTCCAATTGGATTGTATCACCACACACGATGCCTGGGAAGTTGAACCATTCATAACAGAATGGCACGCGCTGATGCTGACGCCGTGCATCGATTCTCTTTCTGGCATGTCCATCTTACGCTATCTTCGCCTTCTGACCTCGGATCAATTCGCTACTTCAAGCTAAGCATAATACAGACAACCGCTGGTTCCCAACAAACTAACAATGTCCGCTCAACCCTGCTGCCGTAACGCATCCTAACCCTCTCTACCCTCTTGACCGTGCGGCATGTTCCCGTTCCGCCTCCGTTCTCCATGAAGGAATCCAGTCCGATCCACATCCCAGCCCCAGTGAGCCCGCCCAATGCCATCGAAGACAAAACAGTCGCGGTACCGTCCCAGAAAACGGGCGATGCGCACGACTCCCTCCGTCGCTGTCCACTCAGGCGGGCACCGATAGAAGATCATGACGCGCTTATCGGCATCACCCAGCGGTGGCAAATTAGCCCGCCACTTCCACAAGTCCGCCCCGAAGCGGAAGTACAGAAACGGGCGACCCTCGACCGCCAGCACAACAGACAGGTTCTTGCACTTCCAGCACCGGTCCGGGCGAAAGCCCAAGCTCTCTACCGGCGTCGGGGGCAACCGGCAGCAGAGCGTGCTGCCGTCTTGGAGGTCGTCGTCCGGCGCCGGAAGCATATGCGTCAGCAGATGGCCGCACCGCCCGCCGTCGAGGAAGCAGGTGCACGTCGGGCACAGCGGGCGCGGGGGTTGCAGCACCAGTGCCCCGGCTATCCTGCCGTTGCTGATGAAGCAAGCCCGGCAGACCAGGTGGCCGCAGAACAGGACAATGGCGGCGGACGGGCCCTGGTGCGGCAGCTGCCCCCATAGCCGTCCGTTTTCGGCATCCCGAATTCTTAGGTGCCTGTTTTTCCGACGAAGCAAACCCACTGTGTCAGCTGTGATTGCTTGTTGTTCCATGTACAAGTATAATACCAATACCCGGTCAGGCACAGAAAACATACCACTCGCTCTCCCCCCACTCGAGCCTGCGTGGGAAGTCTAACGACTGCTCTGCTGCACCTGTCAGGGCTAGAGCCGGCATGTCGCCTTCTGTACCGGCATGCGACTGATGTGGATGATGATGATGAGGACCGATGTCCTTGATCAGCAGCTCCTCGCTGCATACCGAACAAACTGGCACGGGCGGTGGGCCGGAACGGTGATGCAGCCACTCATGGATCCGACGCCACTGTGACTGCGGCACGCCCGGGGCCTCAGGCCCGGGCTCCGAAGCCGGGATGAAGAGGTTGAATTGCTCTTTCATTTTTTTTCTGTATTCGAGGAATACTTATGAAGCCCCGTGGAAAACGCGCCCAAGCAAGATCCTGAACTGAAGCTGATAATCTCTGCTCCGAATCAGAGGATAAAATGATATCGGTCCTCGGGTATGCTTTTGTCCCGTGCGCGAGAATGAGCCTGGGAAAACGCGAAAGCGATGAGAGAAGCTCCGGGAGACTGTTGGGAGCAATCGCCTTGCCTCCTTCCCCTGGCCGTGCGGGATTTGCTTGCCTCGATAGAAGCTTGGTGCCCATTAGCGGCGGCAGCGGTGACTCGGCGGTGAATTTAGGATAAGAGTCCAGGCAGGTACGATTGATTGTGGTTTATTTACCATTGCAGTGGTGTGTGTTGCTACCTTCCTTTTCTACTTCCAGTTCCTTCTTGCATTCTTGTCCTTCTTCTTCCTTTGTGACCTCGTCTTATCATTTTCAACTTCATACATGGTCTTTATCTTCGCGTCTCATTTTTGCTCATCTTCTTCTTCTTTCGTTATCGTCTTCTTCCTTCTTTTCCCGTCCTCTGCTCGTTTATATCGCTTCTCTCTTTCAGAAATCTTCCCCTTTACGAAAAACTCATTCCTCAAGTGGCGGGAACAGTGTCAGGGGCGACAGCCTCTTCCTCAGCATAAAAAGCTTGCGCAGATCGCGCCGCCAGGAGCTCTCGGCCAGGTTCACGTGCCGCTCAGCCCTCACGTCCTCGAACACGTGCCCGTTGTCCGACAGCCCGACCGTGTAGCGCCCCGAGGTCCTGGGTGATCACGTATCGCAGAAACAGGTCCCGGTCCCGGTCCTGCTTCGTGTCGATGACGGCCTGAACCTTTCTGACAATCTCGGCGATCCGGGACGAGATGTACGAGCTCGTCTCAAGCAGGCGCGACTTCTCCCGCTGTGCTGCGAGTAGCGACGGCCACGCGTCGCCGATCACGAAGGGGATTAGGATATAACCGCTTACGCCCTCGGGCCGTTTGTGTTTATTCGCCTCGGCCGCGCGCGTAGCGCTGCTTGTAACACTGCTGCTCCTCGATCCTCCTCGACGAAGCGCTCGAACGTCGCCTTGAAGTTGTTGTTGAGGCTTTCAAGCCGTCGCTTCTTGAGGCTGAGGTTCTAAAGGAAGGGTAAGTGTGAATCCCTGAAAATATCACGAGCCGCAGTATCAGAAGGGTCGCCGACGATTCGGACTGAGGTGTTGCGCGATTGCTATTCTTTGAAAGGACGCTCCAAACTTACATCGCCTTGAACTGAATAGCTCGGGACCCTTGAACGCTTTGCTGACGCTCCTCCGCCAGGCTGGGGAGGTTTCTAGAATAGAACCTGAGACGAGATTTAATGGACTCAGACTACGTATATGAAGGCGACAGATGGACAACCATTGTCATTGGACACGAATCGCCCAGACACTGCTCCGGACATAAATCTCTGCTAGCATAGGATAATCAACATTTCTGTTCCCCTTTTCAGCACAGACATCAGCAACTTCGAGTAGGATCATAACCACAAACCCTAGCTCTGCAGTCTAAATTGCGCGGCAGACAGCGGCAGACGGGGGCTTCCATCTCTAGCTGCTTGGTGTATAGCCGGGGATTTATTACAGTAGTAGCCGCCCGGGACGGTGCTTCTCCAAAGAGCTGCACAATCCGGGCCGTGCGAGGGATATGCTTACCCAGATGACGGCCGTCCCGGTTTCAAATGCAACTCCACAACTTCATATCATAGCAACCTTATCTTCCTCTTCGAGGTATTCGTGCTGGCTTTGGGCACTTCACTAACTCGATGCAAACGGACCGACACAGCACAATGGCAACCCTTGAGAAGCTTCCGACGCGGAGACTGGGCAAGAACGGCCCCGAGATCACGGCCATCGGCTTCGGGCTGATGGGGCTGGGCACAGCGTATGGTTCCGTTGGGTGAGTTTTAGTTACATTCCGAATCATAAAACCTGGTGAGAGTGGCTAGTAACAGAGGAAAAAGGTCGGACGAGGACCGGCTCAAGATGCTCGACCGCGCGTGGGAGCTGGGCTGCACCAATTGGGACTCGGCCAACATGTACGGCGACAGCGAGGACCTGCTCAACAAGTGGTTTTGCCCTGCATCCAAATCGCCGCGCCGACATCTTCCTGGCCACCAAATTTGGCCTGGGTCTCGGCGTCCGCGACGACGGCAGCCGCGGCCTGGTCATCGACAGCTCGCCCGAACACTGCCGGCAGCAGTGCGAGAAGAGTCTGCAGCGGCTGGGCGTGAGCTACATCGACCTGTACTACATCCACCGCGTCGACGGCAAGACGCCCATTGAGAAGACGATGGAGGAGCTGGCCAAGTTGAAGGCGTGAGTGATCCCCGTCACGCTTCCAGCCTCCACTTCTTCAGGAGATTATGTCGGTGACATCAAACGTTGCTATGTGTTTTACAGGGAAGGCAACATAAAGCACATTGGCATCTCGGCCTGCTCGGCCGCCACACTCCGCCGCGCATGCGCCGTTGCCCAAGTCGACGCCTACCAGGTCGAGTACTCTTTCTGGGCACTCGACATCGAGGGCCGCGAGAGCAACCACGTGCTGCAAGCCTGCCGCGAGCTGAGCGTCACCGTATTTGCGTATGCCCCGTTGGGCTGTGGCATCATGACGGGTCAGATCCGGTTGCCGGACGACTTTGAACCAGGGGATCTGCGGCGGCTGTTCCCGCGGTCCAGCAAGGAGAATTTTCCTAAGAACTTGGTGCTGGTCGACCGGTTCAAGCAGATGGCGGCCAGGAAGGGGTGCACGACGGGCCAGCTGACCATGGCGTGGCTGGGGGCGACGTGATTCCCATCCCGGGAACCAAGAACATCAGGTACCTGCAGGAGAACGTCGGCGCAGTGCATGTCCGGGTCACGCCCGAGGAGGAGCGGGAGATCAGGGGCTGGATAGACGACGTTGGCATTGCGGGCATTCGGGTCCCTCCGGGTCTGCTCGACGAGTTGAATGACACGCCTCCATTGTAGCCAGTAGTCTGCTGGTGTATGAGATAGTAGAGGGCGGGGGACAACTGTGGTGAGCTGCCGGGTTGTCGCCCTCCCCGGTACTCCCTGTTCCCGACCCCCCTTCCGGTAGAAAACGTCACACGCCCAGTCCTGTATCCAGCACATGCATCCACCTCAGCCCTGACTGCTCCCTGCGGCCTCTTCAGCCGCCTTCTTCACCAGCTTGTGCGCCCTGTCCACCGCAATATCGCACATGGCCTGTTGCAGGCACGATCTTGGTCAGCGGATCCCTCTATCCCAACTTCTGTACTTGTCCCAAGAAGAATGCAGGAGACCAGAAAAACCGGAAAGGGGATTAGCAAAGAAACAAGAAGAAAGAAAAAAAGAAACAGAGAAAAAAAGAAAGAGAGAGAGAGAAGAGAAAGAGAGAGCAAAGAGAGAGAGAGAGACAGAGAGAGACAGCGAGAGAGAGAGAGATAGAGTGGGCGAGAGAGAGCGAGCGAGCGAGGAAAAAAGAAAGAGAAGGAGAAAGCGTGAAAAATAAGAGAGGAAGGAAAGGCGGAAAAAAGAGAAAAAAACGGAAAGAGAAAGCGAGACAAAAGAGAAAAAGAAAACGGGGAAAAAGAAAGAGAAAGCGAGACAAAAGAGAAAAAGAAAACGGGGAAAAAGAAAGAGAAAGCGAAAAGAAAAACCCACCTGAATCCCCTCCTTCTCCTCCTCCCTGATATCCCCCCTCCGAATCCTCCTTCTCATATCCGCCATCACCTCCCCTCTCCCGCGCCCATTCACCCACACCACATACCTCAGCCCTGGAAACCTTTCCTCATATTCCCGATTCAACCCAGCCAACTCCTCGTCCTCCTCCCTCAAATGCCTCTGCTCCTCCGCACTCAACTGACTCAAACCCCCTTGCCCTTCCCCTTGTACACCCTTGTTCTTCTTCTCCCCCAGCCGGGGATGACTCCCCAATATCCCGTACAACGTCCTCCTCCCCCTCCCTTCCTCGTCGCCCCTCACGGCAGAAGTGAGATCAAGGAGCTGGGTGCGCAGCGTCGCGATGAGGTCGTCGTACGAGGCGAAGGATAGCGCGCGGACCGTCGGCAGGGCCAGGGCGTGCAGGTCTGGCGAGGGCTCGAAGAGGAGGTCGATGGTGGAGGTCAGGGCTGTGTCGGAGAGGGTCGGGAGGGAGGTGATGGCGGGGAGGAAGGGAGTTGCTGCTGAGTGGAGCGGGGAGGACATTGTCTTCTTTAAATTTTCGGTTCGTTCGTCTGAGGAAAGGGCGGCGGTCTAGTCGTGACGTTTGTGATGTTGGGGGAATATTCGAGCCGTGCTGGTGTGCTGGGGGGCAGGGCTCAGCGGGCAGCAGGACGGAGAGAGAGTGAGAACATAGTGGGCTGGCTGAAGAGGCAGGGAAAAGATCGCGAAGTGCAGGTGACTGGCAAGAGAGTCCAGTTCAAGCGGCCGAGCTGTCTTATCTGGAGATTTAAATGAAGCTTGCGTGGGGCGGTTGTGGGGTGCATGCATGTCCTCTGTCCAGCCGCCGGACCTGCGTGACGTTGTATCGACCCCTGAGTCCAGAACGACAATGACGGGGAGCAACCATAGGAAAGGACAGGCTGCCAGGCATTTCAGTAAGTGACTTGTAAAGCATAGAGCAGTACCTGAGCACTTTTGACGCAAGCACACTCGCTCCCCTTCGCAACAACTAGAAGCATGTTCCACCCAGGGACGAGTCGGAGAGCGTCAGCTTCATAGACCCACATGCTCCGGTCACCATCGGCCGGCTCCGGGCGGTGCTCCGGACCCGCGAACGGACAACTCCACGGGACTTCAAGACGATACATAAACCCTATTCCCCTCATTCTGTGTCACACAACACCGTTTTCCGTCTCGCTCCATGGCTATGCATCCATTAGACTCGGAAGACGAGCCCCCATATCCCCTCCAAGATCAGGAACATGCCCAAGACGCCTAATAAGCCAAAAACAGAAACACAGACTATGCCTCGCCATGCAAGTAAACTTATGTGTATCACCTTCACCTCTTGTCCGCAGTAATGCCCCAAGTTATCCCCTGATTTGCTGTCGCAACACTCCAAACTCCAGCTTTGGTATGACTCCCTTGGTGGGGAGAAACTCGTAGAACCTCCAGCGAAACAGAGAGCAAAATAGGCCCCCCCAGTACAGTATGCCAAACCTGTAAAACAACAATGCATGCACAACCGGTGCTCCCCAAAGTCAGCACCTCGCGCCCCAGGGAATCCCATCCAAGTCATCCATATAATCCTCAAAGCAATCCCCCACGCTCCCCTTCTCGTCCAGCCCATCCTCGTCCTCGTCCGTGTCGCCGCCCCCGCCAAAAATAACACTAAAGTCAGCATACACACCCACCTCGCCCCCTTCCTCGTCGTCGTCTTCGTCGCAGCCATAGCGACTCTCGTGCTCCGACGTGGGGAACGCGACGCTGTCGTCGTCGTTGCTGTCGAGTTCCTCGACGAGGATATCCTCGAGCGGGACCAGCGGGCGCGTCACTCTCAGTTCCGGCGAGCGGAGCGGGCGGAGTTTGGGGCTGGGGATGCGCAGGCGGGTCGAGACGGAGACGGTGCATGGCGGCGGGACGTACGGGACAGTGCCGGTGCTGCCAATTCCAGGGTGGAGAGTCGGCTGTGGAGCGCCGGGGAGGCCCCTTGGTAATGGAGCGGGTGTTGGCGAGTGGTTTGAACCTTGGGATGTGGCGAGGTATCGGCCGCCCACAAAGGCCGTGGAGCCGTTGCTCTGTTGGAAGACGGCTGCTTTGGCGGCCAGGTCCGAGACCGTAACGTTGGAGCGCTCTGCGGCTTCCGCGCAGACGCGGGCGCGGAGGCTGTTGAGGACTGCTGCGCGGCGCAGCCAGGTTGATGGGCTTGGCTGCTGGGGGGGTTGGGACGCTTGCGACTGCACGGTGCTGTTCATTCGGCGGGCCGACATGATGGCCGCCAGCTTGAAGAAGCGCTTGTCGCCAGATGCTACAGCCTCGCGGTTGGGGATGTGGGTGGCCGGGAGGGAGAAGGGCTGGGAAAGGCGTGAGGTGATGAGGTGCCTTAACAACCGGCGCTTCTTGCAGCCCAGAGACGCACTGTTCGGGCCATCGACGTCTGTGTCGGGCCGACGGCGTTTGAGACACCGCCTTGGCGGTGGGCATGGCGTTGCGAGTGGAAAGGTCACAACCGCCTTGTTAGAAGGTGTCAGTTGAGCGAAAGCCAGAAATGAGTCTAGCGTCGGCGGGAAGAGGGTGCGGGCAGTCCTCGTGGTTGCGCTGCTAGGAGTCGTGCTCCCGGGTGCTGGTCCAGGGGTCACCAGAACCGTAGGCTTCGACCCCTTTGTCACCGAGAGGGTCACCTCGGGGCGAGCGGGGCTAACACAGTCCGCTCTGGTCGCTTTGGAGATCTCCAAGAGCCTGTCACTCAAGTCGGGAATTGTTGCGGTCTGGAATAGGGCGGCTTCAAGCTCGGCTCTATGATCCTGTTGAAATCGAACGTCGCCAAAATGCCATGGCCCGTACTGCTCCAAGTTCTGGCTGATGGGCTCGATTTGAAGGCCCATGTCTGCCATTTCCTTCCCGTCAACCAGAGTCGCCTGTGACTGGTGGTGACGCTTGATGCCGTGTTAGTAGGGCATGTTCAACCAGGTCTGAGGTTGTGGGACTCCAAGAGAGGTGAGAGTTCAAGTTCAAGAAACCGAGAAATCCCGCGGAGAGACCCGAAGCTGATCGAGGTCACTCAGGACATGGCGAGCTCCGGCGGGGCATGGAGAAGCTGTCTCTCCGGAAGCGGCGGGAAGGTGAGCTGACCTTGCGGTCAGGTGGTTCGACAACCGTCGACGAACTCGGTGTCTCCGCAGCGATTATGGTAAGGCAGGAATGATTCTCTCAAGCCAGCGAAGGAGGCTTGCTATCCTCGTCTCGAGACTGAGAATGGACGCGGGGGGTCCAGACAGTCGGGAGCGGGATCGTGGAGAACAGACGGAACGAGCAGAGCGGGATGGGGAATGGGCGCGTGCTCTCAGCCCAATGGGTATATTTAACTAATGGGACATCGGGATCCAGCTGGTCGGTGTTGGGTGGAGAAAACGGCGATCTCGTTGACGGCGCCGGAAGCTGGGGAGCAGAGCCCTAGAGCCACTAGCGGAAGGATAGCGTGAGTGGTGACCCAGGTTGACCCAGGGCAGTCGCTAGTCAGAGGCAGCAGGGTTGCATGGCAGCAAGTCTCAATAGAGGAATTTCTGGGGATAAGAGGCTGGAATTCTGGGCTTGGAAACGAATGGTGCCGCTGACTGGAGGAGGGCGGTGGTTGTGGCGCCAGAAGAAAGCTGGACCGGGCAGCCGATTCGTCAGCGCGCAGAGGACGGCTCGGGGACGACAACAGGCTGCAAAACGGAGGATGCAGTGGTCATCGGGAAGCCGAAGTGCGGAGAGAAGGTGCCAAACCCAAGGAGTCGTTGCACGGCGTCTTCTCTGCAAGCTTTAGCGGCTGCTTGTTGGGAGTCTCGACCTGACCAACAATGGAAGTCTCTCATCAGCGTTGCAAAAGAGCGCAGATGACCCGAATTAGTGCCCAGTGTCTCCTGATCATCGTCGAGGCGAATCCGGCAAATGAGCGACAGCTGCCAGACAGAAAAGGGACACCGACATGTCGAGCGAAAACGGTGCAAGCAGCCAGTGGCCGAATTTCGGTTCGTAATGGGCAGAGGCAATTCATTGCTTTTGGTCAGAAAAGCTCGACTGCAGATGGTGCGCTTCAGGTCTGGCAGAGAGTCAGCGGAGCCCAAATCCCTGCACAGAAAAACCCCCCCTGCTTCCGTCTCGCAAATGGCCCCTAAACCTGGAACCGCTTGGCCCATGCACGATCTTCAAAATGTCACATCGTGCCTTCCGTTCTTATTTTCAGCTCCTCTTCAACTGAAGTTTCCGTGGCTTTGCCTCGTGTCGTGGCTTCACGTTCTGCAGACTGCTTTTGCTCGACACCGAGGCCAATCCCTGCTGGTAGCCGTCCGGATACACGTGGAATCCGGGTGTACCACAACGCCGGGCTCGGATTGCTCGCAGGCCGGAAAGCTCCGTGCAGAACCTGAATTCGGTCACCACTCTGCTCCGGCATTGTGGATTGCGGGGAAGGGGCACAGGACCCACAGGAACGGCAGGGCCTCCGCGGAACTGGCAGGACAGGGATGGAAGCTCGGGCCACTGCCATCTGCCTGGATTCAACATCTCCCGGTCGTCGTCCCATACCGTATCCTTGAAACCTGTTCCATACGGTACGTTGTAAACCTCTGTACTAGGACGAACTAAGCGGACTAAGGTATGGCCATTGGGCTTGTGGAGGCAAAGAGGCGGCCCAATATTGCGCAATCCAAGAGAAGCAGCCGGACTTGTGATGCGCCTTTGAAATTGACTGGGCTCCTAAAGTCTTAAACCGATTTGAGGTCACCTTCAGTCCTGTAGTGTATTGTAGGTACTGTGTACCGTTCCGTACAGCCAGGGAGTCAAATGTCGTCGCACGCTCGCCAAAATCAGCCACTCAGAGCCAACCTCATTTGATGGTCGGGTCACGCGGCACATGACGCGCAGCCAGGCAACGTCCTCCGAGGTCAGACAGGTGCCCAAACCGATCGGCCGCAGAATGAAGGACTTATCTCCCGCTCCACTGCTGCTGGGTTTATTTGTGCGAGGTGGTTACAGTACACACACCCGAGCCTCGTCGGCCCGGCGTTCATCTGGCTCCGTGGATCGACGTTCCATTAAATTCATCACAGACAATGTCATCAGACAGTCAAGTGGGTGGGTTGTAGTTAACGTTCCGGTTGAACTTCGTCACTGAATCAGATAAGGTAGATCGGCTTTTGTGCGATCAGCAACAGGAAGCACTTTGTCTTGACAAAGGGCACATTGTTCTAGAGCACTCTGCTCTTGAAACAATCTGAAGGAGGAACCACAACATCGTTGTTACGAAGACACGGACTTACTTCGCAGGCTTTGGTTCAATGTGGCCGTACTTCAAACAGCCTCGGCGCCAATAGTACTACGGAGTATCAGTACTTCGTACAAGATGATGCACTGACGACCACTGACCCAGAGATATGGATCGGATGGATGTCGGCTGCAGGCCGGACCCCGCTCCGTTTGCCGTTCCGGTCGGTCCACTAAGGGGTGGAGACATCTCTTCTCAGGGACTCCGTGCAAGAGGTTGTCTCTTGATTCTCTTCCAAGTTTCTGAGCTTGGTCCGCCCAGAAATGTCCCGCTTAAGGTACCTCGCTTTCCGACGCTCCTCAGCAACGCTTCAGATAATTATGTCAAATCCACCCAGGTCAAACCAGGAAGTTGAGGCAAGTCCAAATCATACCTCGCTTATCGCAAGTAAGTACGGATTATAGCTTCAGATTTGACTTGTCTGACTTGACAGACTTGTCTAGACTAACGTGTTTTATCAGCGAATGCACCATATCAGCGAGTGCACCACTGATAAGGGCTGCCAGCTTACTAGTCGAGGAGGCCTGCAACAGAACCCGCAACTGCTTCCAAGGACTACAAAAAGCCAAAAGGCTAGCGCAACTTCTAGCAATAGAGGAAGCTACAGAGGCTATTGCAGCCTGAAGAGCCTAAGGCAAGGACTCCACAGAGGCTCTCAATAAGGCCTGGAAGGCTAGGTGGGCCCAAGAGATCGCCAACCAACCACAACGGTGTAGGGCCCGGAACCAGGCCCTGCTCACCGTACAGCCCGGCCGGCTACCGGCTAAAACTCGACAAAAGGTGTTGGAAAGCCAACAGCCACGAATGTGCTGCACCGTAGTAATTGGGTATCAAAAGGATGGGCAACCACTCGATTGATGATGATGTTCCTGTCTGTGTTCTTCCAGAAGTTCCCTGCCTGTTCCTGATCCTGAGAATCCTGGTGCCAAGCCATTGGTCACCCCTGAACTGCCCTCTCTGACCACCTGCCAAATCCAACAGGAACCCTCTTTTCCCCGCTGGCCAAATATCGCCGCTTCCGTCTGTCATGCTCGGGCCACTCGACGTCCAACACCTTAAGAAACGCGACTCGGAGTTTGTAATCACAATAGGCAATTGGGCATAGTTTGCAAATGGAGACGAAGGTTTTACAGAACCCCAAACATCCGCTGTCAGTATTCGTTGCCATTTGACGATGGAATTGAATCACGTTCCACCGTCTAATTTCGTGGATACCTCGGCACACGAGGGAGCCCGGAGCAGCCGTCGTGCCGAAGTGGGTCAACCGGCCTGCAGGACGACTCAACCGCGTCAACAGACGCCCGATCGTTGAGTCCTCGACCGGACTCCCGGTGATCTGGGCCGATACAGTTGACATATTGGTATATTTTGCTCTGATGTAGCAGTTCGTCTTATCTCATTCGTGCCAGCTTCTGCTTTATGCTATCCGTCGAGGCCGTGGCTAATCTTGTTGTCAACTTCAGGGGCTGTATCCCACATAACCCAAAAGCATTCATTTGGTTGAGAGGACTCAAATCGATTTGTTGAATCCTAATAAAAAACCCTTGTGCGTCAATCCAACCCAGACTGCCTCAGAATGACTCCAGTCGAGGAGCCCGTGCAGTCCCTACAAGAAGCCTTGAACTTGGTCAGACTGCCTTCGGAAGGGCAGATACGCCAGTTCATGAGCACGAGAGCTGCGTACCTGCCGGGCTCCGACTTGACAATCCCGGCTGGAAATGTACGTATGATTACGCACAAGGCTGCCTTTGGAGGCCATGTCTACGCCCAAGCAGCATTGGCCGTGGTTCGGGCGTGGAGGGAGATGGAGGATGAAAAGGGGACGAAGTTGTCCGATAGACTCGATATTCATGTAGGTCAGAAAGACAGCAATAAACCCGTCACAAACTCAGCATAGCTCCCTGCTAACCTGACCCAGACAATCAACGGCTTCTTCACCCGGCCCGGCATACCCAACCGCCCCTACCTCTACACCGTCACACCCCTCACCTCCTCCCGCACCTTCGCCACCCTCTCAGTAACCGCCCAGCAGCCCTCCCAGCCCAGCACGAACCCGCAAGGTGACCACTTCCCCAAGGTCGACGCCTCCCTCCCGCTCTCCCCGCCCTGCTTCACGGCAATTTGCTCCCTCAAGCTCCCCGAGCCCGACAGCGCCGGCGTCTCCACGCAGGAACCCCAGCCGCAGCAGCGCTTCGCCTCGATCCTCTCGTCTCGCCCACCCTCGGCCTGGCCGCCCGCCCCGCCCGTCGACATCACGGGCATGGTGGAGATCGCGGGCGCGCATCAAGCGGGCAAGTTCCCCGTCGCGGAAATGTACAAGGTCGATATGACGGGGTATAACCAAGGAAGACCTGTGCATGAGCGGCGCGAGCTGATGTTATATCGCCTTCGCAAGCCGCTAACGTTAGTACCTGCATGTGCTGAACCAGAAGGGAATGATGCCGAGGTGGGGGCGGCGGCGGTGTGGGATGATGATGCCAACGCGCATGTTGTTGCGCATGCCTACGTCGCCGACAGGAACGGGCTGCTGCTGGTGGGGAATCATGTTGGGTTTGGGTACTCGCTGGCGCGGGCGGCGAGTCTGAGTTATACGTTTGTGGTGCATGTCAATGCGGAGCAGGCGGTGATGAGGGACGACGAAGGGGATGGCTGGTGGGTGCAGGAGATGTGGTTCCCGCGTACGGCGGCGGGCAGGGGGGTTGTCAAGAGCAAGATTTGGAGTCCTACAGGTGTGCATGTTGCGACCGAGTATCAGGATGGGTTGGTACAGGGCTTCGGGTTGGGCAAGTTATAGGGGAGTGGGTGGGGTTTTGGAGTGGGATAGAGGGGTATATTTGGTTGTAGATCGCTGGCGTAAACGCCACCTTTAGATAAAGGTGATAGGATTGAGCTGGAGAACCTCACTGCTGCGGACATCAGGGCGGTCATGGGGTCGGGCCACTGTTTCCCTGGGCGGTTGATACCTGGTACGTCGTTGAGGTTTTTTTCTGGGGAGAATCCCCTTAACCGAGGGGTGTCGGGCACACATATGAAGCCTTACAAATGAAGGTGTCTTCTAATCTCTTCTACTTTTGTTTCAATTTTGAAGGCATGGTCTCACTCAACGGGGAGCGGTAAGTGGGAGCAGGGTTTAGCGTTTCCTTCGCAAGAACCATGACCTTGTACTCTTGGCCCCAGAATAGGCATCGCGATCAAAACATGAAGAAAAGGAAGACTCAAAGAGCTACTACCCTTAATTTCAGCATAAATCCGTCTCTGGGACTCGGTTCAACAAAGATGCTTGGAGTGGTCAAGAACGAGGTATCCACGTGCCAGGTCATGCGGCGCTAAACCCCAAACAGCAACGACCTGGGAGCTCGGCTCGGGCCAAGTCAGACCATTTCTCAATTCCAGAGTGACAGCTTCACCCCATCCCAAACAGTACCCCGACCTCAATTGACCCGCGACCACAACCCCCGACGACACCATGTTCCTGCAGCGCTCTGCCGTGGCCCTGGCGCGCCGCGCTGCGGTCGCCCCGGCCCTCCGTCGCAGCATCGCCACCACCGCCGTGCGCCGTAAGCAAAATACCCGAAAACCCACTTGGGTCGAAGGGGGGGAAGAAGGGAGCTCCGAAAATGTCGCGCAGGCCTTAGCCTAGAAGAGCTTCCTACACCACCCCATTGAGAACCGGAATGAACAGATACTGACGGATTCTGCTCGGCTGATAGGCAATGCGGTTACCGACCAGCCGAAGATCAAGACTCTGAGCGGTACGGAACCTTTTCTGTTTCGGGGTTCTGAGGTGGTGTTGCGTCATGGTGGGAGAAAAGCTTCTGACGTCAGGCAAATTGGCGCTGGGCAGCGACAACAATGGATTGAGGTGGAACAATTGAGAGCGCGGGGCCAGCTGCTTGGAGCACGAGTTTTCGTGAGTGGTTGATGATGGACGCAGACGGCTAATTTGCGGTTCTGCGAGCAGAGATTAAGACCGATGACGACCTCCTCGGCCCCGGCGCCCGTCCCGGCACCGTCCCCACTGATCTCGAACAGGCCACTGGTCTCGAGCGTCTCGAAATCATCGGCAAGATGGAGGGCGTCGACATCTTCGACATGCGGCCTCTGGACGCCTCGCGGCTGGGTAAGCATTTTCGCCGATGCCCTCTTCCAACCCGCGCGGGCATGGGAGCCCGTCAGCTGATCTAAACCCCGGACAGGCACCCTCGCCGACCCCATCATGGTCCGCTCCGCCGGCGAGGAGCAGTTCGCCGGTTGCACCGGCTACCCCGCCGACTCCCACAACGTCATCTGGCTGAGGGTCAGTAATACACTGAAGCCCGCGTTCCGAACCCTATCCGGGGAGGGAGAGAACCCCACTAACGTTCGTCTTACGCAGATGGACCGCGAGCGCCCTGTTGAGCGGTGCCCCGAGTGCGGCAGCGTCTACAAGATGGAGTACGTCGGGCCCCAGGACGACCACACCCACGGCCACGGCCATGATCACCACGGCTGGGTGGAGCCCAAGACCTGGGCCGATCATGTCAAGCCTGAGTACTGGTGAACAGGGCTTTGCGACGGTACTACCAGGTACAGCGAAATATGGGAGGGTTGTGAGAGGGGCATGAGCTTGTAGAATATTCGGACAGGCAGATGAGGGTGTATAGAGGTCTTTTCTACGTCTCGGCGAGCCTAGCTATGAACCCCACCGCACAAAGGGCGCCTCGCAGGAACACACGCGAAATGGTCCCTGCATACGGTTACCGGCGGCCCGTTTGTCATCAAGCCCTTGCGTGCACAGTCAATGCTGACAAGCCCCTTAGCTGCCTGACTTGGCCGGCCAGTTAGGCTCCAGGAGATTGAATCGGAGAGGGCGTAAGAAGCAGCTCCCGGTAAGGGTAAGACGGCGTCCGATCTTCCACCAAAAATCCGGTAGGCCCATGAAGACGCTGGCGGTTGAACGGCCCAAGCTCCACGCCGACCCGAAAGTTCGAGCAGCGTCATAAAACGCTCCGTGTGAGAGACGATCCAGAGAGGATACAGTGCAGTGGGACAACTGCGGCAGGCTGCTAGATGCAAGAGAGCGCTTCAAACCGCAGCCCAACACGAAGATGTCGTCTGCTGAAGACCTCATTCAGGCCTCGAAGCGCCAAGGACGGCAAGCGGCAGAGATGAGTCTAGCCGTTGGACTTCAGGACTGCCGCCGTCAGCAATGCAAGGTTGCAGTGGTAATGCCGGAACACGGTTCGCGGCCTCCTGAACTTCCCACAGCTGACCGAGCCTGTCAATCTAGGTGGCATGCAGGCGATACTCGGCCGTTGTCACACAGACGCCCGCTCGACGCATGGTCAAGCAGGGTGTTCCGGGATTGAGTAGTTTTGTCTGGGTTCCGTCCTATTCTTGTCTCAGGATCGGAGGTGATGTCGTGCCGAAGATGGGATTGTGTACCGATGGTGGCTGCGGGCCCCTGCCATAATGACTGGCCTTTTCGTCGCCGGGTCAAAGAACTGGGTTGAGATGTCGGCACATCGGAAGAGACCGTCATTCCGGACAATACCGCGATGAGGACTCGGTTGAAGAATGGCAATACACTTGCTCAGCCCTCGTCTTCTCCAAAACTGAGCTTGATCTTCTTCGCCTTCTTCTTGACCTTGGTTCTTGCGGCGGCGATGGCCAAATCGTCCTTCTCCCGGCCATCCTGCGCTGATGTGCCGTTGATGTGCTTAGAGCCTTCTTTCTTCTGATCTTTGGCGTTCTCTTCGTCATCCTCGTCGTCGCTATCCGCGCCAATGATCTTTCCAATCTTCCTCTTCTTTCTCTGCTCGCCGATGCCGGCTAGTTTCTCGCCCTGGGCAGCATCCCCTGAGTCCTCCAAACCCTCTAGCTGCGTCGGTACCTCGGCTGCAGATGCAGGGTCCTTCTCCTTGACGCTCCCGTCGGCACCAACAGTGACGTCCACGGCGTTTCCATGCTCGTCAACCACTAGCGGTGCGTCCTCGGCCTCAGCACTTCCAGAGCGCGGTTTGCCGGGTTGGCGTCGAGCAGCAAGGATCGGGTCGGGGGCGTTGGGGTCTGTCTCGGCTGCGTGTTGGCCGCGCAAACGCGCCAGGAAGGGCGGCAATTGGGCCGTGTATTGCAGGTTCTTGGAGGTGATCTTTTGCGACATGGTGGGCGGACTTGCAGCCGGTCAGGCTGGGGCTCGTTGACGAGCCTGACAACTTCGAGATTACGTAGCTGCGGATTCGGCCGAGAGAACTTACTCCGCTGTGCTCTGGGGAAGGTTGAGCAATACGGGGGACAGCGGCGCGATGGCGATAGTTGCTTGGCAGTCCTGTCGGCCGAGTGAGAAGACGCAGTGTTTCCGTTTTTGACACTCCAAGACGGAAGATGCATGGAAGGCGGTTGGTGGGGCCCGTCCCGCCCCAAGCCGGCAAGTGGAGCCAGGGTTGTGGCCTTCAGTTGCCAAACCAGCAAGCTTCCTCAATGCTCAGCACGAACGTTCAGTCAACATGGAAATCGCGGACTACCATTGCGCAGCCATGGTCGACCTGATGCGCCTTCCTTCTAAGGCTGCAACTTCCATACTAGTACTGCGCAGAGGACCGACCCTTTGTAAACTTTGGCGATCGCACCTTTCTCAGCCCGAGTTTCACACGTCAACCATCAACCTTCTCTCCTTGCGAACGCCTGCGGTTCGTCCGCTGTCTGGTGATCATCCGGATGCCTTTCCGTTGCCCCCTCCCCACTGCAGCCTCGCCGGCTTGGGATTCTCTCCCGCCTGGCTCTTGTGAAAGCCGCTTGACGTCTACATGTTCGGTTTCCGATTGTGCCTTGGTCCTTGAGGCTCAGGGGCTTTTTGCCAACTCAGCCGTAAGGCAACCGCTGGATTGAACCCCGTGATGACCATGCAAGTCGGGCCACCAGCATCGATCCGTGGTTTAAAGAACAAAGACGGTTCGGGGAAGTGGTCCGCGCATTGCTCGAACCAACCGGACCTCTTCCGCCGCGTTTCACAACCTACCTCGCCCCGGTCCGCAATCAGCAACATGATGCTCCGTGGCCCCGGCGGATGAGCCGATAAGATCGGGACTTGCGCTGCGCAGATGTCCCGCGTGTTGAGCAGAATCTGTCCGGGCTACATGTCGCCGCTGATCGGATCGGCCCCCATCTCGGTCGATGAGCTCTCTTCCGATCAACAACCCGCTTGGCAATGAGGCTCATCTTGGGTGCGTGTAACCAAGAATAGTGATAGCCGGCTTCGTCAGCTTCCATAGACGCGGGGTCAATCAATCCCGCTCCTCATCCACCAAGAACAGACCCGCTCGACCGCCTGTCCTCCTCCTCTCGACCAAGGCGTCGCTGAGACCACAACTCCGTCCAGTCCCGTCGAGTTTCAACCTACCATCAGCACCGCGGAGCCTTCCCGCCAGCCCTCGGACGCTGTGCAACGCTTTCCATGGCCCCAGTTCTTCAAATGTCAACCTCGGCGGTGAGCGAACGGCTGCACAGGCGTTAACGGCCTGGTCGATGAACCACTGCTGCTCAGCACGCTTCCATGTGCACACGCCCCCATCGGCTCTCACAGCCCAATTCCCCGGCCTTGGCTCACCAGTTGAGTGTAACCAGACCCTAAATTCTCTCCCTCCTTGCTGATCTCCCAGTCTGAGTTCGCAAGCGGTGGTTCTCCATTTGCCCTCTCCTGGCGGAGCCGTTCCTCTCTGGCTGCCCCTCCCCCCGATTGGGCCATGCAGATCATGCCCCGTCAGAGCGGTTACAAGGCTGCCCAACTTCCCAAATTTCTGGAACTGATATCTCGGAAGCCATTTTCAGGCCGGCAGATACCCCAAGATCCGGGGAGGTGCCAGCCGCCATAGCCCAAGGGCAGATGTGCTGGCTCTCCGGTTTGCTTGATCAGAACTCTACGAGACTGAAGCACTACCCCTTGCGCGAGTGTGTCACTTGTCTATTTCTACCCAGACTGGAGACCCGGGAGTGGTCTGGCGGTTTCTCCCCTCTTCTCACATCACCTCTCTTATCTTGTTCTCGGACTTTGCCGAGCCTCTTTCGTTCGCGATCTAAGGGCCGTCCCCTTGACTTGACCGCCATGCTCCCTCGGCAAAGAAGTCCATTAGACTGGGCAGCTCACCGAAGTAGGATCGAGGATCTCTACTGGAATCACGGGGGAAAGCTCCCGGAGGTCATGAAGATCATGGCAGATGTCCATGGCTTCGTTGCAACGTACACTCTACCTGTCTCTTACAGATCGCCCAGTTTGTGGGCTGACCTCCATCTCAGCCAGAAGATGTACAAGAAGTATTTCAAAATTTGGGGCTTGGAAAAGAATCTCAAAACCCAGGAATCCATCTTTATGCTTAGCGTTGCCGAGCGACACCGGATGGCGAACAAGGAAACCGTCTTCACCCGACATGGCAAGCCTGTCGACCTTCGGAAGCTTTACCGGTTCAAGAGGCGACACAGGTTGGCTGGGGATGGAGGGATCGAGCAAGGGATCGGTCCACAGGGTATATACCGATTACTGGTCTGATGGTTAAGACGAGGGCTGACCTCGGTGTTTGGCCAGTGTCAACTCCCCCACACATCACGTATAGAGCCCCGGAGCCGAATCAGTGGACCAACTCGCTCCCGCCAATATCACCGCCCTGTCCCCAACCAAACACGAGCGAGGGAAATCAAGTTCCCATGGCGGACTCGCCTGTATCGTATGGCTTCGACAGCGAGAGGACGCCCCCGATCTCCGACATCCCGCGGCAGCATCCTATCTCTGTAGTCTGGCCATCTGACGAGACCTGTCGGAATGCCCAACGGCCGACGCGCACCGCTATGATCGCTCAGTTCATTCCGGACGCGCTCTCGGGGCCTCAGATGTCGATCCATCCACCCAGCTTCGCGCGACACGATCCAAGTCCCACGGTTGCTCAACTTCCCTGGGTCGATCCCACCGACCCTCCATCCCATGGCAGCCACTTCTCCGATGAAATTCCATATTGGTTTTCCGCTTCGGATTTACCGCACCATGCGGCTCAAATCTCGAGCAGCGGGTTTGGTGGTGAGGTCAACGTCTTCTCTGTTCATCACAGTCCCAACTTGAGCCAGGTGATGCTTGACATCAACACGTTGAGCTACCAAAGCCCGACCCATCCTCTCAACAGCAGCCCCGAGACGGCGGTGTACGCCGGCCTAGATCACAGCGCACTGAATGACGCTGTCGACAAGAATGACCTTGACAGGGTCAGGTCCATCTTAGCTAGCGGCGCGAATGCAAACTGCGCCGCACGCGGCGGTGTGACAGCCCTCCACACCGCGGCTGCCGCAGGCAACGTCAAGATAATCAAGCTCTTGCTGAACCATGGAGCCAGCCTAGACGCCTTGACGGACAAAAAGCAGACCATCCTCTTCTTCGCAGTTCGCGGCCCAGATTACTCGGGCCACAGCCACATGCCGGCCTATTCCCAACAAAACCATCCCAAAAACCCCGCCCGTACCGATGACGCCACAGTCCGCGCCATCGAAGCGCTATTCAACTCGCCGACCCGCTGGATCCACCGGCGGCGCAGCCTCGAAAAGGTCGACCAGCACGGCGTGTCGCCGCTCATGCTCGCAGCGGGCTACGGTTTCGAAAAGACGGTCACGATGCTCCTTGAGCGAGGCGCCCGCCCGGACGCGAGAGACCATGCCAACCACACCGCGCTCCGGTATGCCTCGCGGAATGGGCATCGCGGCCTGGTTCGCCTGCTGTTGCTGGCGGATCCGGCTGTGTCGGATTCGGGGGAGAGGGATCTGGCGCACCTTCTTAAGCTGGCTAGCAAGAATTTTGCGGTGCGCGCCCGCGCCATGGTGGATGATGATCGTCGTGTAGTTGGGGGGGGGAAGGAGGATAGGCTGGTCGGGTGTTGGTGGGATGGCGATAGTGATGAGTATGCTGCCTCGTCTGTCTCGGACCTCATCGCTGTGGAGATGGTGCGCTTGTGCGGGGAGATGGGCGTGGTGGATGGCTTGCTCCGGCTGGCGGCGCTGAGGAGGAAGAGGAGTGTTGTTGAGATGCTAGTGGGTGCGATGAGACGACTTGATGTGGAGGCTTCATATAAGCGGAGTACCTCTTGATGTTTGCGGTTGGGAGGAACACATTAGGATGATGATTTAGCTTCGCATGGGCCAGCTCGCCCGCCTGGTATTGGGAGGCTGGTAACGGGTTTTGAAGGTTCAGGGTTACGAACAATGTGCCATGAGGAGGACAAGAGATGGTTGGGGTATCGTTTTTTGAAACTGTTGCCTTGCCATGGAACGTGAGCCGAAAGCGACGGTTCCGGAGCAAGGTAATAATTCTTGTCTCCATCATGACCCAGAGCATCTGCTGACACTGTGTTCCGGATAGATGCCAGGACACTCCTTGGGGAGGCAACAGCATCTCTCAAGACATGCTCTGGCGGGTAGTATACTCTTTTGGGAGGACGGAGATTCTGAGATGGGGACTTGACTCGGAGGGCTACCGTTCTAGAAGAGCATGTCGTTTCGGTAAGGCATCTTTATGAACACCATATGCCACACGAGACGCTGCAAGACTACGAAGCGGCATTGGGTCCTGAGGAGGTTGACAGCTACCTTCCGGCGAAGTATGCAATGAGGAATCTTGCCAGCCACTGCACAAAGCAGGGGAGGCTGCCAGAGGCCAGGCGGTTGCTGGCGTGCTGCCAGGCTGGCCTAGAAATCGTGTCTGGCGCTCATCATGAGATGTAAACGAGTGTAGCCCGGGACTTGCAGGTGCTGGGATAGCAATCACGATTGTTCTTGACTGACTTCCCAGCTCCGTTTGCAGAATTAGTGAACCGTCCTTGTGTCAATGATGCCGACCAGGAACCAGACCAAACAGCGCAGACAAACGACCATAAGAGCGCCATGAATCGTTCGCTGAGGATCAAGGGAGGTGTATTACTAACCCAACAAGGCCAATATCAAGTCGGATCAATATTAAGTAGCATTTCTGATACACCTGACGTCGGAATTTGTTTTCGAAGGAAGCGAATCCCTGGAGTGTGGCAGCAGGTGGATTACAAACACGGCACACCTCAGCTAGAAAACTGCTCAAAAGCTCTCATAATTATCTCGAGGCTCGCTTGTCTGGTGTATTGGAATAGGTGGTAACGGCCATATCGGAGAACCATGGGCCATCTCAGAAAAGGAGCATGGGGACTCCTTTATTTAAGGTCCAGCCTGTGTACTACGAGTCCCAACTGTCTTGTTCTTTACGTTTTGGTCTCACCTAAATCCTAGCTCCAATCCACCTCCCTATTGTAAATACGCTACAGTTTCGGAGTGCCTGCTCCTTAGATGGAACTACTCAGCATGGCTTTTTCGTTCCGAACCTTTGCCATCCTGGCAGCAATGCTATCGACCGTCCTGGGGGCACCGCAACTCCCACCCAGCCAAGACCCGTGGTATTCGGCAACCCCTGGATTCGAGAGACATGCCCCCGGTGCGATCCTCCGCGTCCGCAAGGCACACAGCAACATCACGCTCCTGGTAAACAACACGGCGGGGGCCTACCAACTTCTCTTCCGGTCGACCGACGCCCGCTACAAGGCGTCGTGGGCCGTGACGACTGTCTTCCTCCCGCTCCTCCCGGCCAAGCAGACCACCTTGGTCTCGTACCAGATCCCCTACAACACCCCCGACGTCGACCAGAGCCCGAGTTATGGCTTGTCGACCCTCCACGGCGAGAACATCATGTCCAACGTGCGGGCGGGGCTCGACCGTGGCTGGGCCGTGAGCGTGCCGGACTTTGAAGGTCCGCTCGCGGCGTTTAGCGCGGGCATCCAGGCGGGCCACGCCGTGCTCGACGCGGTTCGAGCCGTTCTGTCCTTTGACAAGTTCGCCAGCAACAAGGGCAAGGGCGAGGCCCGCTACGCGCTCTGGGGATACTCGGGCGGTGCGCTAGCGAGCACTTTCGCGGCCGAGCGGCAAGCGTCGTACGCGCCAGAGCTGAGCTTCGCCGGGGCAGCCCTGGGCGGCGTGCCGTCCAACTTCACGCAGATCGTCTACAACGTCACGGGCACCCCCTACGCGGCCATCGTGCCGTATGTCCTCCTTGGCGTGACGGCCCAGTACCCGGAGGCGAGGGAGTTTTTGATCAGGCAGCTCCGCGAGGACGGGCCGTATAACAGAACCACATTCCTCGCTGCTCTGCGCACCACGCCGGCCGAGGCGGTCGCCATGTTCATGGGCCATGACATCTTCGAGTACTTCACCAATGGGGACGACATCCTCAAGGCGGCTGAGATGGTGCGCGTGTTGGGGGATAACTGGCACATGGGATACCGTAAGTGATCTCCTTCGCCGCTGTGTTAGCACCGAGTGATGACAGACGGCGCATTTTTGCTCTGTTTTCTCTAGATGGCATTCCGCAAATGCCACTCTTCGTGTACAAGGCCGTCATGGACGAGCTCACCAGCATCGCCACGACGGACGACCACGTCGACCGCATCTGCCGCGTAGGGGCCAATGTCCTCTACCAGCGAAACTTGGTCGGGGCTCACGAGAGCGAGTACGTGAACGGCGGCGTCAGGGCGTTGGGTTGGCTTGAACTGGTGCTCAGTGGGACTCGGCCGGAGCCCGGGTCGGGATGTAAGGTTGAGAACGTGCGTCATTAGGGTTGTGAAAACGTCAGGTGTACGGATATAGGTAGGTACTGTATTTACCACAAGGTACCTTAGGTAGGTCCTAGCCAAACCATCCGCAAATGTGTACAAGGCAAGCTGGATACGCAGAACACAGCAAGCCTTTCGCATCACAAGACCAGCTTGCCTCTCTCTGTGTCACCTTCATGGATACCAACCTCCACAGCTTCTCAGTCTTGGTGTAGTACATGCATACCTTACTCGGGTCTGTCGCACTAGTTACAGTGAACGTGCTTCCATCCGAATTCGTACTCCTAACTCAGGTACACTAGTAGTAGTGGGCACCTTGCAGAAGCACTAAAAACGGCTTTCCGCCTCGCATCTCTCACAAGCTTACCAAAGAAGCCAATGGCTCGATGGTGACTGCAGGTCGATGATCCTTGCTTTCGGAGAGGCACCACTGGCAGTTCGATCCGTGTAAAATCACACCTGGTGGTTTCCGTAGCCGATGGACCTCCTTTGCCAGTTTCAACCCGGCTAGGGGCAGCTGGTCGGTGAGCTTTAAGAGATCGAACGGCTCAAATAGAGAGAGTGAACATTGCCTACCATCGCGGTCCTGGTCGGTAAGCCAGAAATTCCACAAATGCAAGAGACGTGGTCGACAGCCAAAGCCATCACAAAAACTAAACAGCCCCACCCCCCTTTCCGCTTTCCCCAGTCAGGGTCCAGTCGTCGGCAGGCTGGTAACCCGCGACCGAGAACACGAAATAGAACGCAGACAACAAACCAAGAAAGCACCAGCAGCAATATCATCTCTAGAAAACGACACCTCTACGAAATCATCGAGAGTCTTGCAGCACAGTTTCTGATCACGGCACCCCGACTGGCGCCCTCCACCTTTTCACCAGTCCATACACGTACACAAGGTAGACATCAAACCCGCGCGTATATACGGCTCGTCGAGTGGTATCAACATCAATACAGGAAGAAGAGAGAAATACAAACAAAGCAGTAAGTGAATAGGCAGATAAATGGCTCGCCCTGTCCAAGCCCAAAGTAGGTCGCATGCGTTCAAGACAGTCGGATATTCATCCCATGCCCCTTCTTCGCCCTCTATCTCCGTCCATATCCCTTCACCGGGACAGGCATACCAACCCCCCACAGATCGAACCAGATGAGACCAGATGAGACGGATTAGGTTGCAAGAGATCCCATCGAAAGCAACACCGTAACATGCGTGAGCCGACTTCGGCCGTAGTTCACGTGTGTTCTGTCACAGCAAAAGCAGTCCCGCGAACCCCACCACCACAGCAAACGCGCTGGCCCCGAGCCCCCGCTCCACATCGCGAGCCCCCGCGTTGGAGTTGCTGGTGCCGCTTTGGCCGCACGACTGGACAAACCCGGACGTGGCACAAGCCAGCGAGTCGCCGGTGCTGGAACCGCCGCTGCTGCCACCGGTGCCGCTGCCGGAGTCTGATCCCGAATCATCCGAGTTCTCATCGCCGGGAACCTGGTTTGGGGGCGCCGAGCCGCCGCCAGGAATGTACGCGACCGAGGAGGACGACGCCGAGGCGCTGCCTGACGTGGTGCTGTCGCCCTTGTCCATGTCGGTACCCGTGCCGAGGAGGCTCTTGAGCACGGTCGGTTTATCGCTGTCGACGACCGTGTCGTTGGTGGCCGAGATGTCGTTGTAGTAGTACGACACACCCTTGTTGGTGCCGGGCGCCTTGTCCGTCTTGTAGCACTCGACCGTGACCTCCTTGAACGTGGCAAAGTAGTAGCCGTAGTCTTGAATCTCGTCCGAGTTCCAGTCGATCTTGCCGCCCGCCCAGTCGATGGTGCCCTTGGCGTTGGTCTCGAGGCCACCGGGCCAGAGCGAGATCTGCACCCGCGCCGGCGTTTGGGGGTACGCCCACTGATTGGACGTCTCGTTCCACGTATCGGACCTCTTCTGCGTCCGGCCGAGCTTGCCGTCAATGAGCCACCTGATCTCGTCGGGCGTCCACTGGATCTCGTACTCGTGGAACTCGTCGTACGTGTTACCGTCTACCGTGAGGTTGCCGGTGTGTGTGTCTTGAGCAGTAATCAGTACCCAAATGTGCGGCCACAAGACGGTCACAAACTGAAGACACTTACAATCGGGAATGCCCTGGAAGTAGTAGTTGGTCTGGGCAGTGTGAAGGTCCACGCCCACCCACTCGTAGTCAATCTCGTCCTTGACATCACTGAACAGGATAAAGGCCGTCACCACACCGGCGCCCCTGGACGTCTTTAGCGTCGCCTTGACATTGCCATACCACATGTACGTCGTCGTAGCCAACACGGTGCCGACCGATTTGGGCGGCATGGTAAGCAGGACGTTGCCGTCGTAGAGGAGCGGCTCGCCCTGGCCCACCCAGTCCGCCGTCTCCGGGTCACCCAGATACTCGCTGATGTCCTTGTACCGGTCGAGCGAGTCCATCTTGTACGTCTTGTCCTTGCACACCGGAGCGGGCACGCACGAGTCGAGGGAGAAGGACATACGCGGGTCGCAGCCGCCGAGGCAGAAAGCGCCGACGCCACATTGGCCGTACTCTGCATGTTCCCCGAAGTCAGTCGCGTGGTCTTTCTTCACAGTGCAAGACTGGAAGGCATGGTATGCCCGCGATCCGAGATCTACTCACGAGAACAGCAGGGTGCCTCCTCGGGGCATTTCTTCTCTAACGAGCAGGTAGGGATGTCGGCGGCCAGGACGGTGGTCGCGCCGAGCAGGGCAGCACCCAGCGGGAGGAGAGATCGAACCATGGTGCTCTTATGACCGGGCGCGCGGGATATGTCTCGGTGAAATCAAAGTCTCGGGAGAAGCGACGACGTTCGCGAGGCTCCGATATATCGTCAGTCGTGAGCCACCTTTCCGGTTGCGTGTTCTCCAACTGTCCTAAATGCGGCGTGTTGGAATGCAGGGCCGAGGGAAGTCGGTGCCAGGCAACCCTAACAAAACCCAGGGTCCTCAAGCGCCTGATAAGCGCGTAAAATGGTAGGGTGCGAAGTAGGCGTAGAGAATGGTTCGATCGGGGGCGGATGTTTCGTGGGACGTTGAACGATCGGACCGTGAATTTCTTGGTGGAGAGCAGTGAGATCGCGTTTCACCGACGATTCTCAAATGAAACGAATGGACAAGCGACCTTTCCGGGCCCCTCTGTGCGAAGCGAACGATCCCCAACGGCTGGCACGGCGCTGGATGGAGGTAAAACGAGAGTGAGTGGGCTCCTGAAGGTCCCGTCGCCGAATGGTTGGAGGTGGAAAAGGGGGAGAAGAGCGCGAAGTTCAATCTTAGCAGCTGGGGCTCTCGGCTTGGTTCATCTCCGCAGTTTCCACTCCCAGAACGGCAGCTACGCTGGACGATCCAATTCAAGGTGGCTAAAAGTCAAGTTGCACGCCACCCAGAGAGTGGAGACATTTCCTGCATCCCCTCGTGTTGGGTCAGACATGCAGAGCCGTTGGCCTCATCCTCGATTCCTGCCATCAGGGGATTGATGATTGGGCGAATACATCAATAAGGTAACTAGCAACCAGGGATCAACTGGGATGTTAGCAGCATACACAAGTGTATACAACAACATCACTGCACTGTTCAAGAGCAAGCGGACATCAAGATCGATCCATTTCCCAAGTCTCTGCCATTATGGATGCCAAGTCCTCATTCACGACGAACTTCAGGCTTCCCCAGACCGTTTCCAGGCCCCTGCAGACGCTGTGGAGCCACTGCAGATAACCGCTATGTCCGTTTCCAGAAACGTCACACCACAGCTGATTGGGCAGGCGGTTATCACCATCTTCCATCGTTTTCTCTGCTGGTGCTCACTTGACCAACATTTGTCTCGTGTTGTTAGCATCGCGATCAAGATTTTCACTGAGCTCCAATATAAGCGATAAGGACTGCCGTTCACATGCACCAGGATATGACTCTGTCGGCCATCTAGTGTAAATGTACACACCCACACCACTTAATACCATACCAACATATAACCTCTACTTTATTTTCGGATATTCTCGGCAGACTGGCATCTAAGATACAGTACACAGCAGCCTTGAGCAAACAATATACGCTGTGGGAGCGTTCATCGCTACTAGACTAGATAAGTCCCACTGCACCTTGATGGTCTGTGAATTTGATAGACCGTCAGATAAAATGACCCATTCACCTTATCAATCACTTTGCCGAAGCATGCCTACTCCCGCTGCGCTAACTTGCTCTGCGTGCTCTTGAGGCCAATCAACATGAAAAGACAACTAACTTCCGGATAGTGGCAGCAAATGATGCTTACGAGACGATTATGATGAAAAACAGGCCCAGACAATCTCCGTAAAAGAAATGACCACCACCATCCGACATCTTTTCCTCGTTGCACCACGCCTGGCTACCAAGTCCTGGCAGCCCAGTATAAGCAGGTGCACTTACGTCCAAGTGACCTCGCTGGTGACCTCTAATGTCCCAGGGGGTAGAACGACATTGACCAAATATGCCTTCGGTCAAGCCCCGTGGCATCGACTTTCTTCGAACCGAGACTCCAACAAGCCAAACCAAGAGTGGGAATAGCCATGGACAGAAACACTGTCAAGGGACGAGATGGAAGAAGAGACAATAAATGGCAAGCATAAAGAGGCCGCTAATGAACCAGATAATCATGAAATACATGACCAACTTTCTCCGTGTGGGGAGCTCCGGTTGTCCCCAAATCTCGCTGGACTGCAGGAGGCCGACAAATGTGGGTAGGGAGGAAGACAGCTCCTCCGCCAGAGCCTAATCGCATTCAGGGGTTGAGGCGATCAAAGTGTGCATCATCTGCCTTTCTGCGGGGGAAACAGATCTACAAAACTGTCAGCTTCTGTCCCGGGTCCTTCGGATCACGAACTGCACCATCACTCACCAGGAAAATGCTCCTTGGCATACTGCTCACAGGCCTTCGCAGGCTTTCCAACCTTCTGCCCGATTGTCTTCCACTTGTTGTTCTCGTACTCCTTGATGGCTGAGAACAAGGCCGCTTTCTAAATGGACAGTCAGCTTTGACATGCTGTAACAGAGAACAACAGGGTGATATGTACTTCGTCCTCAGCGAATTCAGCATAATGCATGTCCTTGTACCAGTGCTTCTTCACACTCCCCTCTGTTCGCGATGGAAAGGTCTGTATCATATTAGCTCCTAGCATACCTCGTACCATCATCGACGGCGCATACCTTGGCAATCTCGGCCCAGCTGTGGCCCGCATCACGCATCTGTTTCAGCCGAAGCTCCTCAGCCGGCGTCCAAGGCGTATTTGTCCGACTCTTCTTAGCGGGAGGCGGCGCCGGAGTGTCGTCGGCCGGAGCGGGCTGCGCCGGTGCAGCAGCCGGCTGAGTTGGAGCGGGGCCCGGAGCGCCAGCGGAGGCAGGCTGCTGCTGCGACTGCTGCTGCGGAGGATGCGGCCCATGTGGCGCATGCTGTGGGTGGTGCGGCGGGGGCTGCTGCTGCTGCGATTGCTGCGGCTGTTGTTGTGGTTGCTGCTGCTGCTGCTGCGTAGCTGAAGGCTGCGCGGCCTGAGGGGCCGCCATGGGCGCAGGCTGCCCAGCTTGCTGTTGCTGCTGCTGTTGGCCAGGCTGGGACCCCGTCATGTGCTGGGATGTATGCTGAGGCTGGTGTTGAGAAGCGTGCTGAGCATGCGGAGGGGGATGTTGCTGGGCAAGCTGAGGGGGGTGTTGGGGTGCATGCTGAGCGGCGTGCTGCGGAACGTGCTGCGGAGCGTGAGCCGGAGTATGCTGAGGTTGGTGTTGTGGAGCATGTTGCGGCGCGTGCTGGGGAGCATGGGCTGGAGGATGAGCACCTGGAGCGGGTCGCTTCCGCCTTCCCGACTGCGCGGGTGCCGGTGCCGGGGCCTGCGGCTGCTGGGGCGGTGGAGCCTGGCCCTGTTGGGCATGAGGCTGCACGGGCTGGGCCACATGGTGTTGCGCGTGCTGCGCATGCTGCTGCTGCTGCTGATGCGGGTGCTGTGGCTGCTGTGGCTGCTGCGATGTCTGGGGTGGCTGGGTGGGGTATGCTCGATAGTCCACCGACTGCTGCTGCTGGTCGCGCCGAGTCAGGTCGGGCTGTTGCGGAGCAGCAGCATAAGGCGATTGACTGTACCATCCGGCATGGTTAGCGAATGTGTTCGGCGACGGCGACGGATGGTGTTGTTGCTGCTGGTGCTGCTGGTGGAGTTGCAACGCCGGCATCGATGTCGTCTGCAGCGGACGCCATGACTGAACCGTGTTTGCTGTCCGCTGCTTCTTCATCACAGACGGGGGAGAGGTCTGTTGGGAGAGCTCCCCGGGCGCAAAGCAACAGACCAGGATCGGACAGCGAAACCCAAAGGGAAGGGAGAGCTCGGAATAAAGGGCAGACGGGCGTTCTCAGGGCCCAAGTCACAATTGGGGAAATGTAATGACGCTCAGTTATTTCGCCCGAGCATTCCCCACGTCGTAGATCTACTCTGCTCCCAAGTGTACACGTACAGGACAATGCACCGGGAGAAAGTACATCGAGTACGCAAATCGGGGAGGGTTGGGTTGGAGAGGGGGCACGGTCAGGTGTCTTGGGGGCCGTGCCAGGATACCGAGAGATACAAAGGGACGAGGTAACTCACTGAAGTTCATTGGAGTGGCTGGTGGAGTTAGAGTAGAGGTACTCCGGCATAGGTGTAATCGTCCACTGATGCATGATCTAGCTCGTGTCATAGCGGTCAGCGGTCTGCAGAGAAGGACAATTGCAATGAGATGAAGCGTCGTGAAAGTTCCCTGAAGATAAACAACCAAACCCCAACGGGCTGGTGCGTGCTCATAGGGCTTCAAAGGGAGAAGCTGCCCTGTCCTGTCGATTGACATGATTCTTAGGTCGGCTGCGAGGTTTGCTTGGTACACGGTACCATCATCCTTTCAGCCGTGTGCAGAGACCAGATTGACCAGTTTTGGTGAGCGGTTTTGCTGTGCAGCGAGCAGTGTAGCGTGTCTCATGCAGCACACGTCGAGTCCATCATAAGATGGCCCGAGGGTCTCGAAAATTTGAGATGAAGAGGAACTGGCACTTACGGATGAATGGGCTTGTTCAAGAATCGCGCAAGCGCATACAACGACACGACTCTTCAAGGTTGAGGGAAGCTGGAAGGTACCTGCGAGTGACAAGCGGACAGGCGACTTAGGATGTAGTTCAAGACATGCGAGCAGAAGTACCTCGAACTGGTGGAAGTATCAGGAATGGGGGGTTGGGGCTGGGTGGAGAAAACCTTGAGAAAGATGTCTGTGACCTCAGAGCGCGGTTGCAAGCTTTTCTGGGTGGATTGGGTTTGTGCCAAGAGTATAGTGGGGTGGTGACTTCCCGCTTGAAAGTTTTTGTCACTGGACCAGTGTCCCGTCGCAAGCCACACCTGCGTCGGAATCGCCGGCCCGGCAGCTCTCGCATCGGGCCGTCACTGAAACTGGCTCGAGCATTGTTGGCGGCCGATGCCCACTGCGGCTCTGTTTGAAGCACGTCGAACTGAGTCAGTAGTAATGTCCTGGCTACCCATTATAATTGAATGGCCTTCTTCTCAAGCTGCGCGGATCTATACAGCAGGTTGTCAGACAACGGTAAGCTCATACCTGGCTCCAGATTGGCGCTAGCGTTTGTGCTTGTGATTGCTCTCGCAGAGATTGGACCGCTGCAAGCACGATGACGGGGAGGCGTCACTTGTGTGCACGTATCCGTACCCTTCGCCAATGACGATTCGTGACTGGTGTCCTCTGCTGGTAACGGCCGTGGGATCATGCTTAAATCACCATACTGTAACAGAAAACACCATCCCGCAAGATGCAAGCAGCAATTGGTTACTGCCTTTGCTCATGAAGAGGTAGGTAAAGTACGATTGATCGTATTGTATAATACCAAATGGTAAGCGACAGCCTCGGTTGCTTGAGGAAAGGTCTCGTGTGGGGCGAAGCGAGCTGCCCCTTCCGCCTAGACTCGTGCAATTACGCATTACGGTATCGGCCGGTTGTTTCAGACTATGTCGATTTGGGTCCCACACCGGCGGTAATCGAGAAGCACAGACCACAGACCTCGACCTGGAGCCCGAAAAGGGGGGGCCGAGCGTCAATTCCTTGACATTCACATCTTACACGGCAAGATTTTACGCGTGGAATTGTTCATGAGGAGCTCTGCAGATCAAGACATTGTAACACACGGTACGCCTGTACGAATGGACGTGGCAGAAGGGCGGCCCCAGAGCAGGTCAACAACAATCACCGACGGCAGAGAGCTTGGCGGTTGGTGACAACCGACAGGACAAACACGCGGCTTAAACGGCCATTCGTCCGTATGACAGGTAAAGGCAAACACAATCAAGGTTGAGTACGCCATTCGCGAGTGATTCGAGCGGGCTTACAGTGTTGAGTGAAATGCGAAAGAAATAACAAGGGCACAGCACAACGCCGGGGCCGACAGAAACGATGTTACAAGTCTCACAAGATTCCGAGAGTTTGGCGTAGCGAGGCTGCAACCCCATGAAATCACCCATTACGCAGCTGGGTGTATTTGCAGCATCCCGTCCGATGATGGGCTCCGGCAGTCGAAATGGTATTATTACCTGTCATCAACTCGGGGTCCGGAGACACACACCGGGGTAGTAATGAAGATGTGAGTGAGGTACAATACAATACTGTACCAATGCAAATATGCAGTACGAGGATGCTCACCGCCGGCAACAGATATGATTGCAGATGCCAACAAACCCCATAAATAACCATGTCATCTCAAATGCTGTCAGATGGACATGCCCTCCAGCTATGAGATTGAACGAACGCGCATCTGATGGTCCGGTCGATCCCGAAACGGAAAAGCAAGTGACGCGATCTGCCTGTCATGTCCAACAACGATCCTTACCTCCGGACAATTCGGACTTGGCTGCTCTGGACTTTAAGACAACAATGCGTAGATAGCCGATGATCAGGAGCCGAGTACACAATTCAACTGCCTGAGAATCCGCGATTGTTACAAAGAGAACTTAGAGAGCCACTTTGGGGTCCCCTCATGACACAATCCGATCTGACCCCGGCTTGATACTCGAGACAGTTGACGCTTGGCTTGCACGTTCGGGCCGTACCTGTCCAATGTCCCACAACGCCTTCATCAATACTTTCCCATCATATATCGGGTCCCCGCACAGCTCAGCTCGAGCCGTCTGGGCAATTCCCGAAGGTGGCTAGGGTGAAACGGCTAACTCGTGTTGAAATTGTAAGGATTAAGATGCCCAGGAGGCAGAACACCAAACGACACGAGCAAATGTGGTCCATTCCGAGGACAAAAACCGGGTTGAGGGAGTACCGCTGCATATTTACCCCGAATCGATCATGGGAGCAAGAACCTGGCTGTAGCACGGCCCGGCAGAGGAGGATGTTGGGAACAAGGTGGCTGCGGCAAGTCCTTCTTTCCATCAGCCGACTGGTGGAATGAGACACTGCCGCCGGAGAGTTCAGTGACCATCACCGGGGCCTGGTGCTTCGGCTCTCGGAGGATAACCATCTCAATCCCTCCCCAGATCTCTCGGCAGGAGTCAGCGGTGGTTTAGGGCCCTGAACTTCTTAAGAGCGCTTATCCCATCCCCCTCCGGACGGAAAGCGAGATTTATCTCGGCCATAGCGCTCTATGCAAGAGGGAATTGTAACCCACACCATCTATTCCCGAAGAGGAGAGGCCACATAGTCTTCGTCATGGTTGGAAGAGCTACCTTGTCTCGAGCTTGCCTGTGTGTGGTCAGTTATCGAACAAATAGCGGTGGCGCCGCATGTTCATGCTGTCTTAGAATGACTAGGCGGTTGGGGGTTCTTGCCTGAAACGGCACCAGTTCCAGCATGTCAACACCACGTTTGAGACGGACGCGCTCTTGCAGAAGGGTGTGCATGGTTTGTGTCTGTGTGGTCTGCAGCTCAACAGGCCAGCCTCAGAAACCTGGACATGGACCAGGCTGTTGTGGCGGGCTCGCTTATCGAGCCCGTTGTGACCCTGTCCTTGTGGTTCCCCAGATCTGGGATACACAACCCCTTCCCAGGCTTGGCAGCTCAGGTTGGCGGACGGCAAGATGAATCTGTGATGAGATATGTGATTGCTGCTCGCTGCGTGCCTCTATTATGCACCTCTATTCCGGTCGGTTCTGTGAAGGCAATGCTGCTATCCTCGGGTTAAGCCGTCAACAAGAAGGTACTCCAAGCAGCCCAACAAGAGAAGTACTTACGGTTCAGTCGATCCCGAATTGATGTGCCCATGTGTAGATGGACTGCTCTGCATCATCCACAAGAGGAGCTGGCCGAGCCAACTGCGCAACCAGAGTGTTTTCTAGAAGACCCGGAGGCACTATCTCAACAGTTATAGTTGCACTATGTTAATGGCCAGGGCATCTCGACAATGATAAATGAAAGACATCAGGTTTGACATGTGCTGAGAGCTAACAGGCTCGCATGCTTGCAAGTAGGCTGAACCGTGCAAACTTACTTTCTATACAAACAGTCCTTTGGTGAAACTCTACGTTGAATGTTCCGGCATGCGAACTCACACTTACAACACTTACAAGATGGAACGTGTGAAACTGCATTATGTCATTACAACGTCGAATGAGACTCCTTCCGATCTTTTGTGAGAGCGGATCGACGGCACAGCCCCGGTATCTCCGTTACCCGTCGTGTAGCTGATCGAAACAGGAGCTGAAGAGAGAACCGCGTACAAGAATGTCAAGGTCCGGAAGGTGCTCAGAACCCCATGTTGCAAGCGAATACATGAAGTCAAGGACCGAGGCTGGAGAGGAACGGGTGCCCAGATTGAAAGCCTTGTGCAACGTGGAAGGTATGAAGTCGTAAGAAACTTTAGAGAGGAAGCAAGTGTGGCTGCAATGTACTGCACCCGCACCAGTTTGGTGATCTATACAGACCACCGGAATCGGGTTTATCGAAAAATGCTTCGGCCGTGCAAGCAGGCTCCTTCCGAGAGCGACAGCGGTTGGTATTGTGCGGTTGCGAAATGTATCATCTGCCGAGAGCAAGGATAGAAGCCGGTGAGTATCATGAAGTAAATCATCGCCGAGCGGTCCAGCGATCAGGTTCATGCTGGGTTGATTCTTCAGACGGCGCCATGGATCCTCCATGAAACTCTAAGCGCATCTGAACTTCGTCAGACGATCGGAGCGAGAGATAAGTAGATGCACCTTAGACGCTCGAGTTCTTTTCAGCAAGCAAGGGCCGGAGCCGGAACGCTTGTTTGTCAGCACCATGGCAGCTGGGGCTAAGCCACTGCAACCTTACGCACAAGATGACATTCTTAACGGCCAGTGGCCGCAGCATGGGCCGGAAGCGAGACGATGGACAGGGTAAGCGTGACTGCTGAGAACATTCGCCTTAGCTTCCGTGTAGATGGTGAGCCAGGATCCGGTGTGGCGCCTCTGCCTGAAAGGGGTTGACAAGCCGAGGCGGTCGCAGCTTGAGGTCAAAGGCGGCGCTCGAGTTCCATCACGCGCCCAATGGTAAAGGAGCAAACAACGCTTGCCCCTGAGCCGGGACGGCTTGCAGTGGACAGTAAACGGACCTAACAGGTCAGCATCTGTGTGGCCGCCGTTGTTAAGATGGAAACAGCGGGGCGACGACGGATTGAAGCAGAGGCGGGCCATCGGAGGGTGATTCGCGCCGTTTCTGATCGCGTTATAAGGCAGTACCCGGTCATCTTCTGCGCTCACAATTGCCGTCGTTCCTTCCCGTTCCCAAGACCGGCCGAGGAAGAGGCCCTATGCTTGGACGATCGGACGTAGCACATCTGCAAACCAAACATATGCGGCGCTGGGGTTGTTGGAATTGCCGAACAGAATCGACCTGCTTTTGTCGTAGTCGACTGCAATAAGGTGGGCGAGTTATCCCGAGTCGTTGGGCGCTCGCGGTCGTCCGATGCTCCAAGACAAAGTTCGGTTGACTTAACCTTCTCGGTCAATCTTTCAACTCGGGGCGTTTCGAGCGTTGTTTGCTGGCCGCAACTGGGATGGCCAGGCCTCGTCGCAAGGCCCGCAAAATAGTGGTGAAGGTTGTGGCCCGCAAGGCGCAGCCTCTTCTCTCGCGGTTGTGCTGGGGTCCGAGGGCGGTTGGCCTGTGCGTAGAGACCCGATTCAGTAAGGCCTGAGACACGGCTGAGGGCGAGCCCACGGTTAGCGAGTTTGAGGCATGACCGGAACTGATCTGAGCCTTGAGGCAGGGCGAGTGCAGGGGCCAACTTTCTGCGATCCACTCTTCCATGAGATCATTTCTCTATCGATCGAAACCTCAGTGTGCGCGCGTGAGCTTGAAGGTAAGTAGAAGTGATGAGTCTTGTATTGTAACCGCACACGCGCATTTGGGTCTGCCCCTTTACACCGGGGTGGCAGGCCCGAGAAGGTCGATACAGGTTGCGGCTGTGCTCGTCCGCATTGAAGAAGCTTGCTGCTGTGCCTCTCAGTCTAGGTCTCCTCGAACGAGGACATCCTATGTGTGTCGAGTGTGACTCTGGCTCAAAGCGCGCGGAGCCGCCGGCCATACGCGCCGACCACCTGTTGCTGCAGCTAAGAGTGGCGAGTCTGTGGGGGCGGGCTGAAAATGAGGATTGTCGTGTATATGGAGATATCTGCTGTCGGTCGCCCGTCTCAACAATTGGGTACTGTGGTAGAAACAAAGTCGCGTTTCAACCGAAAGATGTCAAACCAAACAGACGGGATGGATCGATGCAGCTTCGTGCATAGGAGTCCACTGAGAAAAAGCGATCAAGCGCGGGGCATGCGGGCCCCTGCAAAGTGCAAGAGCCGCAGAACCCCGGAAGAGGGGCGGCACAAATCTCCGCAGCCAATGAGAAGCGATGGTCAGGCACCAGGGCAGTTCTGTTACACTCGGCAAGAACGACGAGCAAGAGGATAACAGTGTCAAACGTCAGGTCACAGACCTCCTTCCCGCAAAGAAGGGGAAGAAAAAAGAGTTACAGGATCGTACCTCGATTGAAAGATTTTAACACGGCTCGACGCATCGCGATTCGACCCTGTTTCCGCGCCTGCGCTTTGCCAAATGTGGGCCGCGACCATGTGTGCCTGGAGGTCGGCCGGTTGTTCTCGATTTCGCCTCTTCGATTGCCCCGATCTCTTCTCTCTGCTTCTGGCCGACTCGTCTTGGGCCCCAAGGCGGCAGGCACCGATGCCAGGTATCCACGACATGCTCTCGAACAATACCTTTTCTCGCGGCGACAAGGCCTTGAGTTTGGTCCAGCGCTGCAACAACGGGACGGCATGTCTCCTTGGAACGGCAATGCCGAAGCCTCGTTGTTGGCCGTTTTCAGGGACATACAGTCTGCCATCGCCCGAGTCTTCACCTCACCAGGCGTACCTTTTCTCCAGAACGCGAGAGGAGATCCTAGCCGGTAAATACGGCCACGGTTTCCCGGCAGCAAGTGCTGCGTGTGCCACAGCGGGAGATGGCCAGAAGTTTTGTTCTGTCCGTTTTCGGGTGGACAGCATGACTTGTGTGCCAGACCCATCGCCCGGAATCGTTCTGAACCGGGCGCCTTTGTCTTGGCTGTCGAGTGCGACAAGGGTTGAGCGTCTGTTTCAGTTCTCCAGAACTCGGTTCTGTTGCTGGATGATCGAGAAGGGCTTGTTCACGGTGATGGCTAATTCTTCCAGGGCGCCCTGTCACCTGGCCGTCACCGCTTCTTTCACTCAAATATGCCTTCGCCTTAGCCGTGCCTTTGCACATGAGGTCTGGCCTGGCCTGAGCTGGTCATTCCACAGGCTATGACATAACTCCCCTGCACAACTTACACCACCGTGTAACCATATCCCCGACCTCTCCCCCCCAAAGCGTCTCCACACCGGAGGTCTGTAACAGGCCTCAAGCCCGGGGTGGCCTCCCCCTGGTCCGCCTTGTGGGACTGGATGAGCTTCAGCCGGACGTCATGCAACAATAGCATGCATTATTATCAGCGTCTTTGCTCCCTCCCCAGCCAGAGCCCTTTTGCCTCTTCTTCTCTGTCTTCCTACTCACCAAGCGCTAAGTGTGGATTCCCTCACCATCACTACGCTGTTGCGTTGTGTGTCCCTTTCCTTTTTACTTCCCTTCTCGCAGCTAACGTTGTCACTCTTTCGCCTTTACCAACTAGTTTCGCTGCCTACATTCTTTTTCTGGGAGTGTTACTTTCACCTATAAACGGTATAATCTGGTTTATTATACTTTCTTCTTCGCCTGGCCGAGCCTTTGCGTCGAGTACCACTTTCGAAACATATCGACTTGTTTCAACTGCCTGGGTCCGTTGTTCGAGGTTTACGCCACTTGCTCCCTCTCACGGGACGCCCAAGACGTCCTTGCCTGCAAGATTGTGGAAGGGACTCTGCTTCTGGGTAACCTATCTCTACTGCGGTCCATACCGAAACAAGACGACTTCGCTTCTTCAGCAGCCAGTCCTGCTTGCTCTTTTTACGAGCACCAACCTTTGTTGCAAGTTTCACTTCTGGTGACATACCGCCTGGCAAAACAGCTTGAGCCAGCCACTCTATTGGAAGGGCATCCACGATCATTGGTGACTTGGGATTCTCGGCAATCATGTCTCCGACCATGCAGATGTCAGGGCCGCACGTCCCATACACGCCTAAATCGGACGCCATCGACCGCCATGATTATGGCATCACGAAGAACAGGAAGACGGCTTCGACTGGGGGCGGGCGAGCATGGAGCGAGGATGAGGTGCGTAATTCCGATAGCTCGTAAATCGAGGCCAGCTCGTCAAAAAATGTAGTTGCTGACGGCTACCGTGCGCAGGAAGCTTATCTCCTCCAGACGCGTATGCAGAAAATGCCATACAAACACATCGCGGCCCACTTGAAGAAGACGGAACTTGCGTGCCGTCTTCATTATCATCAACTCAGCCACGGCAGCAATCGCCGTAAGCGCACGACCTCCATGTCGTCGGGATCTTCGACCAGTGGACACTCTCCGATCCTTCATACCACCATATCCTCGCCAATACATGAGCGCAGAGGCGCGCCGAGTCGCTCTGTTTCTCCTCCTGACTCATACGGCTCGACCAGTCCCGGCGGTATCCAGCTCCCCAGCATCATGTCAGCAACTGCTTCCACGAACACCTCGCCGCGTCTGCCCACGATCCTGCCCAAGCCTGCCTCGATGACTCTTGCCCTTGCATTGATCAGTGGGCCCGGCTCGGCTGGCACCGCATCCCCTACAACATCTCGCGGCTACCCCACCCCTCTTCATGACACCCACCCCCATAACATGGGTTCCGCGACCTCAGCGGGGTACCGGGCTGCTTCAAACGCTTCAACACGCGCTCCTAACAACGGCCCGCATCACCACGGTCCCGGACCTGGGCCTCTCCGCCTAGACTGCTCCGCGCTCCCGCCACCTGCTTCCGCCGGGGGCGTGCACAGCCCGCCCAGCTTCGCGGCAAGCCACCCTGTCGACATGGCGCGCCTGACAGCCGTTTACAACGCCCACCGCGCGTCCTTCTGGGCTGCTGTCGCTGCCGACTACGGCCCCGGCGCAAATCCGATTGTTCTCGAGCAGGCGTGGCGCGGCAGCGGTACCACGGGCGGCGGCGGCGCGGGCGCAAACCTGGGCATTGCCGCGCAGACGCCCATCACTCCCATCGGCAGCCCCGACGACCAGCTCTACTCTGCTGGCGGCGGTGGTGGCGGCGGGCATCATCATGGGCATGGCCATAGCCAGGGGCAGGGCAAGCAGGATAAGACGCGGATCAGCGCCATCTTGGGGATTGATGCCAACCCGAGAAGCCCGAGCGAGAGGGAGATGGTGAGGAGGCTGGAGGAGGAGAGGGCTGTGGGTATGGGGGTGGTGGGTTGAGGGTGTGTGGCCAGTTGTGAGCATGGCTTGTTGCTGTGTGGGTATCTTACCTTCTTGTCAATGGTTTTGGGGCGGTTGTTTTCCTGGTTGTTGATGTTGGCTTGGGACTGGTTTAGGCTCTGTTTGGGTTCAGGTTGACTCGCTTTGCAACCACCTCACAGGAAGGATTATACACTGGGCGTGGGTATCTTGGGTTTCTTTGCCCGTCACATGTTTTGCTCCGTTTTGGCTTTTCAGCTCTCTCTGTTTTCTTTGTTCCTTTCTTTTCTTTTTTTTTTGCCTTATCCTCGGCAACCTTCGCCCCTTGCTGCTGATTTTTCAGTTCGTTGTATGCAAGTTTACACGACACACCTCTCCCCCCCAACCTCCTTCTCTTCTCCCCGATGCTGTGGGATTTGTTCAACGCCCCTTGGCGTTGCATTGGTGATGGCTTGGCAGGGGTGTGACTATGGATGGATGGACGGATGGAAATGATGTCGACGACACCGACGTTTCGCAATGACGACGGCACATGACGCCGGAGGACACTTGAGCGGCGGACTGTGTTTTCCAATTTCCTCATACTCATACCCCATTTCTTAGCCTCTCCTATCTTGTTCAACAGGGTCACAACATGACATATGGATTTCGGCAGTGAGGCTGGTTGGGTCTTGGATGATGTAGGGTTGCAGGATGTTGGGTTGTTGGCTGGTTGGAGCGGACATGCAATGGGTGCAATGGGTTCAGCGAGGGGAATAAGGCGCCCTGGTATCCCGTGGTTGTGCTAGACTCGAATAGCAATACCGTTTGTCAAGTTGCTCAATGAACCTTCAGCAGTGTTGGCAATTCAGTGGGCTAGATCTTGGGATCTGTACCTGGCATGAATTCGAGAAGACCCAGCCCCTTTCCAAGTCATCGTCTTTGCATTTCCTACTCGTCGCAAAGGGGTTCTTATTTCCAGGTCGCAGCGATGGCGCATCAGACCCTCCATCTGCAGTCTTCGAGTACCGGTCAGGTAGTTCCCCGGTACCGAAACTGAGCCTGCAGGCACCAGCTCGATTCACTCGGAAGGTCCAGTGTGAGTTGCGGCAGAACAACCAGGGTTGTTGGGTCGCCCCTGTGTGCTGTGTTGGGTAGTTACCGGATAACATCGAGTTGCAGCCGAACTCGGCTTCCCTAAGGCTGCCCTTGCCCACTGACCTCCAGCATGGAAACCTTCCGATCCTCCGATGTGTCGACGAGGAATGAGAAATCGATAGTCGAAAACGCAAGGACGGCGATTGTCAGGCAATACATGCGACGCTAGCTGCGAAATTGTTCCTCGTTCCGGGTTTCGCGGCTATCTGCCGCCGGGCTCGGCTCCCGTCTGCTGGGCTCGCTTGCAAAGAATAACCGGACCGGTCCCGTCTCCGTTCCCCCCGCCGCCTCAATCCGATGTTGCATCGCGACCTGACCAAGCACCACACTCGAAAGCTGGACCGAGCACGCCTTGCTTCATTGGTCTTGCGGCATTCTCAGGCCAGTCCTGAAGGATGCTCCGTAGCCCCGCGGCGCTGGATCGGGTCGCTTCCCTAACCGAGGAACCCGGGCAGAGATCAGCCAGATGCAAGATGCAGTGTTGTGTCACCTTGCGTTGCCCGATAAAGGACCTTGACGTCGGCCCCTTAACTCCACCTACCCCTGCAGAGCCGAGCTTGCTCCATGCCTCCTACCACGTGCTGTGCATATGGGCTCGCGATCCGTCGCAACTCGGGTCTTCTTCCGCGCCTGCACCTGAGCGCCATTTAGTACAGAGTACTTTGCAGAAGCTATGGCTGCTGAGCCATGCTGCACTGCATGCCTGCAGCCGGCATTGGAACGGATATTCCAGTTTATTGAAACGGATGGTGCTCTGTCACAACAACCAAAGGAATTATAGGAAAAGTGTTGTCTCCGAGTCCAACATGTACCACCACCAGCGCCTCGCAATACAACCCGTTTGTTAGCGCGGAACATGGGAACAAGTACTTACGTTTCTTGTTTCGCTTTGACCTTCTTGATCTTTGCTTTTCCTGTTCCGCCTCCCCTTGACCTCTATTTTTGTCATTCTCTTCCCTATTTTCTTACTTTTTCTCTTCAATTTGTATGCTTATCTTTTTCTCTTCTTTGTGTTCTTAACTTCCAGTGCCCGCTACGTCCCACTTTAACAGACAAATCAGGGCTTGATTGAGGTGCTCGGACCGTTACTGGCGACAGGTCGCGAGTGGGACTCCGGCAGGGATTCCGAAGCTTCCAAGGTATTCCCGGCCTTCTAACGTGCCTCCACCGGACAGCAGCCAATCTTGAGCGAAGCAATTGCGGTGACGGCCCATGTCATCAGGGTTTTGCTCACCGAAAGATGGGTCAGCAGCTGATGGAGCACTGGAGCCCAGCTCGTCATTGGGGACCCCGTTGTGCTCCGCGGCCACATCCCCCGAGTAGTTCCTGCCTGGACCGAAGCAACTTGAGGCGCCGTCGTCCTCCTGTGGAAGGAGCCAGCCATACTGTGTAGACCGCTCAGGCCGCAGACACATCACACCAAGGTGCACCGCTCCTTCCCTGATATCTCTGGTTGCAAGAGGATCAGATATCCATTGTTGAATGCCGATCCTCGGGCAGCTCGGCAACCACCTCCTCTGACATCACACCTGCTCAACAGCTCCGGTGCTCGAAAGAAAACATAGAATCGGATATCCGCGCGCTCGATCTCATAGAGCCATGGCTCCTCACGCAGACGAATTACATCCGTGCCAAAATGGCAATGAAACCGCCCGAGACAACAGCGGCCACAGCGACCGGAATGTGCCGAAGCCGGGCGACTACATCCAGTTTGAATGCCTTCCATCCGGCGGTCCTTTGAACCGCTGGTCTCAAGTCTTGACGCGGGGCCATGATTTCCCCGGCGCCCAGGCCATGCTCTACGCGGCTGGCGTCCCGGACAGGGACATGATGAAGAGCGCACCCCATGTGGGCATCGCGACCGTGTGGTGGGAGGGGAACCCGTGCAAGTGAGTCCACCAGATATGACAGTCCGCTCACTCGGAGCCGCAAAGCTGACAAAAGTGCTCATTAGTACGCATTGTGAGTAGTGAAAGATGCCAGAGCCGGTCCCCGAGAGCAACCGCTTACAGGACATCAGTGCTTGAACTCGGCAACATCGTCAAGAAGTCCGTCGAGCAGCAGAAAATGCTGGCATGGCAGTATAACACCATTGGTGTCTCTGACGGCATCACGATGGGTGGAGAGGGTGAGTGATAGCCGGCAGCTCACAGCTGCCCCTGACCCCTGAATGCGGGTCAACAGCTCGACTGAATGTCGTTGCTCACCACTGATTAGGCATGAGGTTCTCGCTCCAGTCGCGAGAGATCATCGCAGACAGCATCGAAACGGTGACGTGCGCTCAGCGCCACGATGCCAACATCAGCATCCCCGGCTGTGACAAGAATATGCCCGGCGTCGTCATGGCGGCAGCCCGCCACAACCGGCCGTTCCTCATGATCTACGGCGGAACCATCCGCAAGGGCCACTCCTCGCTGCTCGACAAGGAGATTAACATCTCGACGTGTTACGAAGCCTCGGGCGCTTACACCTACGGCCGCTTGCAGGCCAAACGCAAGAAACCCTCGGGCGCCGACGCCACACCTAGTGAAGTCATGGAGGACATCGAGCGGCACGCTTGCCCCGGTGCCGGCGCCTGTGGTGGCATGTACACGGCCAACACCATGGCCACTGCTATCGAGGCCATGGGCCTGTCCCTGCCTGGATCCTCGTCCTTCCCCGCGACATCGCCCGAGAAGCGTCGCGAATGCGAGCGCGCCGCCGAGGCAATCCGCACTTGCATGGAGAAAGACATCCGGCCGCGCGACCTCATGACGCGCGCCGCCTTCGAGAACGCTCTAGTCGCCACCATCGTGCTCGGCGGTAGCACCAACGCCGTCCTCCACTTCCTCGCCATGGCCAACTCGGCCGACGTGCCACTCACGCTCGACGACATCGACCGCGCCTCCAACCGCACACCGTTCCTGGCTGACCTCGCTCCCTCAGGCCGGTACTACATGGAAGACCTCTACACCATCGGCGGCACGCCCGCCGTCCTCAAGATGCTCATCAGCCACGGCCTCATTGACGGCTCCATCATGACCGTCACGGGCAAGACCCTCGCCGACAACGTCCGCGACTGGCCATCCCTCCCCGAGGGGCAGACCATCCTCCGGCCTCTGTCCGACCCGATCAAGCCCACTGGCCACATTCGCGTGCTCCGCGGTAACCTTTCCCCCGGCGGCGCCGTCGCTAAGATCACCGGCAAGGAAGGCCTCTCCTTCACGGGTCGCGCGCGCGTATTCAACAAGGAGCATGAGCTCGACGAGGCGCTCGCGAGGGGCCTGATCCGCCCCGACGAGGGCAACCTCGTGCTGATTGTGCGGTACGAGGGCCCAAAGGGCGGGCCGGGAATGCCCGAGCAGCTGCGCGCCAGCGCGGCCATCATGGGTGCCGGGTTGAGCAACGTCGCGCTCGTGACGGACGGGCGATACAGCGGCGCCAGCCATGGCTTCATCGTGGGCCATGTGGTGCCCGAGGCGGCCGTCGGTGGGCCGATTGCCCTCGTTCGGGACGGTGATGTGTTGCGGATCGATGCGGTGGCGAACCGGATCGATGTCGTCGAGATACCCGGAGTGGACTGCGCCGGCGGGTTAGAGGGGGTGGAGAGGGAGTTTGAAAGGAGGAGGAAGGAGTGGAGCCCCCCGATAATGCAGCCAATGCGTGGTGTACTGGCAAAGTATGCGCGGCTGGTGGGTGACGCGAGCCACGGGGCTGTGACGGATGTTGGGGGGTTGGCGTGGTAAACGCGCCCACAACGCTTGTCTTTTGCCTTGGAACGAACGGGTGGGCAGTAAGCATGTTACACTGGGTGAAGCGGCAACTTAACTCATGATAGACACGGGATAGATTGGGAGCCGGGAGGGATGAAACGCCGGGGGTTTAGAGGACAGACAGTAGAATGGACTCACTGCGATTTTTCGTGTTTATGTTCCTCTTTCGGCTGTGATGAGGCAGCTTAGACCCCAGAAGTCCTGGCTATTACTACACTGTAGTTCCTCGCCCCGATGGTGTTGTCTTCGAGTCTCGTGGGCCTATGTCCAAGGTTATTCTCCCATGACTACGTCTTTGCATTCCACCCTTTCTCCTTATTTACTGCTCCACCGGTGCGTGCCACCAGTTCATGATGGTGGTGTGCCTGCTTCGCAAGGGACTGAATTTGAATGTACCATGTGACGCCTACCGACAGCTTCTGTGCCAGAGGTTTGCAAATATTCGCCAGAAGATGTCAACGCTTAAGCGAGCACTTGAGGGAGAAGAAGACCAAACCACAGCATAACACATCCTGTCCTTGTCCCATACTGAACTAGCACCTGATATGTACAACACGAGTTACTGACCAAGCACGTATTTAGGTAGGTATCCAGATCAGAGCCAACACCAAACCAAGACCTAAAGCCAGGAACAGAGATGTAGGGGGGAGATCAAGAAGAAGCGGTGAGTATCCATCCATCCAAGGCCACGGGAAGCCGCTTCCCCATACACCGAGCCATGACAGCCAACCAACCGGACAGAGATACAGACAGGCAGACAGACAGCACAGATGATATCAAAACTCTATGGACAACGACATTACCAACTACACAGCTAGTTAAGCCGCACAGCATGCAGGACCCCAAAGCCAGTATCCATCCATCCATGCCATTTGCACCCCAAACCCCCTGCACATATGCTTTCCGCTTTCCTTTCTCGTGTCCTTTTCTTTCCAAATTAACACATGACAGACGACCAACACCACCACCACCACCACCACATGAAGGGTTAAGACCGGTGGAGAAGAGAAGGGCGAGTAGCCGAGTCGACATAGCGGCAGGCAGACAGGCAGACATTCCCCTCTAGATACAAATCAAGGACTCGCCCAGCCACCCGCCACATCGACCCACTCGGCAAGACAGCTGCCCCCCTTGCCCTCAACGTCCTCGATATCCGTGTCGCACCGGCAGCGGCAGCCGACGCCGTTCTCCTGGGGCGGGTCATAGTCTTCCCAGTACTGGTCCTCCTCCAGGCGCTCGCGCTCGTTAAGCGTCGTCCGCTCGAGGTAGGGCTGCCGCGGCAGCTGACGGCCGGGCGCGTTGACGGGGCAGTGCTGGATGGTGGTGTGGCGGTAGCCAAAGTCGCGGAAGTAGTGGATGTCCCGCGGTGCAAGGAGGGCGCCGGCCGCGAGGGAATGGATCGGAGCGTCTCCCCACTGATGTTCACGAAGGGGAAAAGATCAGTCATATATACCAGGAAGATAAAAGCGGAGGGAAAAGGGGGAAAAAGTCGTACACGCTCCATCCAGAAGCCGCCGCTGCGGTCCATCATCTGGAAGAAATCCTCGTATGCCTTGCTCCTGAAAAAGTCGAGGCGGGCAATCTCAAAGTTGGACCAGAAGTGGCACATGTTGTACTTTTCGCCCTCCATGTTCTCCATGTCGATGTCAGGCAGGCGGATGGGCTCGTTGGCGGACGCCGGCTTCTTCTCTTCCTCGTGGCTCTCGGGCCGCGGCTCGACAAACATCTCCCACAAGCCCTGCGATGTCAGGTTGTTGAGCCGCTTGTAAGCCGAAGCGTAGCGCCAGATGTTGGGGACCGTCTCGCGTAGCTCCTTGACCGCGATGGTGAAGCCGTACGTCTTGTTGTTCTCGATCATGGCCAGGAAGGGGTCGCTGGGAAGCAAAGGTCAGTACACCTGCAGTCGCAATACGGAAAGGGGGGTTATCGTACTAGGTGATGTCGCAGAAGTACTTGATCTCGGGCTCCAAACGCCAGTACCACTCGTACTTTGCCAGGAGCGGGTGCTTGTAAAAGAAACTGAACTGTGTCAGCATCATCCGACCGAGTATGGCAAGCAGGCCCGTAAGAACGCACCCGGAATAGAAGCGGCACATGAAATGGTAGCTCTCCATGCCACCGTACATGATGGCATTATCGCCCTGCTTGTTGATGCCCTCCTTGGCGACCTTCTTGTCAATCCAGTCAGGGTACCCCCACATGTCCGGCCCAACCTTGCCAAACTCAACGGAGCTCGAGGTGTAGTTCCGGACAGTGTCCTTGAAGTTCTGGTCGAAATCCCCATCGTTGAGGAAGACATAGGGGTAATTGTACCACCGGTTGAAGTGGCGCTCGATCGACTTCATGGATTGGATGACGCCCTCCAGCTCCTTGTTTCGCGCGAGCACGACGAAAGCCGCGTTGGCGCGGGGTTTGCTCGTGTCGACCTCGGCGCAGCCCTCGACGAACACCTTGTCGTGCTTCTCGCTGATTTTTCTGCAACGGGCCTGTGTTAGCGGGGGAAACGAGAGCCCATACGCGTTGTTTGGTGCTGCGCAGCACAGGCGGAACGAACCTTATTGTTGGCGGCGTCCCCGCGGGCGATAATATTCTCCCCGAGGAACCGGGGTGCCTGACAAACAGCACCAGGATAAGAATGACGACGATGCAGGGGAAAAGGAGGACGACGCCCAGCGGCACCGAAATGGCCGAGTTCCCCCTTAACCTCAGTGGCCGTCGGAGGTATGCGAAGCGCGAAGCCAGGGTCCTTCTTGGGCGCAGCTTGCCTTTTTCATCTGCGACAGGGAGACGAGGACCCCTCGCCGGGAGGAACTTGCCCGCTCGACGGAAGAGATCCATCGTGATGGATTCCGGCGGAAGACCAGCCGGGAGGAGTGTGTTGTGCGATCGATCAGCACAGGGCTTGTTTTATGTTGCGATGGCGGCGGCTGTTGTTATCGATGCGAAATATATTCATTCGTTGTCGCCGTGTCGTTTGTCGGTGTCGCTGTCTATGGGGAAATGACAGGTCGCTCGTTCAACCGTCGATTGCAAGGTTGTACCAAGCAAGAACTCAATTTCCGTCGAAAGCAATGGGCCAAGCGGCATTGGACGCGGAAGCGAGTGGCAGTTGGAGGAGAGCCGCGTTCCCTCAGATGCCGGCGCCAGGACTGCGGATGCTAGAGGGAAAGGCTAGGCCGCCGGACCCTCCGCTGTTCCGCGTCCGAAGGTCTGAGCACGACAGGGACAACGAGGGGCGAAGTTCGGGGTCGAGACCGTGTCAGACAAGCAGCAATAAAGATGAAATGTCTGACCAGACGAGGGATGGCGTCGAGATGCTGTCAATGGCGCCGGAATGGCGGCGGTTTGACAGAATTTGCCGGGTGCAGACAATGCGTCTTGTCTCACTCCGTTCGTTCTCTTGCTTTCTCAGGGGAAACGTTGGCGCCAGAGATTGAGCCACCTTAGAAATACGTACCTAGTTGTGGTGGCCCTTAATTTGAGGTGGGTCTTTCGGCTTCGAGGATTCTTCAAATTTGAGGGATGCAACCAGAGGTGAGCCGTCAGCAGGTGGCGGATTCATGCATGAGATGCCCGTAAAGCTTGGCCCCGAACTGGCAGCTCGCTTGGGGCAAGCTACCGTACGGTTACCGATCCAACGATCCATCCATGACCATCATCATTTTGCTGAACCCGATCTCGATTGCAATTACAGGAGTAAATGCAATGGTTTTTAATTGGCATGATTGTTCAGGTTCGCTCACCCCCACGGAATATTGTCAGTTGCTCCTTCGGCCATCCGCATCCAGTCCGCCAATTCCACAGGCCATACGCCACTTCAAGACAGTGCACTGCGTCTGGTTGCCCTGTATGTAATCCGTATATTATACGTGTCAAGACCCCGGTAATCCACCTCGGTGGGTTTGAATAGGATGATATAGAAGATATTTAACTATGTCAAAAACATCTGGCGTGGTGGCAGAGTGGTCTAATGCGCAAGACTAGAAATCTTGTTCCTTCGGGAGCGTCTGTTCGAATCAGGCCCACGTCGAGCTCAGATTTATCTTTTGTCCTATATGTGCACTTCTTTCGGGGTCTTTTTCTTTAACCTTGTTTTTCTCATGAGTGTTTCTGATCCAAACGTCCCCAAAATGCTATACAAACGATGCGTCACCAGATCCTCCTTGGGACGGGCATTCTCAGAATTTCTTTGCCTCTTGCTCCATCGCTAAAGGCAACTCGTGTGCCAAATCCACTACTCATTCCCCCTTCTAAGCCAAAAGTGTACCCGCTGGGATATCGCCCCCATCTGCCGGCGGATGCACATATGCCGTGCCTGGCGTGCCATGCCGGGATCCGAGTCATGATCCTGGGGCAGCAGTGTTCCGGCTCAAATAATCGGTTTGTGCCTTGCTCACCATTGGATGATGCCTAGGTCGAGTGCATTTAAACATCCTTTCAACATGCCCCTATATCAATCAACATGGAATCGATAACACGGGTTCGGAGTGTTTCTGTCACTGGTTATTTGCCATGGGGCACGGATTCTTCCCAGAGCTTTCTCAACACGAAGCATTGATGAAGGGCTGGGTCAAGCCGGTATGCGAGCCATCGGCCGTAGTTCATTGCTCAATCTAAGACGTTGTGACCGCCGGCAAGGGCAGAAAGAGGGCAGATATCCAGGATGCCGTTGTCAATTTGGGCTGGACGGCGCCGTCTGTTAGGCTGATGGACCTAAATGAGCAGCGTGGAGGGTTGGGGGTTGAGTTTTGCTACATTGATGTTTGAAAGTGGATGGTTGTGATTATTTCTTGAGAGACTGGCTTGTCTGTGGATGAGATGGGGTTTTGTCACGTAGCGTGCTGCCGGGATCATGGATGAAGTGGGATGAATGATCGATTTGAGGAATGGTGATATCTGGTCAGGAGGGTTTCTGAGTCCAATCGATGTGAAAAGAGGGTTTGGGCAGTGCTATATTCTGATGTATGTCTTCAATCGCGACGTAATTGTTACCTCGAGACCCTTTCTTGCCCAACTGGACTCTTTGTTGGTATCAACAGAGAGTGGCTGGGTGTCAGAGTGCCAAAAACGGCCAACGAGTGAGGGTTGACAGAACTCTTAGGCCTGGAACCTCTCAACAACTGGACACCCAGACCAAGATAAGAAAGATGGTACTGAAGAAGGACACCCAGAGCGCGGCCTTGGGGCTGGCCGTGATTGGAACGGAGACAACTTGCCGGTTTACGGCTGCGAAGCAGTCTAAGGCTGAACGCGAGAGATGCTGTGTCTGCGTCCTGAACCAGTTCACCCACGGAGAGAGCAAGGCGGAAAGGCTCCACTGGAGTTCGTTCGTAAACCAGTACGAGCAGCTCCGGCCTGTGCCCGACATGACTCTCACCAGCCGGACCTGTGCCCAGACAGCTTCCTCCGTAGTCGAGCGACCCGCATTTCGTGACGTTGTTGGAGTCGACCACCCCATAGTAATACGGAACCTCCCCTTCAACCTGTGCAGTGCCGCGTCCATCTTGCCAAGGGAATCACCCGAGCGCTTGAGATTGCGAATGAGTAGCTTCAGAGCCTGCGGCCTGTCAATAACAAATTTTACCACGGCAGTATCTTGGAACTCCATACCAATCCTTGGAATCCCGTTATCCCGGTGGTAGACGCACCGCTGCAAGGGATCCATCGAGTTCTCGAAATCATTCTCGTGGGTGGCCGGCTGTCAAATGCCGCGAGCTGCACCATGTTGTTCATGGTCCTGAGCTGGACTCATGAAGCTGCTGTATGTGTCGGCGATTTGGCCGCGAGTCGATGAGGCCGTCAGTTCAAGCAGACTGACTGTACGGGGTTGGGTTCGATTGGATGGCTGCGCTGATGGGTTGGCGTAGACGAGGGAGGAATAACAAACCAGCCAAGACGAAGACGAACCCCAGCGCGTACAAGACATGTTGAAGGCCGAACCTCATGATCTGTAATCCCCGAAAAATCCGTGCCCAGTGTGCCTTGCCGAACCAGTAAAGCTTGCACAACTGCGCCAAGGGGCCGGGCACCCCGAAGACCGCGAAGAATATGTCGAGTATTTCTTGTGCTGAGGGCGGCAGAGGCATGGTGTCGGCCTCTTCTGAGCCGGTGATGGTGTCTGGTGTCACTGTTGACTGTAATTCGTCCCAATTGCGTTGCAAGCTCGAGTCTCAGACAAAGTGGCCGTATGGCAGAAGGAGGGTACCAAGCCAGGCGCCTCGTGACGCTGCGATTATATACTTCAACCACCCTGTTTCTCTTACCTTCCTCAGTGTACAAAGCTATTGTGTCAGGTTGAATACAGCAAAGAAACCTGGAATTCTACCTCTCTTTGTCTGCAGTTGCCAGACAGCTACCAGACATTCATTGTACTGCACAACGCGGTACCGTAGGCCACCTTGCCTTTTCCAAAATACTGAAAAACCCCAAACCAGTGTATCCAATATTCACAATCCAAACAAAGACAACCCAGGCCCAAAACACACCCCACATAACTCTGCCACATTCAAGAAGCAAAGCCAGTGCACCAGCCATCAAGACATGGGCACCTCCCCCACTACCACCCACTCCCCCGTCTCCCTACTGTCCAACCTAACCTCAACCACCTTGCCCCCTCTCTGGAAGAAACACCTCGCCGTCTCCGCCGAGGCCTCTTCCAGCAGCACGTCCGCCCCCGCAGCGTCCCAAAACGACGTCGGCATATTCAGGCACGCGATATCTGTATCCCGGTCCGCGCCCTTCAGCGCCGCGGGCTGCGCTGTCATCCACGCCGCCATCTCAGACGAGGACGACGACGACGGTGCCGTGTACAGCACGGCAATATCCCCGTTGGCATCGAGGTACAGCACGTAGGTATCCACGCGCTGGAGCCTGTCGCCTGGTCTCGCGACCGAAAAAGCTGCTATTGGGGACCGGGCAGGGATGACGATGTCAGGCAGGGCGACGGGCCAGGGCTGGGCGAACCCTTCGGGAACCTCGGGCGAGGCGAGGTCGGTGATAGCGACGGCGAGCTTGTTGGAGGCCGCGTCCTGGTAGAAGACGGCGTAGCCGGCCTTGACGGCGATGAGGCTGAAGTTGGTGGAGGTGGGCACGACGGCAAGGCGGGAGGCGTTCAGGGCCGTCGTTGTGTTCGTCTCGTTGTTATCCCAGAAAAAGACCGATGGCTCGTAGTTGCCGCCCAGGAGGTTGCGGACGTGGTAGAGCTCACCCGTGGGGTCCTGGTAGATGGTCCATGGCCAGTAAGCTGCCAGGCTGCTGTTGGGCCCCGTCGAGACGTCGACCTTGTTGACGCTGTCGTCTGAGACGTTAGGCTGCAGCTGGGCGTTGATGTTGATGCCGAGCAGACGCGTGTGGAAGTCTGTGTAGAAGAGCTGGGTTTGGGGCTGCGGGAGAGGTTGTGAGACGAAGCGCTACAACAGTGGGGACTTGGGAGGGGGAGAGGGGAAACCAACTCGGTACTTGTCACCCCAGATAATGGTCGACGCCGCCAGGCGGGTGCCCATTTGGGCAACGGAGTTGAAGCTGATGGGCGGCTCCCAGCACGCGGACTCATTGCCAGTCGAGCGACGGCTCGTGTCACACCGCGAATAGCGAAGACCGTTCGCTGAATCCTGGTAGAAGAGGTATGTCTCGACACCGCCATCGGGTTTCCGCCAGCCCGTCACACTCAGCCCGGAGCCCTGACGTATCAACTGTGTGCCCGTCGAATTACTACCAGACGTCCTGTCCGTCGTGTTCCCGGCTGTGGATGGGTTTTGGGCCGAATCCCCTGAGTCGGCTCCCGTTTGTGATGCCGCTGACGAGTTTGCTGCTCGGCTGCCAAGTACCCCTCCAAGTACGGCAGCGAGGACGACGACAACCGCAATGACACCTCCAATAACAAGCCATAGCCGTTTCTTTCTCGTGGCTTGCGCCCCTGCTGGTTCTGCTGGTGGTCCATGGGGCGGATATGGCGGAGGCCCCGAGAATGGGGAGTGCTCCGGATAGTCGGAGTATGGGGTCGTGACCTCTTTGCCGGCCTCAAGATACTCGCCGGGACGAACTTCGGGCAGCGACTGGCCGTATCCACAGCGCTCCTGCGCCGCCACTTCAAGGCCTCCGTGGCTCGCCACTTCCAGCCCAGGCTGCTCGCCACCGTTGTGCGCGTCGCCCCGGGGTTCCATGGATGATGGTCGCAGACGGCACTCTCACACGTTCACCAAGCAAGCGCGGCTTGAGGCCGTGTGGAAACTGGGCGCGTCTCGGGGTTTAAGCTGAGTTCTTACGGTACCATCCTGCCCGCTGGCACTGTTTGCTGACGATGGGGACCAGAGAATCTGGACAGGCGGGATGAGCAAATCGTGAAGATGTAGCGTCAATTTTCGAAGCCAGCTCCCAGGTTACAAACCGAACGCGCTCCCCCTGCAGGAGGCGGCTGAGGTGAGACGGAGCTTGGGGCATGGATGGCGGGAGCCAGGGGTCAAACAAGGCTTGGCAAGATGTTCGGAGTCTCCAATTCGCCGATTTGGCGCTGCAACCGACTTGGCTCCTGCCGTCATGCGGCTCAATCCTCAGCACGGATAACTACCGTAGGTACAATTCTGTGGTATCATCCCGAAGTTGTGGTAGGGTTTCCAGTCAAGGGTGGATATCCGTATCTTAGGCACGAATACATGCACCGACATCCAGCCCTGGTTCATTTAGGTAGTTGACGTGGTGCGTGGCAGCCCTTAACTGACAGAGGGAACGGAGACTACAGTCTCCCCTTCAAAGAAAGCAAGCAGATATGAAAATGGAAGATAAATGAAGATATCGATGAAGAAGAAAGGCAAGGAAAGAAGGAAATAAAACGAAGATAAGAATACAAGAGAGAGAAGAACAAGGTCTGGAGGAACAAGAAGAACGAGGAAAAAAAAAACATGAAACCGAAGAAAAAAGGGAGTGAGTACCTGGCAGTTGGTCTAGTTTTCTCTCAAGTCCCGCAGATGTGCAAGCAATGGAAGTGACAGCTGGATTGTACAGCGAATGAGTTGGTTGAGATAACGGTACGTACCAGGAGAGCAGCACAATGAACATCGATCCTCAACACCGTAGAGCCGTGAAGGGCGATCGATGCCTGTGACCTTGGTCATGTCGACTACATAAAGTTGGATCATGGATACCTAGGTTACAGGTAGCGGGTAATTAGGTAGGTTTCAAAGTTCGACTAGCTATGGGAGAAGAATCATCTTACCTTGGTATGGTACCCAACCACAGCATCCCCCCCTCCCACCCTCTTCCCCGTACGAGTACCCCAAAACAACCGTATTACTGGCGTACCTACAGGCCCATTCATTTCTGGATCTCGCCCTAACTCTCTTGCTTTCCCGTTCGCCCTTCTCACGGACGACCTCGCCCTGAAGGCTATCCTCCACGAGTGTTGGCCATATCACTTCCCCATCCAAGTCACTCTCTAGGTACCTTAGTTGGGTACCCTGCCAATCACCCTATCGCTGGGCAGTTCGTTCGCTGGTAGTAGGCCCACAGGGCATACGATCGTGGGGTAAAGGCGAGAAAGTGCGCAGCTGGCGGTGCGGCAAAGGTTGTTTGGGATGGAATGTGTCGGGGGACGTGAGAAGAGAAGAGCACTCGCTCAAGGCTAGGTCCGACCATGTCTGTGGAGGTCTGGGTGTTTACCATAACAATCACTGCAGACTAGCTCTTGGTGTAGTGATGGAGACATGAACCTGACCGACCTCGTTGCGAGAGACCGTCAGGGACTATCGAAATGGCAAGGCTCTCTCGGTTTCAAGAGTACCTGTAGTCAGCTTTTCAACTTTCGATGAACTCCTCTTCATCTGAGCTCAAAAGAGGCCCGCTTGGAGCAGTTGTCCGAAGCACCTACATACAGTACAGCCTTGAGCATCCGAGTCCATGGTCAATTACTGATATTTTGCCCAAGGCCCGCAGACTTGCGCTGAACACCGTCCTTCGACGCGAGTTACAGGTCCGCCTCGTCCGCAATATATCCCAGGCTCTCACTCATCGCGAGAGGTTGGGACGCAGGATAAGGCAGCAAGAGAGAGAGGTAAGGATGGGGTTTGAGGCTCAATGGAGTCGAGGCCTCCATTGAGCAAACAGAGACTCAAAAGGAAAGGTTGAAGCAGAATTTTCCCAAAGAAGCCACAATGATTATTTCCAATCATACTAAACCATGACTCTGCAAATTACCATACTTCAAAAGACAACTTGGTGACTTTGGTCAACGGAGCAACCCCACTTCTCTCGAGCGGGGACTGTTGAGCTGTTGCGGTCACCAGTGCGGTGGATGAGTCAACCTGACCAAGTCGAGTGCGCTTATAAAGGGCTCAGCTCGCAACTCACGCTGGGTCACTTCCCTCCTAACCCTGGCAAAGTCAGGAGCACCGTAGGCACCCAAAGTCGCGACCGACCATGGACGCCCTCAAACTCGACTTCGTCACGCTCGACGTTTTCACGACGACCCGCTTCTTGGGCAATCCCCTCGCGGTCGTCTTCGTCCCCCCCGCCTTGCGTGAACGCATCGACCAGGAGACCAAGCAGCGCATCGCGCGCGAGTTCAACCTCTCCGAGACGGTCTTTCTGCACACGCTGCAGGACGAGCCCAACACGGCATCCATCACCCGCCAGATTGACATCTTCACCACCGAGGAAGAGCTGCCCTTCGCGGGCCACCCGACCATCGGGTCCGCCTACCTGGTCCTGTACCACCTCGGCTGGAGCCACGTCTCCACGCTGCAGACCAAGGCCGGGCCGATCCGCATCATCGCGTCTCCCTCAGCCGACGGACAGGGACAGGGTCAACAGGTCCGCGCCGCGATCCCGCAGGCCGTGCACGTCCACCAACAGACGCTGGGCGGCGTGCTGTCCTCCCCGTCCACTGCCGACGCCGCGCGGAGCGCCATCCAGCACGGCCTGTCCGCCGACGCCGACATCCGCGCCTGCGAGCTGGAGGCGCCCGTGGTCAGCATCGTGCGGGGCATGTCCTTTGTGCTGGTGCGCCTGCCCAGTCTGGCGCACCTCGCCCGCGCAGCGCCCGTCAACAGGCTGGACTTCGCCAAGGTGCCGGACCTGCTGGACCGGGGCGAGTGGCACGGCGGGTTTACGGCGAGGTATTACTATGTGCCGCTAGAGGAGGACGGTGGTAGAAAGGGGGACGTTGCGGTTCGCACGCGCATGGTCGAGCTCGGGTTCGAGGACCCGGCTACTGGCAGCGCGGCGTGCACGCTGGCTAGTTATCTGGCTGTTAGCGGCGGGAAGAGGGAGACGGGGGAGGAAGGGGTGCGGTTTGCGATTACGCAGGGTGTGGAGATGGGGAGGACGAGTGACATCGCCGTCGAAGTGGTCCTGGAGCAGGAGAAGGGTGGGGCGAGGGTCAAGGAACTGTATCTCGGAGGGACGGCGGCTGTTGTTATGAGTGGGAGCATATCGGTCTGAAGTGCGAGGACTCCGTGCCCCAGGTAGCTGTACCTAGACCAAGACGCCTGGTTTGACAGTCAAGTCAGGCTTGACGCCGATCGGTGCCATGTTTAAGCTTGTCTAACTAATTGCGTGGAGTTTTGAAAAGGCAGAGGTGATTTCAAGCTTGACGTTGCAGGATGACTCGGGATAAGGAGTGGGCAATGGTGAACGCCAATCCCGCATGAAGGCTGAAGCTGTCATTCCAAACAAGCATTTTGGCAAGGGCAGAGCAGGGAAAACAAAGAGGAGTGGGACGAAGGGGCAAAGTGGAAACCGAAAAAGGAAAAAGAGAAAGTTATTGGAAAGAACGGGCCCCTAGCGTAAGATTAGAGATCTTGCCATCCGGGTTCAGGTAACCTACTTTTGTCTTGGAGTTGGGCAAGTCAGGAAGTTCTGTCGATGAACGATGAATGAGCCTTGCTTCCCGCGAAGCGACCCACTCAGGGAGCTCCACACACACAGTATGGTTGGCTGCCGTCGGCTGCATGGCTCGTGCGCAAGCCGCTTCAATCGGCACGAAGGCGCGATAGGCTGCGAGGCTCCAAAAAGTTGGGAAGCTGTTGCAGGCTGAAAGCTGCATCCAAAACGACAGTGTTCCCATTCGACTCCGATTCTCAGACGAACCGCGGAGACTTCCAGAATGCTGTGCGCACGTACGTGGCCCTATTATTGTCGTGATGTACAGCTTCGCTGACACTTGATGCAGTTTCTGGCGAGGTTCCCGAGGAGCCTGTGGTGTCCAAGAAGACAGGTCCGTCGCGATTGCGCACCGCCATCCGAAGCTCTGCCGCAGCTGACCTCCTCTAGGCACCGTGTTTGAGAAGCGGCTCATCCTCAAGTACATCGAAGAGAACGGGAAAGAGCCCGGCACCGACCAAGAGCTTGACCCGGAAGACCTGCTCCCCGTCAAGACAAGTCGCGTTGTCCGGCCGAGACCACCAAACTTCACCTCGCTGCCGTCGCTGCTCAAGGCCTTTCAGGACGAGTGGGACGCCCTGGTGCTCGAGACATACAACACGAGGGAACAGCTGGCGCGGGCAAGAGAGGAGCTTGCGACGGCCCTCTACCAGCATGACGCTGCCGTGCGTGTCATTGCTCGCCTGACCAAGGAGCGGGACGAAGCGCGCGACGCCCTGTCCAAGGTCACCGTTGCACCGGCGTCTGTTGGTGCTGCGAACGGCGATGTCATGGCGGTTGACAATGAAGGTCTTCCTGACAACTTGGTGGAGCACGTACATGAGTTGCAACAACAGTACGCCGCTTGGATTTGTAAACACCTTGAAGCTATGCTGACGTTTTGCAGATTAATGAAGGGCCGCAAGAAGCGACCGATTCCGCAGGGCTGGGCGAGCCCGGACGAAGTTGCTGGTCTGCAGCAAGTAGCCTACACAGATTTGACGGTGTCGCAGGCATCGTCTCTCGACATCGAGTCCGACTACGCGGCCATTGGTGGGCTAGACGGCAAGGTCAGCATCTACTCGACCCAGGCAAACAACGTGGAAAGGACGATTGATATCGGCGAGCCTGTAACGGCCACGGCCTGGATCGGAAGCAAGGTCATTGTGGCAACATCAAAAGGGTCGGTCAAGGTTTTTGACAGCGGCAACGAGACGGCTTCGTTCCAAGTACACGCAGGCGCTGTGACGGGGCTCTCGCTACATCCTGGCGGGCGGATTCTCGCATCGGTCGGCGTAGACAAGAGCTTTGTCTTCTATGACCTCGACACCCTGGAAAAGGTGTCAAGGGCCTACACTGACGCTGGTACGTTCCCTTGTGCTCGTGTTGTTTGGTCCATTGCTAACACTTTGCCAGCTCTCACTGCGTGCGCATTTCACCCGGACGGCAACCTCTTTGGCGCCGGCACCCAGGCGGGGGACATTAAGATCTTCAAGACGGACACCGGCGAGCAGGCCGAGAGCTTCAACCTGGGGACGCCGGTGCAAACGGTCGTCTTCTCCGAGAACGGTTTTTGGTTCGCTGCGGCCGGCAAGGGCCAGTCAACCACCACCATCTTCGACCTGAGAAAGTCCGGCCCCGCGGCCCAGGTCAAGGAACTGCAAACGGGCGATGCGCAGGCCCTGGCGTGGGATTACACGGGCCAGTACCTGGCGACGGCGGGATCGACGGGAATCACGGTGCAAATGTACCAGAAGAGCTCCAAGATGTGGTCGGAGCCGCTTCGGACCAGCACGCCTGCGGCAGCCCTCCGGTGGGGGGCCAAGGCCAAGTCGCTCGTGACGGTGAGCAAGGAGGGCGTGATGTCGGTGCTTGGGGCAAAGGAGTAAATGGGTATGGAGCATGGGATGAGGGGTCTGAAATGGCATGTATCATACATAACCGTGCAGATGTGGTTGCTTTTCTGCTGGCGCCTTAAACCCCATCTGGGATTTGGGATGACATCAATGCAGGACATTTTGCGGCTGTTTGTGTTGTTCCGACTGTTTGGCAGGCACACCCTGCCATTCGTGCTGTTATTATTTTCGAGCAGGCAGCAACAGCTGTATTAGGTGGCTGGCTGAAATTACATATACTTAACGGGACCAAGCGCCTCGAAGCTACTGGCAGTCGCGTGCAAGTTGCTGGAAGACTGGGCCCAAGCTTCGGCGTTTGCGATGCCATTTGCGATTGGTGCTGATGGCGAAATGGTATGTGGAGGGTTGGACGATTGAGGGCGGAAGCGGCGAATACCGCAAACCACCGAACGTCCGACGACCAGCAACGCCGACTTCCCTTGACTCGCCTTGCGCATAACAAGTCTCTCTTTAGTAATCCGGCACCCATTTAGCGCCCCTCTGAAAACCCGAACTCGACTCTGCACAGCGGGCTTTTGACTTTATTTCTCCACCTTCGCGGCAGCGGCTCCTTGACTTCGACAAATTCGCCCCGCGCCTGTTTAAGGCTCCCGCAACCCCTCGCAACCCTCCTAAACCAGATTTTGATTCCCAAAGGCAACTACCGGAATTGTACAGATCACTTTCGCCTTTCTCATCATAACGATACCGAGAGGCAGCAGCGGCAGAATTGAGACCACGCAGCCCTCACCCTGAGCATACCATTCATCAGCGGCTGTGGAATGCAGTTCCAGTTACCGCGGGATTAACCAGAAGATTGCACCTGGAGGGGAACGGTCAGATGGATTTTCACGACCCGCATCCCCTCGTCGACCTGGCCGACTTGCCTTCGAATGCTTTTGAGAGCGATTTCGACTTCGGCCAGCCCCGGTCCGACGACTACTCGAGTTGGCCTGCGGAGTCATCTCCCCTGCCCTTTGGCGGGGAGGAGGAACCGGAGGAGGAGGTAATAGACGGTGACGCAGGGGAGGAGGCCGACCACGAAGCGGAGGAAGACGATGAGGAAGAGGACTCCTCCGAGCACGAGATTGAGGACGACTACGTGGACCAAGGCGAAGCGGAAGACGACCAGGAGTTCGGAAGCGAGCACGCAGACTTCGAGGCGGAACACGAGAACGAGTTCGAGTACATCTCAGACGACGACGGCGGATTTCACGAGGTTTGGAGGGCCGACGTTGACTGGCAGTCTGAACCGGAGTCAGAAGGCGGAATATCCGACGGCGGTCAACGCTACATGAGTGAGTTTCTCGAGGATTACGAGAACCGCCGAGTCGACAACATACTCTCCGACAATTCGCTTTTTGTCGACCAAGCGGCTCCCAACCTTCTTCCACCCATCCAAAACCTTATAGCTAGTGTCAGGCAAAACCACGCACGGGCTCTGAATCTGCTGCACTCAGAACTTCGCAGGCAGGACCGCGCATTGGGAAGAGCATCAGCAGGGCCTTCTCGGGAGAATCATCGCCAAAACCACCGGCACCGTCCGTACGACATGCCTCAGGAGCGCAGCAGGATGGCGGACTCGAGAGACCACCGCAGCAACAATCGCTTTGGGGATGAATTGGTTGCAGTCGAGATGCGCGCGCCGTCGCGTCGCAACCAAACACCTCCAAGGGGACAGCCTGAAATCATTGACCTTACTGGTGAGCCGGATTCACCTGAACAGCCTGCTGTTCTTCTTGCAGCTTCTCCCAGGAATCGCGGGGCAAGGTTGAATCAAGCTTCGGGAAGGCACCCGCGCCGCCATTTGTCACTCGGCCAGCGCACACCCTCTCTTTCACGCAGCGACGGTAGCCTTCTTGGAAACAATCCGAATGTCATTGACTTGACTTTGGACGATTCTTCCCCGGCCCCGCCCCCTCTACCGCAACAACTCCCACGTCGCGAAAATCCCGACAATAATCATCACCACCATCGCCAAAATCATCACCACTCTCATCGCCGTCCACTCCATCAGGTTCCACACATCGATTTGGAAGCGCCAGAGAGATTCGCCGCAAGTCGAATGATCGCTGGGTTGGTTAGGAGCATCAACCACCGCGTGTTTGGCTTTGGTGGCGACGCACCGGACGTTGAGGTTCAACTCATCGGTGGCCGGGGTCTCAACATGGACCCACTTGGAGGCAACATTCCCAACCTCAACTATCGCGGCAATGGCAACAATGGCGGCGCCGTGCCTAAGCCCGACCACGACCCTCCCCCGCCAGCGCGGGAGGGTTTCACGCGCGACACGGGCTCCGCCGATGATGTCGTTGTCTGTGCCGGCTGCGAACAGGAACTGAAGTACGACCCGGACCCGGCAAACTACAATGCCATGTCGCCGCGCCCGCCCAAGAAGCCCCGCAGCAGGAAGGATCAGGAAGAGCATCACTTCTGGGCGCTCAAGGAATGCGGTCATGTGAGTAGTCTTGCCAAGCGCACACACATTCTGTGTGTGTGGGTGTGTCTTGCTTGTGTCTATTTTCTTCATACTGACTTCGGAAACGGAAAAAGGTCTATTGCAAGAACTGCTATGAGAGCCGCAGCAGCCGTACCACCAAGCACGCGCCGCCTTCGGTATTCCGTCGCGACAAGACTAATAGAAAGGTGCTTTGCAAGGTGGACGACTGCATGACGAGCGACGTCAACGTTAAAGCGAGCTGGGTCGGCCTCTTCGTCTGAGTTGTTCAAGCTGTTTCTCTTTTTCGGTTTTTCCCCGACAGCTTGGATGACGGAGGACGGGATAGGGGAGTGGGTTTCGGTGGTCATCGAGGCATCTGGCATCTGACATCTGGCGCATTTTGAGTTTAGCCTGGTTAGAGCTCGCCTGGTGGATGGATTTGCGCAGAGCATTGCCGGTTCTTGTGCTGCGTCTTTTTCGAGGGTTGCCTTCGCGATTATTTGCATCGGGTTGCGCTTGGACGCGTTGAAGTGCATTGGCGAAAGTACTCTTCGTTGGGGCACATCGTGCCTTCGGGCTGGTTCGGGCTGGGCGGTTACGGATGGTACGGCAGTGGGAATGTTGAAGCATGGTTGGGAGGGATAGAGAACGGCGTTCTTCCATGCATGGCCTGGTGTTACCTTTGTACATGTTTTCTGTCCTCCGCCTCTCTCTTCTAGCCGAATTGCATGGAGTCGGGCCATTCATTGATTTGCCTCATCCTCTTCCGTGGTGGAGGCAGGCTGAGGTTGGGGATTGCACATGCCAATGACCCTTGCTGGTTGGCCTTGGGCTTGGCTTGGCTTAGGCTGGCCATGAGGGAAATATGGGAAGGGACAGGGCAACAACGGGGTTGGTGGTTACTTTGCTGGGTATAGCTTGGCCTGGGCATCAGGCATTGTGTTTATATTACCTCGTCAAAGAACTGAGCTGGAGGCCGCTGTTGTTGTGTGTCGGGAAGCCATCTTGCATTTGCCAAGCAGTCTCTCCCATGGCTCCTGGTGTTGTGCTTTGCCTGCTGACTCTCTCCTTGTGTCGCGTCTTGCCTTTCCCTTTCCCCGCCAAAGACCCCTCAGTCGCCTCACCCCTAGACGCCCTTGGTCTGGCACCAGGCCACGCGGTATCAAGCCACCACATACCGCCTCCTCCCCTTCCTCTCCCCCATCTTCAACCCATCACCCCCATCCCCCCGCCTGAGATCCGGCAGCGTGATGTACTGTTCAGGATCCTGCGGCAGCAGCTGCTTGAAAATAGGCTGCGACCCAACCGACCTCTTCTGCAACTTATCCTCCATCAACTGATGCAGCCGCTTGGTGGTCAAGAACTGTCCGCCTCCCACGGGAACCCCCCGCCCTTCCCCTCCTCCTCCTCCTCCTCCTCCTCCCCCTACACCCCCTACACCACCCGTCCCGGCGACGGCATCCACCGACGCAGACCGTCTCAGAGCCCCTCCAGCAGCCGGAGGAGGAGGAGGAGGAGAAGGCACCCACTCATGCAGCACCTCGCACATGGCGGCCGTCATGTCGTCGCTGGTGCTCGACTCGAAGCCGCAGGCGGCGAACAGGTGCTTGGTGTACACCTCGGTGCCCGGCGGCGGCTGCCAGTTGATGTGGCGCAGGTTGGCGCCGCCGGCTGCGCAGCAGTCGAGCACGAGGAGCACGTCGCAGGGGGCCGAGAGGATGGGCCCGCGGAGGGTGTCCCATTTGATGGTGGATACGGGGCGGTAGCGCTCGCTGTTGTGAACAGAAAAGGAGGGAGGACGTAAGTCAGTTTGGTGGGGAAGGTAAAGGGGGGAAAGGGACGGGACGGACTATTTCTTTAGGAGTTCCTGGTATTTGTCACGGCGGCCGTGGGTTGAGCAGGTGTCACCGCACATGAGCGCCGCGTAGAGCTCGGCGGCGGCGGCTTTGGCCCACTCGGGGTTCTCGGGGTGGTCGTGGCTGGGGAAAGTCAGTAAAGGCAAGTAGGGAAGTTGAGTAAGGGCAGCCCAACCTGCTAAACACCAGCTCATTGTCGCCGTCCAGCGCGCCGTGGCCGTGGTAATAAACGATCAGCAGTGTGTCGTCGGCCGCGTACCGGCAGAACTGTTTCAGCTTCGCCTTTAAACGCTCGACGGACCGGTGCATCGGAATTAGGAACTCGTGAACCGTGTACCCGTACCCTTCTAGCGTTCCCCGCAGCTGGGCTGTCTCCTCCTCAAGCGAGACGTAATCGGATGCTGGCGGTGCGGTGTAGTCCTCCGTGCGCAGGTCATGGAACGACCACGTCAGGATCAGGGCATGAACCTGATTGTACTGTGGCTTTAGACCGCGGTGTTTGCTGCTGTTGTCAGCCCCCGTACGCCACTGGGCCGAACACGAACCCTCTGCTTAGCACCCAAAACAAAACTTACGAGTTCGCCCTCGCCCCAGCTGCGGGACTCAATCCCTTTCTCCCATTCCTTACTCCCTTGAACCGCTCATAGCTCTCACTCCTCTTCCTCGCATGACCAGCATGGTGCCTAGACGACGACACCCTCGGATTAGGCAACCGTTCCCTCACATCCAACCCGCCCAGCCTCGCCCTCAAATCATCTGCATGCCTCTCCGCCGCCGTCTCATCTCGAGCTGCTCCACCACCAACAGAGACACACGTGGGGGGGGGGACAGGAGCAGGAACCACCTGATACCCCCTCTCATGCCTCTCCGGCGGCGACAGGCTGAGCCGTGCGTGGCGGTAATACTTTGGGGACGGCGAGTCCGTCGTCTGGCGATGGCGCCGCGGGAGTGGTGGGGAGCCTGGTGCGAGCGGGAGGACACGATGTCCACGTCCTTGACGTCCACGTCCGGTGCTGCCCCACCATGGTTCCATGTCAGAGTCATCTTCATCATCTTCAAGGGAGGAAGATGAGATATCCGAGTAGACCGATCCTGCTGCCGATGCCGAGAGGCGAGTCAGAGAGAGGGATCGCGCGCGGTGGTGGTGGGGGTAGTTGCCGCTGATAAAAGTTAGGCTTGGGGGAGAGCGGCCGGCGAGAGAGAGGCGCTGCTTGAGGTTGGAAAAGTCTCTTTCCTTTTCCCATTCGCGGTCTGTAGTCGTTGTCGAAGTTCCAGTGGTGAGGGTCGGGCCGGAGGACAGCGAAGGTCTTAAGCTTGCTCTGTGGCCGTGGCCGTCTCGCTGGCGGAGGCGGGGACTGTTGAGATCGCGGTTGCGGTTGCGGTCGCGGTCTCTATCCCGAGTATTGGGTCTGGTCCGGGGCCAAAAATCTAAATCGTCGTAGCCGATCACACTGGCTGCGGGCCGCCGGGTCAGGTTAACGCGGGAGTGAGCGTCGTCATCGTCGCCTTGTTCGACGCCGATGGAGGTCTTTGTATCCCATGAGCTGTGGGCGCTGGCGTTGTTGTAGTCGTAAGAGCGGTGGTAGCGCTCAAAGCGATTCATTTTTCACTTCACTTCCAGTCCCTCCCCAAATGCCTGAAGTCTCTTCCTGCTGTGCCTGACTGAAGTTCGATATGATGTCGTCGTCAGTGAGAATGAGTCGACAGGGGTAAAACACAAAGTGTGGGGAAGAACAAATTATGCCACGCAGCATGCATCCAAATGCAAGGCGCAAATATGTAAAATCTACTGGACTTTCGTAAGCTGGCAGACAGAACCTGCAGGTTGAAGTGGAAGGAACTGTTAGGCCTCCGATGGCTCGGGGCTGGCGCACATTGGACAGCATCTCGTCGCCCTGAATCCTCTCGCCTGAGATTTCTCAGGCCAGCAGGGGTCAGTCGGGTCACGGAGTCCCAAGCCACGGCCAGGCTGCATTGCCCTCACGCGCGTCTGCGCCGAGCGCCAATTTCTGCCCAATCGCCGGCCTTCGGTACCCAAGTTGCGCTCTACAGGGACGGGACGATTTGCTGGTGAGGCAGCCAGGCAGTACAGAGCGACACCATGTTGGCACCGGATCCAGGGAGGAAGCATTGTGGAAAGCAACTGTGTACCAAAATTTCACTAGTTTCCTGTCCATCTTCATTTGGAAAATCCAACGAACATCCAGCGTCGTTCCAAAGTTGCTTGGACTCCCTGGTGTCTTATCCAGCCTGTGGAATGCCCACGTTCGTCGAGTCGGCTGAGCCGTGAGCGTAGACAACACCTAGCTCGTGTAATCAGGTGAAACCTGAGAATCCGAATTTAAGCCAGATGTCGGAGGCCGGCCAGCTCTCACGCCAGAACGAGCATCTCCGTCTCGGGCTTCTCCTGCGCCCATGCAATCCACGTCCATCACCCCCGTCCCGATGCGACAGGCGACGTCGCCGACACGTTCAACGAGCAGAAACCCATATATTCAGAACGGTTCATAGGCGTCGTACCGCTGACGGTCAAACGGCAAGTAGTGCGTTGCGTGCTCCGTGCTCACCTCATCCGGATACCATGCCGTTTCCGCTGACACGTCCTCGTTTCTGTACGAGTCCTTTGAACACTCCCATAATTACATGTAGCGGACGTGCAAGGTTCAAATAGCGGACGGGAGTCTTTTCTCCCATACTTCCGCCCCCGGATTCCCTCCGGTGTGAGATTGTACCCAATTCTGGCGATGCGTACGGCCGAGTACTTCTCTTGGTGCCTCATCCCGTTTGCTAGGTGCGTAGGCACACGGCAGTAGCCCGTGGATCTGCCGTCATCGTCCAGGAGGTTGAGCACCCACGTTGACGGCATAGGCCGTGTGCCAACGGACGCGGGCTCCTTCACGGGCGTGTTGGCTTGCATGAGCGCATGCAGGGTTGCTGTGCTCTGCGAGTTCCAGTCCTCGGGCATCACGAGATCGACAGTCTGGGTTTCTAACCGCAGATGTTGGGGTTAGTCCAGGTCGCAAATCGGACCCGCGCGCAAACCAGGAGCGGTGGGATGGAGCAACCAGGAGCGGTGGGATGGAGGAACCAGGCATCGGGATCAGACGGGTGGTAGAAGAAGGGAACCCCGCTGTTCGGCTTGTCTTCGCGCCATTCCTTCCACCACTCCGACAGGTTTGCACCTCCATCCCGGGTGCTGGGGCCCCCGTACTCGGCGCTGGTGAATTTCTGCTCTGTCGATTCATGCCTTGCTTGCTGTTCAAGCCAACGCACGCGAGACAGCCGCTCCCGCGTATTGTAGGTCTGAGCCCGTTCCGACCCTGCCAAGTACCAGCTAGGAAAGATGGGCTCCAGGGTGTTGGGATCGGGACAACCGAAGTTCTTGCAGTCTGTGTCCGGACACGCCCGGCGCTTGACCTCCCCCAGGGGCTCCCACATCAAGCAGTAATCGAGCTCGGACCGGGGAAGCCCGTAGAAAAAGCCGCTCCGGAAGTAGGCTCCATTTTGGCCTCGATGCCTCGGAAAGCATTGGTTGAGAATGTCACATTTCTTGGTGATATCGCGCGACGTGAAGTTCTCCACCTTTGCTCTGTAAATTATTGTGTTGATGCTCCAATGGATCGGGATTCGGTCCATCCCGGTGTCCTCCATGGGCCAAGTAACCCGTCTGCGAACCCCGGGGGCCACGTCCAAGTCCTCTGCCATCAACGAGGGTGATGGCTGCACCGAAAAAACATCATCTGAGGCGTGATGAAGAGCTTCCCATTGAACAGTACCCTTTCCTGGAACGTCCAAGCTCTCGTGTTCCATTTAGACTCGGAGACGAATTTGTTGAAGTCCTGGGGGCGGTTGGCCAGACGATGACCCTGGATGATTTCGGTTCTTTGGGTAAAGTTTCGAGAACCAGGACTGACACCCGGTAGACTTGCCTCGGCCCCGTCGCCGCATGTCGCCGCAATAATGAGATTCGAGCAGCCGTATATGACGTCCATGGCCCTAATCTGAATGCCCTTGTCTCTGTCGTCGTCTTCAACGATACAGAGAGCATCGACCCACAAATAGCGGTGTGCGATGCCGCAACACACCTCCATCGCATCTTTGATTGTCTGTGGGATCTCGCTCCTAACTCTGGCATGTCTAGAGGACTGTCTGAGCCCATCAGTTTTCCTTTGTTTCCCCTTTCAAGTCTCAGTTGCGGATCCTTTGGCCAGACGTAGCTCAGGGTCGTATATTCCATGGATGAGTCGGTCTCAACAATGCGCTTGTCCGTGACATCGATAAGCCAGAAACCTGGAGGCAGAAACCTGAGGCAGAAACCTGAGGCAGAAACCTGAGGCAGAAACCTGAGGCAGAAACCTGAGGCAGAAACCTGAGGCAGAAACCTGGAGGCAGCTTTCTCCTCGATTTGAGTTTCTGGGAGTCAGAATGTTCCTTGTGAGGCCCGTAGCCCCTTCGGCAAACGTTGGTCCAGTATAGGGCCAATAAGTCTCTCGAGGTTGATCACGCGGCCGCGCCCTGAGCCCTCAAGCCTCCACTTCTCGTTGACAAAGTTGGATCTCTCGAGGTGGTTGTGTGTCTCCTTGCGGTGGAGATCTGGCTGGGCCCACAACAACAGGGCACGAGGATGCGACGCAGTAAATGTTGAGAAGGAAGAAATCAAGGAGAGCTTGACTGGCTTGCCCTCGTGTTCCATCGGCACGGTCTCATCGTCCCTGTCCTTGGCATTGTCCATGGCAGCCTTGACGAGTCGGCAAAATGCGCAGGATTGCCGGTTTAGAACGTCCGAGTAAGTCCCCGACCGTATTTCGGTCTTTCCAAATGCTTCCGAAAGCGGGATTTCGAAGAGCATGAATCGGAGATTGTGTGTCTGCATGTCTCACAGAGGTACGACCTGTCAGACTCGCCCAATACAGCCGGATTTTTGAGCCACCACTTCCGCCTCGATAAGTCGTCTTCGGCTGCCATGTTGCTGCTTGGTGACTGTAAGCCTGTTGGGGAGATCCGCAGAGGCTGCTTGGTTGTTAGGCTGGAGTTTCCTGTTTATCCTGGGACCCAGAATCCCGGCTGCGCCAAATGCCTGGTATTCGTAAAGAATTGAAGAGTACGAACCGAAAGGAGTATTCGGAGGCCTGAATACGGTGACTGCGCGCCTGGTGAAACGGTGCAAGATGCGGATAACAATTGCCAACTCCGCCTTGCCCAGCGAGAGAGGGTCTGCCCGGAGGGCGAAGTCGTCACAACCAATTGTTCTCCGATCGCCCTCAATTACCTTGCCCGCGGTCTCGCTGCGGTTCTTGACGCTGGCGCGGCTGTGTCGGCATGAGTGCATGCCAGCTATGAAGCCCGCCCATTACTTCCAGGCCAACAGCTAGCATCTCTGGCTCTGCTGCATCATCGGAGACCAGCACTTGTTGGTGAAGCAGCCTGTGGGAAGGATAGAGTAACACCACGTCAGTGATTTCAGGGAGGGCAGCTTTTAGCAGGTATTTTGTACCGAGATATGCGTTTCCTATCCATGAATGTCTATGCCTGCATGACGTTTGCGAGACAAAGTTGGTTGGTTCCCTGAGATGTCCAACTTTGAAAATATTCTTCGCGCGAGAATAGGGTCAAGATACAGTTGCAACACTCTGTGCATCAAGAATTGATGCCTTCAGAACGACCATGCTCATCCTGGCCATTTAGGTTGACCGCATTGTGATCGTCACAAGCTATGAATGTTCCCGAGTCCAACCATTAACATTCACACTCTTGAGAGCCGGGTTTATGCTCCTCGAGTACTCGATCAAGCTCCTCAAAGTCCATCGAATCGAGCTCAAGATCGCCATAGTCCGTCTCCTGAGATGCCACGGTTGTGGGGGGATCAAGCTGGCCTCCAGTAACTGCTCTGTCCTGGTGTGCTGATTTAGGGCTGTTGTTCGCGGTTGTCCGAGGCTTCCCCTGCAAGCGGGGTGCCGCGGGCGACCCATGACCGTTGTTCTGCAACTTTACTCTCTGGCTGCCTCGTGAGAGTTTTGGGCTCCCAGAGATGTGATCTGCCGGGTCTGGCTCCGCTCGAAGCTGGGCGAGCCGCCTCCGCTCCTCTTCCTCGTGGGTTTTCCGGCTCCGTTCCATAGCAAGCAACATCTCCAACCCGGAACCGCTTGAGCCGAAGAACCTTGGCTTCTCGGGGGAGGCAGGGCGTGGCGGCTCATCCGAAGCTACCTTGTTGTCCCCCTTTGTGCTGCTTGTACACGAAGGTAATGCAGGCTTGCTTTGTTGGGGTGCTTGTCGGCTCCTATGCGCAGAACTCTGCTGGTCTAAGGCACAGCTTTCTTGCCCGAAAGCCTGCTGTGGCTGCCTAGTCGCATTTGGAGGCGTTGCATGCTGCTCGGCCGCCAAAGTGGACTGCGTCAGTTCGATTTGGGGCGTCGTATGGGTATGACACGAAATGTGGGATAGCGGTGACGGCCGCTGTTGTACGGTGGGACGGGATTTCTTGAGGGGGAGAACCTTGGTACTGATAGTCTTGTTCCTGCTGGTGGTCGGTGCCTCTAAATCTCGGAGCTCCTGGGAAGAAAATATGAGGTCCTGGGTAGAGATGAATGGAATATCGGTCAGGTTCGCTGCGCGTTGATTGACTGTGACCGTTGGCTGTTTCACCGTGACTGTGGGTTGTTTCACTGTAGTAGGTCGCGGGGGCGGCGCCATCGGCGGCTTGACCTGCGCAACTTGCTGTACCAACTGCCTGGCTGGGCGGGCATCTTTCGATGCGAGTCCGCCGATGGCGATGGGCGTCCGCAAGGGACCAGACTTCAGTGCTTCCGGTACTGCTGTCGGAGGGTCTCCTTGTAACTCCCTAGCTTCCTGGGACGGGCTGGGTAATATGTCGTCTATATGGGACATGACAAAAAGTTGAGTACTGGTGGGCGGCGCCGACATAGAGTTCACCTGTCTGCTCGGTGTCCGCTGGTTGGCGCCTGCACCACGAAGATGTGAGGGCAAAAACTGGGGTTTCTGCACCCTGTATGTTGGCGTCCCGAGTCTATGCTGCTTAAACGTTGGAACTGTACCTAGAGTCTGTCGTCGTGGAGTGGCAAGAGTAGGTTGTTTGTAAGGGGGCGTAAGCTTGGGGCCCGTGTCCCCTAGGGGTAGTCGCCAAGTCCGGCTGAAGGCATTAGTAGTTTCTTGCAACGGTTTTCGAGCCGCTGGAGGATTTGGAGGCGGCTGGGGCTTTGGGGACGGGTGGTGTTGGGAGGGAGGTTTTGGAGGAAGCCGTGGCGTGGGCAGTGGTCGTGGCGCTTGGGCTTCCTTGATTATTGAGATTCGCTCCAGCTCTTGCGATGCGGTCATGCGGCCTGGTGATATGTGTGTCGCCGACTTTCTCTCACAGTCTAGGACGCCTCGTTCGGGTGTCGCCTGGCGGATGGATGGATTCTTCAGGGTCTCTCTGTACATCGCTTTGGCCGGTGTGCCTTCGCTGGCGTGGTGCGTGTTAGAGAACCGTACTGACGCAACAGCAGGAATCGGTTCATCCTCTTCCATCGGCTTCCCTTCAAATCCCTGCCTGTCTTCAGGTTCCAGATTCGCCTCCTTCCCTGGTTCAAGTATGAACGACTCCTTGGCCACTGCCGCTCGCCCTCCGGCAGGTACTATGCCCATCGGAGACACGGGTTGTCTCCTGCTTTCACTGGCACCTTCAGAGTCCTTTGGATCTGGCAGTGTATTGTCCGATTCGCCCTCCTCTTCAAGAACCGGAAGGCCCACCCTTGCTCCTGTGGCATCCCGCTTCTTGCCCACGCCGTTCCCTCGAACGAATCTCGCGATTGTATCCTGGCTGGGCCGCACATTGACGAGCGGCAACCCTTTCCGCTTCTTCTCCTCGAGGAGCTGCCGTTCCTTGGCCTTCTTCTTCTCGCGCAGGATGCGGGCCTTGTTCGCCTGCTTGTCCTTCTCGAGCTCTTTGCGGATGCGAGCCTGCTCCTCAAGCTCAATTCGGCGCTGCTCGGTTCTGGATAGACGGGGCCCGCGGGTGGCCTGCTTGTGCAGTTTCTGGGCCTGCTTCGAGGTCATGGGCGGTTTGCTCTCCGGGCCGCTGGTTGGGCGCGACATGAGGCCCTGCATGCCCAGCGGGTTGGGCACCAGGGTAAAGGTGTTTTGTCTGGGGGCCATGGCGGCATTTCTGCGTTTGTGGGTTGGACCGGAAGGGTGTCGGCTATCCAGAAATTGGGGGTTGAGAGGTCGATGCAGTTGTGAGTTTGACGTTCGGTTGTCCGTGTCTGGGAGACGCGTTTGGTAGGGCGGGGAGGCAGCCAAGCAAGTGGGGCAGGCGAGCTCCACGGCTCGGCCCCGCTACTCAAGAGCAACGTCAGTTCGTCACATGTCTTGAGTCGAACTTGCATCAAATACCCATATCGAGCACGAAAGCCGAACGCAACAAAACCCGTTACACCACGGCCACCATACGCAGACTAGCAACCATGAGCCTCGTTATCACCCTTCCACACACTCGAGTCCAGTTCGATACACACCAGCGTTCGTTGCCACCTCCCGCCGAGCCTCGAGATTGTCTTGGTTCCCACCCGCCGTCTTTTGCGGCGAGGGCTCGGGCTCCTACAGAAGGGTGGTTGGGGGGGCCTGCCACTTCTAAACTTTGAATCAGCTCCATCCGATGTTGCCCGACGAGAAACATTTCCACCGTTGGCCGTTCATACTGTACCTTTATACGGATCCGTACAGCTTCTATATATCCCAACGTCAGGGGCTGCGCGAACCTGGGCTTAGCCCCTTGACGTCACCAGTTCGATCCCCACGCGAAGCAATACCCTCCCGTGGGTTTAGTGGGCTTTTTCGTTCGTCTCTCTGCATTCCTATTCGCCTTTCTGTTCTGGACTGCTCAGGACGACAGGTCAATAATGATATGGCAGGCCCATCAAATTGGACACTCACTCAAAGGGTGTGCAAGCTCGATTGGGTCAATGGGGGCGACTTGTATCTTTTTCAGCATCAATGAATGGTCACCCATCAGTCTCTTCCCAATACAGTTCACTACATATCTCTTTCCCCATGGATGATATCTTCTGTCCCCATCAGACGTCCACTCCCGCAGTTCGGGCTCCCCGAGAAGTCGCCAGGCAGCTCAATCCACCGACAAAACAGCCGAACAGCAGCGAGCACAGCCGAGACAGCAACCACCGCACGAAGGAGGAAAAGTTGCTACGAGAGAGACGATCCTCCCAATCGTTCCCATAAACCACACCAAGCGTCTCGCCGGCCAGACAAGTCCGTTCCATAAACCCACCATAAACCGAGTCTGGTGCAAGCTCCAAGCCCGCCACTTGAAGCCACCCACTTTAATGTCTTCCGACTTGGGTATGCTGCCCAGTGCTGCAGTATGGTCTTGGATAGCGGTGTCGGATGCTGCTTCATAGCCAAGTCGCGGCCTCTTTCCCCTACGCCAAGAGGGTTCGGAGAGAGCGTCCGTTTGCCGTTGCCGCCGCCGCCGCTGCTGCTGCTGCTGTTGTTGCTGTTGTTGTTGTTATCTATCTTAGGCGGACCATAGTTGCGGTCTCCGAACCACTTATGGTTGGCAATTTGGTCGAGGGTGGCCCGCTGCTAGGGAAGCCACAGAGATATCTTGCGCAGAAGGTCGGATAACTGGTCGACTTCGGTCTTCGCCTATTTGTATTTGAACTCAACCTGCTGCATGTGTGTAAGTTCGCCTGACTTCTTACACTTTAGCAGCCGTCCCAAGTTGGAGGCAGCTTGGGAAGCTCTATCGGCAGTCGTCTCTAGATTGAAGTCCAAGTTGTACAGGTTCTGCAGGCTACAACGCAGGTAGTGCTCGCTACAGCCGCACTGGACTCTAAGCCTCCGGCCGCGTTCCTCATCTTCTTCGGTAACAGTAGCAAAGACCGTCTCGTCCATCCAACTGTTGTCATAGAGGAGTCTTCTCTCTTCGTCAGGCTCGAAGTTGCTGAACCTACCACCCTAAGCCTTATAAACGGTGCGGTAGGGGTTGGGCAAGGGGCCCAGACGGTTTCTTTGCTTTACAATCCGGTGTAGGGTCCGAGTAATCGGTTCCATTCACTGGCAAAGGGGTGGAAAGCACAACGCACTCTGGAAATGCTGACGCCGAGAGCCTAAACGTCATTGTAGACGCCCAGGTCCGGGTTCAATTTAAAGACGACCTCAGGTGCTACGTACCTTTCGGGAACTCCAGTGCCCTGCCCAACGGGCGGTTGGAGATGGGGTACGAAAATCCAAAGTCAATGACAGCAATCTCGGACGAGCAAGCCTCGGGACCAAGCGCTATGCTCGCTCTCTAGACGAGGAAGATTGGAACTCCTTGCTCGGTATCCGCCGCGGTCTCTATCACAGATGCGCCGACTGGCTTGACCCGCATGACATCGGGCTTCCCGAGCAACTCCATGATTTCCTCTTCATCCCATTCGTCGACACCGTCAGTCAGTCGGAAGAGGATGTTGTGGGGCCAAACGTCGCCGTGGCAGACCGCACGAGTGGGTGAAACGGAGAACTTCAACCATTTGGAAGCAAATGTCTTTCATGAGTTCAAGCACGTGTCCGCACAACTCGTGGACTTTGGATATCCGGGGACTGAGGAAGGGGAGAACGGAGAGGTGACGCCCGTTCGGCCCGTCGAGCCAGAAGTGCTCGACTTGCAGCTGGATGTGGTCCACCGCGAGCATGCCATCCCTGAGGCCCTTAAAGGCTTAAAGGACCCTGAGTTCAGCACAGTCTGGTGTTGGCTTTGCCCGCCGCTATGATCTTGACGGCCCGCCACTTCTTGGACACGCTGTCGTGACATAATCCAACCAATCGTTGACTGTCCGCCAGAGCCGAGCTTGAGCACCACTCTAAATCGACCATCAAGAACATGTCCCAGAGCGAGGGGGTGGAAACCGCCCAGCATGTGACGGCGTAGATGCTCGACTTTGAACCGCCTGATCTCGTGCTCGTACTTGAACTCGGGCGATTTATCGGGTGAATCTCTTTGGCCAGTGCCATCGGTAATAGTGCTGGCCGCGGTGTCCAACGTGGCACCAGCAGCCACGATGGCTACCGACTCGCCGCCGTTTCAGCTTGTGCTGTCAGCCATCGTCCAAAGGAACAGTAATGTCTGCTTCTGTAGGTCGACAGGTTCTTGGCGTTGGCTTTCTTGGTTCTGTAGGCCTTCAAGTTGAACTTGAGTTGGAGTAATAAAATGGCTCTGGCAGCATAAGGTAAGTAGTCGTTTGGAAGAGCGAATCAGAGCTGGGTTTGCCTTTAACCGCCTTAGACAACCTTCATTGTCCTGAAGCCTGCATTGTTTGCTTCTCGGCTCAAGGCCAGGCAGGTCTAACCGTCAAGTCGTCCCTGTTTCGCTGAGGAACGACATGGGATGAAGAAGCAGCAGGGCATCCCCCTTGATTGGAGGCATCGGACTGTCGGCAGTCTCCTGACTCCTTGTCTCAACCAATAAACTCTTCTGGTCCCCCTTTTACAGATTTATGGTTTTAATAGTGTAGTTAGTTGTTGAATAGCATAGTATCGATAACACCCGGCCCGAGAACTAAAAATCGAAGAGATAGGTAGGTAGCGCCATCCCGCGAATTGTTCCAGTTCCGACATGAAAGAGGGCAAGCAGATTATTCTAGAACATGGTCATGCCTGACACAATGTCACAGAGTAACATTTGCTACTTCACGAAAGCGCTATCCCAGTGAGACTCACAGAAGGCGGCTCTTGCGTGTTTGCTAAGTTCCCTCAAACTTTCCATCTGCACAGCACAAACACAGCAAACGCCGGCCACTGGCAATACTTCTCTCTCTTCGGGTTCCAAGTTAATAAATAACTACTCGCAGTCCAGACATCAGGTGTAACTAATTAGTGAGAGTTGAAAGATAAGACATCCCAGGTCAGTTCAGCGTACTGTTTCGCCTGGCCCTCTCTATTCTTTCCAAGCCTCGTCTGTTTTCTATAGTTAATAATGGCTTCGAGTCACGGTCTGAGAGGAAGTAGCAGAAACAACAACATCATTCCATGTTTGGGCAAGAAGAGCCTATGCCGGCACAGGCCACACCTAAGGACAAAAAAGGGGCTGACAACAGTACTGACTGTAGGCTTGAAAGATGATAAGGCATAACGTTGACACAATAAGGGACATTCTTCTCTGTCCTGGGGCTCAAAATGCGGCCAGTTGGAGTGATACGCTCTTTGCACGTGTACAGCGTAGTATCAAAATAGTGACCGTGAGGAAACCCCAAGGATGGATGCCCCTTTCCGGCCCTGGCATCCCAGATCCTCCTCCATCTTACACAAACCGGACCCTCTTTCTCCCAAGACCGCAAAAGAGTTGGACCACTCCAGTACCAGAGAGACATCCAACAGTCCGGAGTCGCCGCGCTTATGCAGGCAGGTTACAACGTGGCCAGCCTGAGAGACGTTCATGGTTCCATGCAAGGGATCGGAAGCCCGCAGTTGAGATAACGCGACACCAGGAAATCGGAACCACCCTGGCCCTGGTGTGGTTTGGTCATCTTCTGTGTAGGTGGTATCAACTCACTGTTGCCAGAATCTGCTGGGGTCGTCCCATGGTAGTCCCCTTCCATTCGGTCTACAATTATCATAGTTAAGGTATATTGCTGGTCATATGTCCCTGATCCGAGGTATTGAAACTGCCAGCAGGTCATCACGTCACAGAAAAAGCATTTCTTTCCTGCGGAGGACTTTCCGATCTTGTCCCTGGCCCCCGCAAGCCCCCGTTGAAGACCCCCAACGAGCCCCCAACTGGCCACCCCCCATCGCGACCCCTGACCTCAAACTTCACGTGCTGGATTTATGGTTCAGTTCGCAATTCCACTCCGTACTGTACGGAGTACGGTGCTGTGGTACATTGTACAAGCACTAAGCGTGCCACTCGCGATGCATGGGTGTCCAGTACGAGTGTAGTCGGACCTAAGCTCGGTGCAGCCCGGCGGTCCAGCTGCGATCACAATGGAGTCCAGTCCTTTCCGTGGCCAAGCTGACTGGGAGTGAAGCAAGTTTGACGGCATTGGCTTTGGCGAGGCCAGGCGACTCCGGCCAAGAGGTGCCATCGTGTTTGCCTCCAGTGAGCAGTGTCTGGTAGGAGAAGCCAAGGCTTGCAAGTTGTCGGCCAAGATGGCGCTGGAGCGGTCCGGAAGGCAGTCGATTCAAAACCGAAAGAAGAAAGGAGACGGTGCCCATTCGAGACAGCTCGTGTTGCGCTAACGTTGAATGTGATTTTGAACCAAACAACACTTCGGCTTAAGATGCGGATGAAAACCCCGGTTTCTTTGGTCGCGCGATCTAATCTCAAGCCATTTACTCACCTCGCACTTGAGCGATGGTGGTACAGATGGTGGGGGGTATGATCCAGAAACGCAAGGATAACAGAACTTCTCAAACGGGAGCACAACCCCGGCTAGTTTGGTAGCGGGAAAGAAGATTGGTTTTGATCATGGATATTCTCCGCAGAATGTCTCAGGCGCGCGGCTGGTCCGAGACATGCCATGGTCATTTTCGGAGTTTCGTGTGTGGAAAAAGTCAAACCGCTTCCATCGCACAAAATGGCACGGACAGCAAGACTCCGATCCAAATCGCGATGGCCGATCGACGAAATGGCGCCAGAGCCGGCGGCCCGGCGCGGAGACTGCTCAATGGCAGTGGCGCGGGCCGATTGCCCTTTGGGGATGGTGTGTTGGCTTAGGCCCAGCCGGAAGCGAGAACCGGGCTTTTAGTGCGCCCCAGAATATATTGTCTGATAGACCCTGGGCGTTCTGAACCCCTCTCGTAGCCCTCTGCGCGAAATGTCGACCAAATGCTATTGGAGTACGTGTACCTCCGTACGTACGGTGCCTATTGCATTTATGCAGCGCAATTGAGCGAGACTCGTATTTGGTCATCAGCTTATTTGTGCTCTTGGTGGGGCAACATGGAATGGCGGGTTTGGCTTCTTCCAGGCCCCGCCAAGCAGAGTTGCATCAGACCGACCCATGCCCGAATGGTTGCATGAAATCCTTTGGTGGCATCAAACTTGCAGTTCGGGATACGCCGGTCCCGGCCATAGGTATCTCACGTCCTCTCTCGCCATACTACATGCGAACTAGACAGGCCCATGCCGGCCCCCCCTTGGATGCAAACTGCAGCGGGATGGGTTGCACTGCCGCCATAAGAAGAGACAGAACGAGATGACGGCAGGGCCTGTTTCGCCCGCACCCACGCTCATTTGATGAGCCCTCGTCCAATACGAAGCATTCACACCGAACATGGGACATTCCGCCGAGACAACGACCCAGAAACCCATCCTCATCATAGGCGCCGGTGTCAGCGGCCTGCTCCTGGCCCAGTACCTGCGCAAGACGGGCCTGGCGCCGTTCCGCATCTTTGAGCGGGACGCCGACCTGACCACCCGCGGGCTCGGCTGGGGGCTTACCCTGCATTGGTCGCTCCCGGCGCTGCAGTCCCTGCTGCCCGAGGACCTGGTGCGGCGGCTGCCGGAGGCTTACGTCGACCGCCTTGCCGTCGAGGAGGGCCGGCCCTCGACCTTTCCGTTCTATGACCTCAGCACCGGCGAGCTCATAGCCAAGACACCGGCCGCTTCCGAGTCGCAGCGGATCAGGGTTACCCGCGACCGGTTGCGGCGGCTGTTTGCCACGGGACTGGATATTCAGGCATGTGACACTGAGTGTTGTTGTAGCTGTCGTTAACTTGGGGCCAAACACTGCTGACTCTTGGTCATTTGTGTCTGTCTTTGCAGTGGGCCAAGGCTGTCAACAACGTCCAGACTGCCCCAGACGGATCGGTCACAGCCAGCTTCGACGATGGCACTTCTTGCGAGGGCAGTCTCGTTGTGGCCTGCGATGGCAGCAGCTCGCGCATCCGCGGCATGTTGTTTCCAGACCAGCAAAGGTACCGGATCCCCGTGAGGTTGTTGGGCGTCAAGATCGACTGCACCGCGGACGAGATTGAGCCGCTGAAGCAACTCGACCCCTATTTCCTCCAGGGGGCCGCCTCTCAGAACGACTCGTTCATGTATTTCAGCGGTAAGGTCTTCACCCGCTCTGAGGCCTTGGGTAAGACTGACATCACAGTCCTCGACGCCCCCGGGAACAATCGGGATGGCAACGGCGGCAAGTACGTCTGTCAGATGGTCATCTCGTGGCCGGTCCGTGGTGGATTCTTCAACCAGGCGACACCCATCAGCTTCCCGGACACAAACGAGGGCGGCATCGAGCTGATCAAGACGTTCGCCGAGACATGGGTCGAGCCGTTCCGGACTCTCGCCCGCCGCATCCCGAGCGACACCGAGGTCAAGGCCCTCGAGCTGTACGACTGGCCGCCGCCAACGGGGCTTCGCACCACAGGCCACGTGGCGCTCGTCGGCGACGCCCTCCACCCGATGACCATGTGTAAGCCACGGTTTTTTCTTTTTCACCATGCCCACCTGCAATTCGCCCCACCCTACCCCCACCCCCGCGGCTGCCGGACAACCCTCCACTGACGTGCATACAAAAAATTCCAAACAGACCGAGGCGAGGGCGCTAACCATGCCATCGTCGACGTCCTCGACCTGGTGGATCTGGTCATCCCACAGCTGCTGCCTTCTGGCGAGGATTCCGTGAGCTCCCTTGCAGTTGGGGGCCTCCGAGCAGCTCTCAATCGTTACGAGGACAGGGTCGTGGCCAGGACGCGTCCGGCCGTCTTGGCGTCGCGGCAGGCATGCGTCGATGCCCACCAGTGGAACAGGATCAACGACAAGAGCCCGCTGCTGAGCCGGCGGATGATGAACTTGGATTTTGATGAGAGTGATTTAAGCTTGTGATTTCAAGATCAAAAAAGGACGAAACTCCGGGTTTGGTGCGCGATGTGGAGTGCTGGTGTTGGAGTCGGGAAGTAAAAAGGGGCGGCGCCATGCCGGAGTGGCGGGAAGTGGAGAGCGCCGGGGCAAGGATTGGAGATTTAGCCTGGGAATTTTGCTAGGACCGGAAGATGTGGGAAGGATGGGACGATCCATCCACTTCTCCTGAGCTTAATTGCACATGCCGTCACACAGACATGAGTGGTGAGATCGCGATTGCGAGAATACCATTCAAGGTTCATGCTCAGTCGTACACCTTCTTCCATATTCGAATCATCAATGTATCCCACAATGTCATAGAGTGTATATGTACAGTTTTCGGTGTCCGGTCCCAAAAAACGCAGTTCACACAAGCCCGATCCGTTCAAGCGTTTCAAAATCCCAATCCCCTGTTGCGCCGCCCCTTTGTAATGAAATAACTCTATGGTGTACGGAGTACCAGGTATGAAACGTAATGCGGATAATTTGTTTTCCCCATCATTCGTCTCGGTCAACCCGGACACTGTACGTGACCGACTTCATGATGGAGTGTTCGGGACTCGCCTTGAGAATGTTTTCCTCGCTGCCGGTGCTCTGTCCCTGGATGGTGGTGGCAAAGGTGCCCTTGCGCTGGCTGGAAAGGCTGCTCAGCTTGTATGCATCGCTCGACTTGCCGATCCTGCGCGCCCCGCTCCCGTAATTGTTCCCGCTGCCCGAGTATTTGGTAGTGTACTCTTTAGCTTTTCGTAGAAAGATCGGCGCGAGGAAGGGCAGGGATGAGACCACATTCTATTCAAGTTCAGATTAGACAAATCATTGTACAAACAGTCGACAAAGCGGGGATCTCAGACAGAAGACCGGAAAGTTCAACCTACCCCGACATTGAACTCAATCACACCCCATAAAATAAGCATGGTCGAGTTGCCATCGCCGTACTGGATTCTGTCGATCTGGAGATACCGAAAAACGGAGCAGAGAGTCGTGAAGAGACCGAGAAGGAAAATGACAATAAGACCGACTTTCTTGCCCGTGTTGACCTTGAGCTGGAGAAGGACAGGGATCGGGATGACCGCAACGACCACGTCGGACACAATGGTCACGATGGCATATGCTGTGAACGACGGGCCCGGAGCAAGACACGTGCCGGGTACCGACGGCTCCCATGATTTGTGCACCTAGAACCGTTGTGAAACATTCCAGGTAAGCAGCTGAACACATGGTGCGACGTGGAACGAGCGTCGCATGGAGTCTCGGTCGGCGACCTTTGAACATACCGGACTGCACGCCAGGATGAGGGTCAGCGAGCACCCCAAGTGCCCGGCCACAATCGCAGCCATCGCGATCCAAACGACCCGGCGGTAGACGACATGGCTGGTTCCCTTGAAGAGTCTGAGGTAGCTGATCAAGAGCGCGACCTTGAAGAAGCTGATGCCCATCTGGTAAATCGGCCGGCCGGCGTAGTTGCTCCGTGTGTACGGGATGAGATTCGCCTTTGGGCGCAATGCCAGCGGCAATCCGAGGCCATATTTGGTTTCTGCAGTGGGGAGGCAAGCACGCAGTTAGAAACGGGTTCATGATTTGCTTGGGAGCAAATACACATACGGACTATGCAGAGAATCGAGTATATCAGGGCAAACACCATGGACAGAATCGACATCCAGTCGTCGGCCGCCAACCCATGGTTCTTATGCCGAATCCAGAGCCGCGCCGACACAATCGTCAAGGAAAACGCCGAAAGAACGGTGCAAATTGCCACGATGGTCCTCCACTCTGAAATCGCATCGACTTCAGGCGTTGCGTTGTCGACCCAAACCATGGTGATAGATCGGTCAGTTCGCTGACCAGGCCGACTCTGGTGAGTTCCTTGGCGGTGGCTGATCGTCGTTGTGTGGAGGACTCGGGCTGGGGAATCGGCCGGGGGAAGAAGAGACTGGGGAAGGGCTAGAGATGGACTGGGGGTAAATAAGAGATGAAGAAGTGATCGGCAAGCACAGCTGCTGAAATCAGGATAGCAAAGAGTGAAGTGTCCGGCGGGAGATCAACACTGCGTGTCAGGCTGGAGATCGATCCATTATCTCCAATTTGTTCGAATCTGGGATCCGAGTCTCTCGCCTGCGTTGTTCGGCAGCCCGTCACATCCAGAGATGCGGGTTCCAAGGGTTCATGGTGTCATTCAACCGCAGGGATAAGGGTGTCTTGTGATGAGACAAGACGGCAGCTTCTTGGAAACCCTGATTCTTGGAAACCCTGATAATAACACCGACGAGAAACAAGAAAGCCGGAAAAATGCCGAACCCTTCTCACCACCGTTCCATCGGGACCCGTCTCGTCTCCCTTGCTGCATGGGTGCCGAGGCGAGGGAAGCCAATCGCGACCCGTGGCACCACTCACTCGCCTCGGGTCTCTCGAGTGGCTGCATTGAGAGAAAGGCCGCCCAGTTCCCCTCTTCAATTGTTGCAGCTTGGCCCACACGGAATCGCAGGTTTCAGGTGATCGGCGGAGGATACAAGACAGAGCACGGGATATTCCGAATCCCAGAGGTCAACATCAGAAAGCCATGTTTTGAGGGTAGAAAGTTACCGAAATCGGAATCTCGAGGCCCGTCGACCCTTTTTCGCTTGAGAAAACTATTCCTAGAAGTTGGCGATTGGTCCCGACAGGAGCGACTCCTGCAATGTCTGTGCTGCGCCGCTTGGCCACAGGGAAAGCGCAGTCGGGGATGCCTTCCGACAAGGGAGCGAACCTACTGTGGTAGAGTCTGAGCCAGTCCCGCGCCTTCCTGTCATGGTAGGGGTGGGTGCATCTCGCAGTCAAGAGCAAGAGAAAGAGGAGACATGGGTGGGTTGCATCGCGATCTCAACCCTGGTTCTTCGCCCGCATTTGCCCTTTGTGCCGGCTCAAGTTCCCGTTCCTGGCCCATGGATGGATGCTGGGCCATGATTTGTATTTTTTCTGCGAAATTTTGTTTCTCTTCGGTTACAACCATTTTCAGACTGGTCTCATCTATCAAATCAGTCGCATTGCAGGGTTCATCATGGACGATGGGCCGAGGAAAGTGCCATGCCAGGCAGGAGCCAACTGCATCTGAGAATCTCGGCGTGCATCTCGTTTGCTCCAGTCTTCGATTTCTCACCCGCGTGTCTGTACCGACCCACTGCACGTCCAATTTCATCACTTATGTGGCCGATCATCTCCTTCCTCTCTGAAATTCTCCCGTTTCTCCCGTGTTCCCTTCGGCACTGCGTTCCCGTGGCACCGCCAGCTCTGCCGATCCCCACGCGTTCTCGGACTGTCCGTCTTCTTTGTCTGACCGAGATCACTTCCTGCAGCCCCCCGGTACCCCGTCCTCACCTTTCCGCTCTGTTTGTCTTATTGAGTGGTGTTTGCTGCCGCGAGGCCCTTGCACTTTCCTGCATCCCCGGACTCACAGCAGCTCAGCATGTCGTCCTCGGACAGAAACAGCACCAAGGAGGACCAGGTCGGCGTTCAGGAGGCACCTGCTGATAGTGCTTCGGGCGGTCTAGACACCGCCTGGAAGTACCTCGACACCCATCGGGATGATGTCGACCACCACGAGCCAATCGATCTCACGGCCCTGCGCCGCAAGATCGACTGGCACATCGTGCCTTTGATGTTTCTGTGTTACACGCTTCAGTTCCTTGACAAAGTCATCCTGAACGTGAGTGGCTGCTCTTGCTCCCTACGAAAGACATCAAGCGGCTGGCGGCTAATGTGTATCACCCACAACGCAGTACGCAGCTGTCATGGGTATCTCGAAGGATTTGAACCTGCAGGGCAACGATTTCTCCAACATCGCAACATTCCTCTTCGTGGGCCTGCTGTGCTTCGAGGTTCCTAACAGTAAGACATTCACATGCATACAGTATTCTCTTCACATGAAATCGGACACTGATCGGTGATCCGCAGTCTATTTCCTCCAAAAGGTTCCCGCCGCCAAATGGCTGGGTCTGAACGTCATTCTTTGGGGTACGGCTACCGCCTGCGGTGCTGCTGCCTACAATTACCAGACCCTCCTTGTCTCGCGCATCTTCCTGGGCATCTTTGAGGCCACGATTGCGCCCTCGCTGATGCTTATCAGCAGCCAGTGGTACACCAAGTCGGAGCAGGCGCCTCGCTTCTCCTTCTGGTACACCGGCCTCGGCATCGGCCAGATCATCGGCGGTCTGGTTTCGTATGGCTTCCAGCACATGGGCCCTGATGCCAAGCTCTCTGGGTGGCGGACCATGTTCGTCGTTCTCGGCGTCGTGACCGTGGTCGTTGGCTCCTGCGTTGTCATCTTCCTCCCCGACACGCCCATGAAAGCGCGCTGGTTGTCGGACACCGAGAAGGTGGCCCTGCTCAAGCACGTCAGTGTCAACCAAACGGGAGTGGAGAACCGCAAGTTCCGCGGCAAGGAGATTATTGAGGCCTTGCTGGACCCTCAGGTCTATCTCCTGTTGCTGGCCGTGATTCTGGTAAGTGGCCAGCGGTCATCCCCAGTCAAGTCGTCGCAGTCTGCTAACTCATTTGTCTTAGCTGTCCGTGTCTAGCGGTGTCGTCACCAGTTATTCGGCCACGCTGATTCGCAACCTCGGGTATGACCCGAAGCGAGCCGCTCTGATGAATACTCCTTCTGGTGCTGTTAGCATCTTCTTCACGCTCTTTGTTGGATTTGGGATCCGCATGCAGTCGCACCGCTGGGCCTTCATCATCGCCTGCATCATTCCTGCGTACGTGATTGATCGACCCAGCACGGACTGACTTTGCTGATCTAACGTTGACACAGAATCATTGGCGGCGCTCTGATGTCCTTCCTCCCAACTTCCAACAGGGATGGTTGCCTGGCAGGTATTTACCTTGTCAACGCCGTCGTCGCTCCCCTTGCCATCTTTTACAACGTGGGTACTCCTCCGAATTTGGGATGTAAGCAGTCACTGACGTTGCTCTGGCGTAGTGGATCATGGCCAACGTTGGCGGCGCCACTAAGCGTGCCTTTGCCGCGGCACTCATCAGCGGTTCCTTCTCCCTCGGCAACATCATCGGGCCTCAGACGTTTCAGGCCAAGGACGCGCCCGAGTACCGCCCCGCTAAGCTCGCCGTCATGGGCACCCAGGCTGGCTGCGCCTTCATCACCTTCCTTCTCTTTCTCTACTATGTGTGGCAGAACAAAAAGCGCACGTCGGAGAACGAGACGGAGGATGCCTTCATGTCACAAGAGGCCTGGTCTGGCAAGACGGATAAGGAGAACAGGAAATTCCGCTACGCTTATTAGATGGTATCGGACTGCAACGTTGGATACTTGCTAGAGAGCATGGGGTTTTGTCATGTAGACTGATGTCAGCCGTATCTAGACGCAGAGGGTACACAGTTTATTCTCTGCAGCATCTGTTGAATTAAACATAACGTTAGTGACATTTGTGATGACTAGTCTGTTGACGGTGAAACAATGGGCAAGGGGTTTGCGAATATATGAAACAGAACCACCAGGTAAATGTCAGATATGGGAAATTTTGTATCAGGGGGCTTTGTTTTCTGCGGTGATGCTTTGAACCAATGATGCGGTCGTCGCGGCATTGCCGAAACCACACATCCACGGTTAGAGGTGTGGATTCAGGACCGGACAGCGCGCATTAACTTCCGAGTCGTATCGCTGAGTGCTATAAGTATCTTGGTCCGACCATGAGGCTAAGTCAAAAGATTTACGTTCGTCTAACGGACATCTCAAACAAATCCACCTTTGAAACATCTCCTGGCTCATTGTGGTCGACACTACACGGTTGGTTGTACTATATGCCAAAGTAGGGATGCATAACTTATAGGTCTACGTGTACTTGATTCTCGCATCTGTAGAAAAAGCTATGGTAGTTCCTTACGCGAGGCGGTGGTTACGGTAGGCTCCGACGCCGGCTGCACTGGTCCAGATTAGAACAGCCACGACAAGGAGCACAGCGGCTGTAATGACGAAGGTGCTAATGTCGTGACCTGTAGCGTTGATCTGCTGAACGTTCTGTGTAGTAGGTAGGCGGCATAAGCTCCATCGTGAACTGGCCATGGTACGCGCACCTCATGATTATATGGGTAACTGGAAGAATATACCATGCCGTTGATGGATGAAGTTAGAGACAAGGGAACAAATATGAAGGCCAAAACCGTCACTGTCACGATCAAGGTTCCTTAGGGTTAGTGATGCATAATGCAGCATGGAGACCCGGAGCTAACGTACGTAGAATGGACTTCCCGAGTGGCGGTCTCTGCCAGAATCGGACAAGGCGTTATAGATCCAGCGCTGTATAACCGAACCCTTGTCGTTGTTCTCCGTGCCCTCCGAAGGACTAGCGGCTGCCCCGGTAGTCGGGATCTGGTCGCATAAAATAGAGGGTCGGTCCAACGGCATCATGCCTGTATATGGTGACGATGGACGAGTATTGTGTTTTTCGCTTGCGGGAGATTAAGCGAGAAAGACGAGGGCTCTCCGCGAGTAAGCTGGTTGGCGTTGCCACAGAAGAAAAGGGAAGAGAGCTGTCAATTGCTTACCCGTCCGTCTCTGGCCGCACGTTAAGTACCTCATCCAGAATCATGAGCGCGTCCGCGCCAACTTGGATTAAGTCTTTTCGTCACATACGCCTTGGTTTCGGTCGAATGAAATAATTCCAAACCGCTGAATCCATATCCAGTGCGTTGCCAACATCTCAACAACATAGGGATGGGCGTGTGGATGGTCGACGGCGTACCACTCGGGGGTTGGCGGGTTTGGCAGATATATCGTGACAAATGCAATGAAATGGTCAACTTCGCCGCTGGAACAGGTGAGCAAGGACGGGAACTCGGTTTCGAAGTAGGCAATTGAGGCATTCGCCGCATTCGGCTGAACAAGTTCCTCGGAAACCCAAGCTGGTGGTTGTGGCGGTGCGTCCCAAAAGAGATCAGAACGCCAATCGGCCTTCTATCTTTGTACATCCGAAGCAGATCCAATACGTGGACGGTCCCATACGAAAGCGAGTCGGGGCATATCACAGATTTTCAAGCTGTGCGTGGAGATCCCTGCAAGTACTCCAAGGCTTCGCAGTCCTGGTGCCAATCCGTTGTCGAGTCAAGAGACGACTGCGATAGGAGGGTCTCGACGTACTGCGCGTAACTCCCGACGGCTGATTGCCGACGGACTTGGGAAGTCGAGGCATGTCCCGAAGCTTCCATGTTTCCTCACTTCAAGTTTGCTGTCAGTCGCCAAGAGGAATGGAGAGGTGATCGCGGGTTGTCCGGCAGTTAGGTTGCAAGATTCGATGCAGAAAACACTTATTACCCACCGAAAACAGGTCGGGATCAGAAGGGGTAATTAAATGCTAGCCTTGCTAGGTCGTACAAATCACTCGTGGGGGCTTCAAAATGGCCGAGCCTACCAGCCGCCAGCAGAGGTGTGGGGAAAACGCGAAGGGGCGCCCGCGCCAGGGGGCATCAAGCTGTGCTGGACTCGCTTGGGTCGAGCTGTTCATAAGCTCGCCGGCCTGAAATGTGAAGGTAGCAAACCTTTGGGTACCTAATCTCATCATAGCACCTCGTGCTATGTACGGATCCGTACCTTAGTCTGTTCGGGAATATCTTCCATCGATTCTAGATTCTTCCAGGTCGTTTCCCCAGACTGTCATCCTCTTCCTCTTCCGACGATATTATCCTTAAAGATGACATGTCACGGTGTCTGTCAAAGCCTACATTCGTGATGGCGACATGGATTCAATGGTACGATACGACATCTCCATCTTGCGTTTGTTTAGGTCTAGGGTGGTCGACGAAGTCCACACCGGCGGACCGGGACGCAGCACTGATCTCGCTAAACTTCTTCACTAGCTGAGGCGCATTGAAGTTGGGGTCATCGACTTCGATCTTGCGCAGGTCCCCAAATGTACCAGCCTTGATTGCTTCGAGCAAGCCTGCCATCGAGCAGATCCGCCAAAGACGAGATCTGTTGCCGACACACCTCGGCCTGCTTGAGAAGGAGGACTGGGTCACCCAGGCATGGACATACCAAGAAGCTGTAAACGCTAAGAGGCGCTTCATCACCTGCGAAAACGCACCCCACGGCACCATTGTTGACTGCACCGAGTTCCTGTCATACCTGGGCCACGCCCTCATCTTACTTCCGCTTCCCTAGCGCGTCGGTTATTCACGTCTCGACTGGTTTGAAGACGTCATGACAGACTGGGATGTCGCCGGATACCTGGAGCGGTCGGCTCTACAGGTTATGTCCGTTATGGACACCCGCACCCAAACACAGCTTGAGAATAACTTCTATGCCATGATTGGAACCCTGCCCAACGAGCTTGCCAAGCCAGTGCAGCTCTTAAGTCCTTGTGAGGCGTTCATCTCTCTGTGTGAGCGCAAGGGAAATTACTCGTTCATTTTCAGCTCAGTCGAGAGGGACACAACACCCGGACGGCGTTGGCGCCCCTTGATGGCGGCGGGTGGGAGGCGAGGAGAAGCGGCAGTTTTTCATTCGCGACTATGGGATACCCGAGAGCCACCTGTAGAGACCGGCGGAGATCGCCATACCCAAAGAGCCTCAAACCGCGAATGGACGCAGGAAGTGCCGATGTGAGGGCGTTCTCCGCGGTTCCTAGGCGCGCCCCGAAGGCGAAGCACACTGTCTGAACTTGTAGGACTTCAAGTGTTTGGAACTCGCGTATGAGTTCGACGCCGCGAACGTGCTCAGGGACTCGGGACGCTAAGTCCCTATGCAGAATAAAGGTGGGCTCCTTGAGCGTGTTGCGGCAGGGTCGTAGGGCGACGAGAATCTGGTCGAACTCGATGAGTTGTTTCATTTTCTTGGAGGTCGGGGAGAATCAGCATTCGTCGGATTTCAACTTGGAGAGTCTGGACCCGACCGCGCTCAGCAGGGCACTCAAGCAGGCCGGCGTCAGCCGCATCTCCAAGCTAATCTCGACGAGGTTGTGCAGCTGAGGCGGCTCGGCCAGGGTCCCGCCAATCATCGTGGCATCAAACTCCTCCCAGGTCCATGGGCAATAATTGCCATCCACTCGAGAAACTCCAGGCGTTCAATGTTGAGCGCTAGCCGCAAGATGGGTGCGCTCTTTCTTGTCGAAGGGGTGTGCAGGAGCTTGCCCTTTCAAGGACAGAATCTTGAGTGAAGTAAACGAAGGGCCCGAGGAACCTGTCGGTGCCGGCTTTGGGAAAGGTGGCCCAGAGAACAAGGGCAGGTGGAAGCGCTGCAGGTTCGCGGCGAGGAACAGCAGAAAAAAGACAGCAGCCCATTACTCGCTAGCTGTTCTCACCACGGCCGGTTCGTCTAACCAGGGTTGATTCAGTAGGCGCCTCAGGAACTGCTTCCAGGAAACGTCAAGCCGGCGGCGCCTGCTTTACGCCTCGCCGAGGATGGTGAGCCGCTTCAGGGCATTTGGTTCGACGGGGTCCAGGCCAACGGCATAAGTGAGATTGATGTCAACAACCTTCGCTGCTAGATCAGGGCGGCTTGAGAAAGTCCGGATGAACATGTACGGGGTGAGCTTAGGTGTGCGAATAGGAAGGGGAGGAGTAAACATGTGATGATAGAGAAATGGTTCGGTGACGGTACGGAGCTCAGCAAGCCTTGTTTCCCGCCATTCGGTGCGGTCTTGGAATGCTGCTCGACAGCTATTAGTGAACGTCTGAACCGACAGTGCGAGCAAAGATGACTGCAGACCTAGGCCAGGAGTTCCGGGGCAAGCTCAAGGAGGTGTGATTAGGCCATTGTCTCTGGTAACCGCCTGGGCTCAACATTAACTGACGTCCGGAAGTGTCTGGGCTTAGAAATGGCGTGGGCTCGGATGGCCTCAGCTCGTGTCTACATAGTTCTGTGTGGCTTCGGTGTTGAACCCGCGTTGGGAGGTTGGTTCTGGAAATTTCGAAAAACCGCTTGATTACGGAAAATCAAAACACAGGGCCATGGAATGTCATATTTCCAGGTATCACACAACACCTAATGCGGCATGCAGTGAGGCTCCCCGGGTAAGTGTTCTGACGTTCTCTCTTAAACTTTCCACGTCTCAAAACCCAACAACATCCCATACCTGTCCCTCGCTAATAAATTGAAACCTCATACTTCTATTCCGGGCGGATCGACTCAGGCCTAGACAAAAATAAGCTCGGGGTACTTCTGACTAGGGCCTGCAAGCAGTCCCTGGCCCTTGCCCTTCAGGGCAAACTCAAAGAAGTCGGACAGGTACTCCTTCAGGATCTCGATTGTCCGAGCCCCAGTGATCTTCCCAAATAGACTTCCAACCAACTCGCCCGAGTCTCTCAGGCCAGCCACGTCCCCAATCAGGCCAAAGTCAGACAAGATGCCGTGCACCGACCCCGCCAGGCTCAACTCCTTGTGCCAGACCCGCGAATTGTTCGCCGTCGTGGCATCCCGAAACCGCGCCCACGTCTCATCACTGGTCGAGTTGTGGCCCGGCGAGCCCAGGCTCAGAAACGGCCTCGCCACGCCCACATTCACCGCCGGCCCAAACATCATGCCATCCACGTTTACCCCAGCCCCAACGCGCCGGTCCTTCAACATGACATCCGCCGCCGCCGGCCCGCCAAACGAGTCGCCCGCAAACCCGACTCTCTCACCACAACCCTGGCCAATCCCTAGATAATCCAGCACGAGCGCCGCGTCCTGCGAGCGGACATCGAGCGCGTGCGCCAGCGCTTCCGTGGCGTTGGGATCGCGCGGCACCCGCCCGCCGTAAATGACGCTGCCGTCGGGGAACTGCACCGCGTCGGTCTCGTACGGATGGTCCATGACGACGACGTCGTAGCCCATGCCTGCCGCGAGGTTCTGCGCTGAGGCCGAGTACATCAGGCGTGTGGTATTGAGGCCCGTGCCGACGAGGACGGTGCCGCGCGGCACAGAACTCTTCAAGCCAACCCCAAAGCTTCTGGCATTGTTGTTCTTGCTGCTGCTGCTGCTGCGTCGGAGGACCTTGCAGCAGACTTCTAGCTCGAGCGAGGCGAGCACCCCCCGCGGCCAGCTGATGTTACCACGGGCTAGGAAGGCGGTGATGACGGCGTCCTCGTGGGACGCCATGAGGGGGGTCATGTAGGGGACGCGGCAGGTTTGGAGGCAGTCGCGGGCGGGGATGGGCGTGAAGCGTGAGATCATGATGCGCCGCGGGTGGGACGAGTTGAAGGGGTCAGGCCGGGCGTGGTCGACTAGCTCCGAGGACGTCCATTGCACTCGGTAGGGCGTATCTGGGACGGGGAAGACTCCAGTTTGAACTAGGCCTGCGCCAAGCACGGCGGCCGGGAGGAGATGTGTGAGCTGCATTGTAAATTGGGGATGTGGGAAGAAGTTGGGAGGATGGAAGAATTGGAATGGTCATCCATGTGGTGATCTGCCAAGTGATACTAACATGGAACGATTTGTGGATTACTCCGCTGGCGGTGTAACGCCATGCCGACCTGCCGAATCGGGCAGCAGACTCGGGCTGCTTCTCGGGTTGCACCCCGTAACGTCCGCGCGCACCGAAACGACAGTATCAGGCCCGCCGCGAAGACGCCCGGGCCCGCGTTGGGCACCGCCCAGTGCAGCCGCAGGTGCGCCGCCACGCCGTACAGAGTTACAGGTGCCGGCAGTTACTGCATTGTTTCTTTCCATTTTTAACTGGGTAGCTCAGTCGACTGGGTTGGTTCTACGCTCGCTTTTGCCAAAAGCATTCGAGTCACCCCGCTGCCACGTAATTTCCCCTGCGTTCTGCTGATTCCGTCCAAGGTTTCGCGTCCAAGGCAGAATGTGCTCTTCCAGCCGTTCCGGCGCGAGGATGCCGTATAACTCCTCCCTGAAGTAGAACTATGCCAAGTCGTACGGAATCCAGCCGTAGGTGTCTTGCTGTGTCCCTTCAAACTGGCTGAACTCAACTTAACATCAATTCTCTTCGTGGTCGATGGGCGCAGTCCCCAAAATGCGACTACATGAAGAGTATTCCACCCGGAACTGTCCCGGCCTTCAACGGGCGTGTTGGCGTCCAGAAGATATTCGACCAAGTCGGGATTGCCGCTTGCGATGGTGTTGATGAGCACGGTGCACTTGTATGGTCCCCGCTGGCACGTTACCCAGTCGTGGCTTCTTGGTCAGGATGAAGCTGAGAAAGCTCGTAACGCCGGCTGCGATGGCTTGCTGGAAGACCCTGCTGCTAAACTCGAGCGGCTGTCCGTGAGACTCGGCGAGTGTAAAGGCTGTTTGCAAGCTTGACAGGTCGTCCGCAACCACAAGAACGTTCACAAGGATATTAACTTCTCAATGTCTATCGGTCCAATAGTGTGATGAGGAGTCGGCCGGAGGAGCCCAAAACTGTCTAGGTGGCTGGCCCGAGCGGCTTAGTCGACTGCCATAAGACTGTCTCGTTGGTCGGTGATGGTCAGAATCTCGGCGTTAGCCACGCTGCCCAACATTCCAATCACGGACAGGTGGCCTGAAATAGCGGTGACATGGATAGGGGTTCGTCCGAGATAGTCCCGGATTCTGAGGCGCCATTCCTCGGACAGGATTAGGTATTGCAGGAAATTCGGTGAATCTGGGTGTCCATATTGAAAGACAATGGGAGCAATCGTGCTGCCGTGGGCGTTTTGGGTGCCTTTGGATGCCCCGGTTTCGCAAAGAAATTGGACAATGGCCAGCCGGTGCACTATCGGGGCGTTTGTAATGAAGTGGAGCGGTGTTTCGAGGTAGCTCGCCGTCTGGAGCTCGACTTTAAGACCACGGGCGACAAGGTACTGCACTGTTTCCAGAAGGCCGGATGTAACTGCCACGTGAAGTAGGCTCACCCGTGATAGTCAGTGTCTTGCAGATCATTGTCGTTGTGGAGGGTGGCAACTTCGGCGAAGAAGTCGTGTCCATGCTCCATGGCTGTGAAGGGCGCAAGTCTTCCTTCTGCGTCATTCCGTCCCTCGGAATTTCTCGAGATTCTGTTGTAGCCTGAAGCGATGAGGCGTTTGACCATGTTGAGGTCGTGGTGGACGCAAACAATGTGGAGACTTGTGGCTCCGAGCGGCGGTGTATCCGTGGTGCTATCTTCTTCATACATCTTTTTCAAGGATGGCTGCCGTGGTTTTGTCTACGCCGGTCTCAATGGCGCAGTCCAGAGGTGTACGCCCCCTGCCATCCGTTATCGTGATGCTAGCGCCATGGTCAAGCGAGAATGCCACCATCTGGGCGAAGCCCCTGACCGCAGCCTGGTGGAGGCGGGGGGCTCCCTCCTTGTCTGTATCTTGTATCGCTTGAGTATTCTGTTGGATTAGTAACCTCATAATAGGGTCGTTTCCAGTCGCGATGGCGCTAATAAGTGGGCTGCAACTTTCCAATCCATGGCTTGAGAGGAATATCCCCGCGAGCCAAGGAGGCCAGCAACGGTGTCGATTTGGCCTGTCGCGGCCGCCCACTGAAGCACTGTGTTGACACCCACGATGGACTCCGAGTCATCGTTGCTGGCAGCCAACGCCTGGGAAGGCTTGCGTTTCGGCCAGGCTGCTGACTCTGACGTCTATGTTCCTTCAAGGCCTGCTTCGACGTTCCAGAGGCCCCATGCTTCATCATCCTACAGTATAAGTTCAAGGGACCCTGAGTATTGAAACCCAAGTTTCAGCGCAGAAACCATGACTATGAGAAGCATTGCAAACAGAATCAAACAGGAAGTAGTACCACCAGGCACGGTTGTCTCGAAGTACGTCGACATTCATTCCGAAAACAATCTGATTAGCCAGGGAACTTGAGTCAGCTTTCCAATCCGTGTCTGAGTCATCAATAGGAGCGTGGTTCCAATCACATACCGATGCGAAAAGGAGTGGAAGGAATATAAACTGTCGCAGAACACATCGATTAGCATTGGTACCTTAACTACATATACTTTATCTGAAGCAGTCGAGTAGCGAAGCACTCGCCGTCAGCGCTCATCACAATTCAATCATGTCAATCAATTTAACCAATCAACCAAGCAATTACGGGCCTCTCGAGGGCTCAAGCAAGCAAGTTCGAGAGGGTGGAAAGTTGACTCCCTGATTGATTGATTGACTTATACACACGTGACTGCTCACGCGACCTTTAACCAATAAGATCACGTTATTTGGCAGTCGTGTCGAGTGCCTCGAGACAGGGGGACGGGTTACGCGACTCCGACGCGACGACAGCCCATCCTCTTATGCATTCCCCAGCCTCGGTTCTACGGTCGGAAACCCTTCTCCATCCAGTTCGATTGCCTAGACCTCTATGGCCCTCACTGTATTTGGCGGGCGTCCTCCGGCCTCCATCATCGCGCAGCTGTCGGAGTCATGTTCCTCAAGCGATGCTGACCGCTTCGACGGCTTCCCGATCGCAAGATGGCGAGGACGTTGTTTTATCGAGGACGAGCTTATACGCCTGCGAAATGGAGCCTCGAATGCGACAGACCTGGAGCGATATCTACGCCTTGAGCTGCCTATCAAAATCGATAATCCCATAACGTGGTGGATGGATCGCCGCCAGCAGTTCCCGACTCTGAGTACGCTGGCGCTAGACCTCTTCTCGATCCCGGCAATGGCGGCAGACTGCGAGAGAGCCTTCAGCTTGGCGAAGCTTACTCTTACTACCCAGAGACTCGCAATGGATCCAGAGACCCTCGAGATGGTTCATTGTTTGAAGAACTGGCTTCGCCGTGATGCAATAACCCTTGGGGGCATTTATTTCACGCCAGCAACGTCTGCCAGTGATGGCGCCGATCTATAACGGCTGTCAGCGCGGGCGACATAACAGGCGCCAATTACAGGGAGGCTACAAGCGGTAGAGCTGCTGGCAGGCATCGCAATCATCTCAAGTATGTCAATCAAGTCGCAATCGACTCAATCGATTCAATTATGGTCTTCAGGATATTCAAATAACTCAAGTTTCGCTGTGAAAGTTGACTTGATTGGATTGTGATGAGCGCTGCTCGCCGTAACCCAAGACAGCCTCCAGATGTTCGTATTCATGTCCCTAGACCGATGGCCCTTGTTGATGGTAATCAGATTCGTCAACTGTTGTATCAATTGGTCGACTTCTGGGAGAAGGTCTTGCTGAATGGACAATTCGTAGCTTCTGGGAGTTCCGAGGTTGTATTTGGCAGCGTCAAGCAGCTGCTCGGCATCCTCTGATCCCCAGAGCCATGGGTCCCCTGGAGTCATGTTGTTTATCGGACCGAGATGTGTGAGCTGTGTTCGAATCATAATAGAGATTTTCACTACTGTGCCACCCCGAGGAGATGTCAATAATGCTCCGATCTGTCTAGAGTCTTGGAGTCAGAGCCTCGACACAGTACAGTCCGAGGAATTTTTTAGCTCCTTTGTTTTTGACAATGACAGCCTAGTTGCTGACCATGGTCTGCATGACAAAGATCACTTAATCCAGTGGGATGCTTGCGCATGCGACGTTGGTGAAATCATCATAATACAACAGGCATCAATAGCTGTGTCGATGTGCTGCATCCGCCGAGTAGGGAACCAAAGGGCTGGATGCTCCATGGTCTGAGTCGGAAAGTTGTCATCCTGTATTAGTGTTGTTCCATTGTAAGTTGCCGACTAGACACGCGCAGGGGACCTGATGAAGATGGAGGAAGCTTGCTGTCCACCAGCAAACACGGAAAAGGTTTCATTCGGCCCAGCCACCTCTAGCCTACGATCTGGGTCCTCCGTTACGCTGTCAAACTGCCACAGAGCATCAAGAACTCAAGCCCCGCCTTCCCACACGGCCGCCCAGCTAGGCAATTTGGACAGGCGCACCTCGACGTTCAGAATCCAGACGGCGGTTGCTTGAGCACCGAGCTTCGAAACATCATGTTGAGATTCCACACCTCGTACTTGTTGAACAGTGCCACCAGCAATTCCATGGTACACTTGGACGTGTAGTGAAAAAGACGCGTCGCACCATCGTTCTCGGGTTCGGGGTAGGCGCCCAAGTATTCTGCGACGGCTCCTACCTTGTTGAGCTGGAGGATATCTTGGCCGTCAAGCACCCAGATTGCTGCTGTGTTCAAGCCATAGAAGCCAGACTGGGGGGGTAGAAGGGGCTGAAGTTCGATCGTGTCATCCTCGGCCATCATTATTGATGACAATCTGGGAAGAGACTATCAGCTTGTGCGATGGATAGCACTATGCTCACTGGTATTGCCCATTGGCTCTGTCTGTATGTGTTGAATGATGGGAGGAAATGCGTCAGACCGGATAGATCTCATTCGTGAACAGAGTCTGGCGCCTACCTACTCACTGGCGCCAACATAAGGGAGCGCTGCGGCTGAGGTTGAGGGGTCGGAGAGTCGACACCGTGCATTAGATGTCCTCTGCTGTCATTCAAATTTCAATATGATTGGAGCGCACCTGACACGACTTCAGGACGCTAATTCGGCCAAGATCGCATCTGCAGCCACAGCAGAGCCAGGAGTCTCGGAGCACACCGCCACCAACTCCTTTGCCCTAGCCCGCATCTTGTCTGCATCGTGTCCCATCACCACTTCCACAAGGATGGGCCCCAGCTCTGATGCCGTCCAGCGCGGCATACCTCGCCGGTTCCCCCAACAGCCAATGCCCAGATACTCGACCCTGATGGCAAAGTCATAGCAGTCGGCCCAGGAAGGAAGCAGGACCTGCGGGACGCCGGCACTGGGAACGTCATAGGTAAGCGTCATCATGTAGGTAGGAAGCCCTTCGAGACAAACGAAACACACTCAAGATCAGGGGATTAAAGGGACGGCGCAACTTACTGTATCGCTTCATGTACCGAATTCGCGCCCCCGTGGCTCACAGCGCAGACCACATTCCCCGTCTCCAGCAGGGCAACCGGCTCACAGGCAAGCCAGTCCACGACCCGGACCCGGTCGTCATCCAGTTCCTTGCCCAGAATATCGTGCAGGGCAGAGACAGGTTCGAATCCATACCCACCACCCGCCGCCGTGTGCTTCTTGAGCTTCCACAGCACCCGCAGGCTCCTCCACTTGACGTCTACCTCTGCTGCCGAGGACGACGAAGAAGAAGCCGCGTTCAGCAAAGCCCTCAGCGCACCCGCCATCTCGACGGCATCTGCCTCGGTCATGACCATGTGCGAGCCGAGGTTGACCAGTACCGTCGGGCCGCCGCGGAGCCACGCGTCCAGATCCGGATCGATCTCGGATACGGCCGGCACGGGGCGGATGATGGGGCCACAGGGGATGATGTGCGGGGGTACGACAAGCGGGAAGTCGATCTCTGGGCGGCTTGCCACGAGGATGCGCCGCTCTGGCCGGCGGCGGTCCATGACCACCTTGTCGAACGTCACCAGGCTGACGCCCGTTTCTCGCTTGATGGCTGCCGCGGCGATGTGGTAGTCCCGCTCGGTGAGGTGGTACCACACGGCGCAGAGGCCGTAGTAGATGTTCAGCGGCAGTAGGGACCAAGGCACGGGGTACGGAAGTGCTGAGCCGCTTCTACAATGGTGCAATTGTTGGCCGTGGTTGGAGGGAAGTAGAGCACCGGGAAGGTAGGGGTTGGAAGTGGAACTTACATGGGATACTTCCAGAACATGGCACCCCAAGGTTGGGAGGCCAGCGCCATGTCTTTGACTGCGTTGGGTGAGAGGATCATGTGCTTCAGGCCGAGATGGTCGCAAACAGTAAGACCCGGTCCAAACAGGGGGTCGACCACGACGAAATCGGGAGTAATGTCCTCAATAACCCGTACGAGAGATCGGAAAATGGTGATGAACCCAGGGGCAGACCACGGCAGCACAATCTTCATCATCATCTTCAGGTATTCGGGTGTGCTGGCCAGGCCCGGGCTTTTCGAAATTGTCTCGAGACCGTTGACGGCCATGAAGGCGGCGATGAAGCTTACCCCCTCCAGCGCGTGAAAAACGAACGGGCGGGCTTTGGGCGAGCATCGCAGCGCGTATCTCGAGGCCTCGAAGACTGGCTTGGACAAGGCTGGGAATGAAGCGTAATGAACTTCGACGTCGGGATCCCGCGAGACAAGGGCATGGCCAGCCGCAAGAAATATGTTGGCTTGTCCAAGTTCCGAATTTGTGACTAGCAGTATCTTCTTCATGGCTTTGTTGTGCTCGAGTGCGGGAGTATGGATAAGCGTTGACGTGGAAGTAGGGAAAAGAGTGTCACGGGTGGGCGCAACTGACCACTGCGTAACAACCTCAAAAGAGGGACCGTGGTTCGAACTGTCCAGTCGAACCAGGAGTTGCGCACATGAATCTCACACTGTCACGACCCGTGACAAAGAGCCTGTTCGCTCAATTAAAGCGGAAGCCTGAGAGATAATGTTATAATCTTAATTACCCTTATTACTGCAAGGTAACGTTATGTTAATAAACACAGCCCGAGCTCTTCCGAATTTGAGTTCGGGCTGACCATGCATGAGCTGACGAATGCGCCGACAAATCAAAGTATCACATTCTCAGTGATCTATCGGAATTAACCCACCGCTGCTTCAAACACTCGCCCTTTGTGCGTTTTGGAGCTTGGCCACCGGGAGCGGTGGGTATATCATGACGCGCCACCTCGGAAACCCCAAAAGACAGAGGCGTGGAGTCGGTAGAAGTTAGGAACAGAACATCAAGGGAACGTCTAAATCGCACACCGCCATAGCTATAACTATAGCGCACCGCTATACCTAATATAAGGCAAAGCTCCCGCATGACCCCGCAACAGTACATGATGAATTTCCTGACAGCTGACCGCCAAGCAGTCTGCTGCAGCTGTCGCTGTTAAAATCAACAGCTCATCTGAACGTAAGCGGCTTGATTCCACCCCTTTTGTGATATTCTTCAAGCTACTGAGTATGAATTACACAATTACGGCCCATCGGAGGGCTCTTTACAGATGCAGGCAGCCGGCAGCTACTGCAGGGCAGCATCATCCTCGCGAGCCTCGAGGGCAGCAGCAATGGCGGCGACCAGCGCGGCCTCGTGACCGTCTTCGAAGTAATAGCGACCCAGATGCAGTCTTCAGCCCGAGTTGGCGTCTGTGGAGCAGCAGTCGAGAATTCCTGCTGCTTCGGCTGCTGAGCGACATCAACATCAACAATGCCCTGCTTCCTACCCCGAAGATTAACAACACCCCAGTTGGGCTTGCTGTCACACAGGGCTGCTGGCGCCGTTGAGGGAGGCTTTATCTGCCTCATTTCATTGATCTTCTTCGCGCCGCCTATTCCTGATGCTGGCATAGCTGTAGCCAGTTCGTCATCGAGCTTGTATTCGAATCCTGAAGGCAGCCGTTTCGTACTGTTAATGCTATGGCCCTTGATTTTTGAAGCAGCAGCAGACGCCGTGGCGATAGGCCCAGCAGGGCGACCCTTACCCTTAATCTGATGAGGATTCAACGGGGTATTCGGCTTCCTCACAACCCTGACCACTTCAGCATTAATATCGCCACCCCCTCGCTGCCGTGATTAACGTCGCCCTCGCTTGCTCCAGTATCAACGCCGCATTGCTGCTCTTCCTGTAGCCGCCATAGCCACCAATGCTTGTGGATCTGCTGCATCGTCAAAGCACCATCGCCTGTCAGATGGCGGTAAAGGACGTGCCGGCAGGGGAGCCGGTGAGTAACCTGAATTGTATAGGCGCAGAATGTGGCCGGGGAGCGTTATTAGCTGGAAGAGCGCTGATCTCCTTTGTCAACAAGTCCAGAGCGGTTGCCGAGACCTGCCCTCGGATCCAGCTAAGGATAGCGTCCGGCAAGCCGACCTTAACCTTGTTGGTGGCCTGAGCATATTGAATATCGATGTAACGGTCCCAGGAGTATATTGCAACTAGCTGGTGACGACTCTACGAGTTTACCTCGAATGGAGAGAGAAGGAGAAAAGAGAGAACTAGATGACAGGAAGAGAGGGCAGCTCTTATATGCTCCGGAACACACAGACACTGCCTGCTTCAGGATGACGTTATCATGATACCACGGCCGAGGGTTGCCGAGGCCATCATGGGCTCAGCCCATCACAATCGAGGCTACGGTACTGTTGTTGCTAGAACAGCATCAGACGCCCGAAGACGCTCTTGAGGTCGGCCACAGAATAAACGAGGTATTTATTGATCGTAGAATGGGAGGACTCCACTGCCTAAGTAGTGGTATGACCCACATGTGGTACTTGGTTGACCCAGAGATTGACTAATTTCTCCCGTAAAGTGTTAGCAACTGTCAACTACGCTATACGTATCCAGGCGCCACCAACCTTCCACGGCTCGATCCAAGTAGGTACAGCGTATTCAACAGCTGCTTCGGGGTGCCGGCCCGGCGTTGTGAAGCTACCCAGGTTCCGGTTGAAGTCGGCCTCGGTCATAGAAGCGAGAAGTACGTTCCACTCCTTCAAGTAGGCCTTGAAGGTCGGGTACCGCCGATACTCACTACCGCGCTTTGTTGCATCAGGGAAGTGGCGGCGAGCCTTGGAACATTCATATTCACATGCCACCGGCATAACGGGTGCGAAATCGACCCCCAAGCGCTTTTACTCAACGCCTTGATTAAGGCTAGCTCTCGATCGGTCAAAACCAAGCCGGGCGTTGAAATGCCCTATTTCTCGAACTCCGGGCCAAAGCAGCAAAGGCTTAACTATAATCGCCCTCTTTCTAGCCACTCAAGAACACAACTGCCCAGTTGAAGGTCTTGTTTGAAGAGGTGACTCCACAGGCGTTGAACAACGGCATACTATGGCAGTGAGTCTCGTACGTCGAGTCCAGAAGCAATATATACAGGTTGTACCTAAGTAGCTCGAGACCGCTCTTAGGGGCAATAGTCAGAGAATGACGTGGCTGAGACCGTCACGAGTATCCTCCCATACAAACTGGCTGACGCCCGGCTCGAGGTAGTCCTCGTACAGGGTTTGGATTGGAGAGCGGCCCCCAGGTTCATCGCGGCGATAGCGTTCAGCAAGTTGCTGATATCCTTGCCAGCGACAGCGATCTTCTTCTCGGCATTGATTCTCGCCAGTATATAGCCAACCCTCGATCCGGCATTGGCCGTCGTGATGACCTCGTCATACGGTGGGGCAAGCTGCTCGGCGCGTACAGCAGCAAAGGCAGCCGGATCGCTCCAGCCGTGATTGTAAAAGCGTTAATGCCATCAGAAAGCTCAACGACCACTGGCCATCAGCAAGAGGCCGGGCGGCTAGCTGAAATATTTGCAGCCAGTATACTATGTGCTGGTCTTACGGCGCTTAGAATCGTGTGTTTCGGGGTTGGCAAGGGACTGATATTCGCGCCCCTTGGCGCAGCGGAAGCGGGTACGGCCCGGCCTATGGCCATTCTTAACCATCCTGTAGCCATTGGCTGAAGCGTGGGCCTGGATGGTTTGCTAGGCAACTTCCTCGCTGGCGTACACTCTCTCCTGCGGCGGGGGCCCGCAGTGGCGGTCGGGCGCTTGTGACAACAATTCAGCTGCTTCCATTCGGCTTGGGAATAGTTTCATCAGCTTCAGGATCGGAACCAGGGCAGGAATCATACCTGACGGGCTCGGCGATAGCAGGTTGTTGGTGGAAGCGGTGAAGAGATGGTAAACTGGCCAACTAATCGTGGTATTTCTTCTTGGTGGCTGAGGTGTAGGATTGAAGAGAGAGTGCCTTACCTGTTCCCCCATAGATATAGCTTGTTGCCTTGTGCTCCGCTCCTCCAGCAGCGGGAGATTGAAGCAGCAGCCAGCAGTTGCTGTGGCGCACGGCAGCCCCGCTGGGCGCACCGGCAGTTGTCAGGAAATTAACCATGTACTGCTGCAGGGTCGTGCGGGAGCTTTGCCGTATCAGGGGCATAGCGGTGCGCTATATAGCTATGGCGGTGTGCGATTTAGACGTTCCCAACATGAAAGGGGGTTTCAGCCGTGTGTCTGGTCTATATCGTCTACTACCTAGATGCAATCAGTTGTATACCGAGCGTCTGACCTTTTTTATTGTACATGTTGTGTAATCAGCACACGCTCCATCCCCTTACTTGGTCGAGGCTTCCTCATCTGCCGTCTTTCTGACATTCTTCAACTCAGCATCACCTGTTGTCTCCACCGGTTGTACAGGCTGCGGCTTCTTGACACTCCGCCACTCGAGCGTGGCCGTCCCAAGGATAGCCAAGCACGAGACAATCAGCGCGATTCTAAAGACGACCCGAAGCGCCTCGTTGTAGACCACGAGAGCCGGCGCGCGCATGTCTTTGGGCAGCGAGTCGAGCAACGCCGTTACGCCCCCGGAGGTCACCAGGTTGACATCAAATCCAGGGAACCCAGACAGCCGCTGCACCAGTTGGTTGCTCATGACGTTTTCGCCGACCGAGACAAAGACAGCTGAGGCGACGAGCGAGCCAAACCACATGAGTGAGATGCCCATGGGCACATCGACCTGGGGCAGGGCCGTCTGCGCCGCGAGGTTGGGAACCTGAAAGCACGTCCCGAGGCCGAGACCGTACAAGACCTGGTAACCGATCCATTTGTCCGCTCCCGAATTGACCTGGAGCGTTGTGAGCATGCCCGCTCCGACGGCCATGATGCAGGTGCCCACGATGCCGAGAGGCGTGTAATATCCGACCTTGGCGTTGAGGAAGCCGCCGAAGATGGACGCAACCACGGTGGAGAGCATGGCCGGTAGCAGCCGGATGCCGGAGTCGACGGCGGACACGCCCTGGATGGCCTGGAACCAGATAGGCAGGAAGTAAACTTAATACGGAGATTAGCTGCTAGTGAGTCGAGAATAAAAGGCAAAGAGAATGACGTCTTACTGTAGATGTAATTGCCCGATTGGATGCACACCGTCGCCCAGAGCCCAGAAGCGATACTCCTCTGCTTGATAATACGTCCGGGAATAGTGGCTGTTGACGTGAAGATCGCCTGGACCGCGACGTAGCTCACCAGCAAGACGCCTGTCAGGGTCAGGAGCGCAATGATGCGGCCATCGCTCCACTACGGCACCCAGATTGTCAGCAACAATACAGGCAGGGAAGAAGAAGGGGGGGATCAAGCAGACCCATACTCACAGGGTAGGTCGGACCACCCCACTGAAGTGCCAACAACAGACAGACAACCCCAGGGACAAACACGGCCGTCCCGACAAGGTCAAGCTGCAGAATCTTTGCCCTAAGGGGCAACTTCGTGGTGTCGCGGTCTGGGACCTTGAGAAACAATGCAATCACCAACATGGTGAGGGCGCCAATGGGCAAGTTGATGTAGAAGCACCACCGCCATGTTACGTTGGACGTGAATGCGCCTCCGATCAAAGGCCCAATAATGGCAGACAGGCCGAACACAGCGCCAAACATGCCCTGGATCTTGGGCCGCTGGTGCAAGGGGACGACATAGATGACGATGACAAACTAAAGGTAGGTACCAAACAAGACAAAGATTAGTTCCCCACCTGGACCATCAAGGAATAGAAGGAGTCGACTTACAGTCCCCCCAAACAGCCCTGCAGCGCCTACGCCGCATATCGCCCTGCCCAAGATGAAGACCTCCGAGTTGGGCGCCGCGCCGCAGACGGCCGAGCCAACCTCAAACAGCAGTGCGCTGGCGAGGAAGACGGCGCGGACGGAGAAGAAGGTGTAGATCTTGCCAAAGAGCAGCTGGAAGGCGCAGCACGTCAGCAGATAGGCGCTGCCGTACCAGCCGACGTCGTCGAGCGAGCCGAATTCGTTGGAGATGTTAGGAATGGCCTGTCAGAGTAAGTTGATTAGGTATTGTCAGAAAATCGAAGAGGTTAATGGAGCAATCAAGAGGTAACTGCAGTTGAGGCGGCGCACCGTTGAGATGATGGTCCTGTCGAGAGCAATGAGGAAAACGCTCAGGATCACCGAGAGCAGCAAGAGAGCCTTGGTGGCCCTGTTGGTCTCGTCTGGCTGGCTGTCTCCCCTGGTTGCGGGCTCCTTGTCGGCGGCTTTGGGGGTTTTGAGGCTGTTTGGTGCATGGTGGTGTACGTGCCCAGAACCGGATGATGTTTCCGACCTGGTATCGGGGGTGGCATGCAGTGGCTTGTAGGAATCAGAGGAGGCCATGACTGACGGATATACACCGTGGCAGTGTCAGTGTCGAGGGCCGGATGCTTTGTTCGAGGCAAGGCGTGAATCCTCCATTCAGAGCATTGGGTGTCAAGGAATGATTTGAGACTGAAAGAGAGGAGTTGACGCAGCTCTGTACCTCTCGATGGCGTTATCAAAATATATAGACCTGCCGAAAAATGCAAGGGCATCTTCCATCATCCAAATGATTATTGCTGGATCGGGGGTAGCATACAAAGGTCGGATGATGGCAGCGATCGGGAGTTGCTAACAGCCGAGCCTACTTTACGGTATCTAGGTACCTGTGTTGTGGGTGGGTTCACGAAGCCTCGGGCAAAGCTAACGCCCGACTTGAACTTGGGATGTAGGCTCCCGTCCAGCTCTCATCAGCAATCCAGGGAATTTCCATCGTGCTATATCTGAAAATCAAGCCACGGACCACAGATCATAGATGATAATTTAACCCTTTTTCTTTTCTCCTATCTGTTGTGGCTGCAGGAGCTGGTTTTTCTGCCAGCTTCACTCGGGCTTTCTTTAATTTCCCCAACCCCAATCTACCTTAGTGACCCCTGTCTGACCTTCAACAAACACCAACCCGCAACAGGCATCATGGACGAGTCGGCCACTCCAAACTCCGAAGGTGGAGGGACAACGCCCAAACGGGTACTTGCTTGCCAGTTGTGTCAGCAGCGCAAAGTCAAATGCGACCGCAAATTCCCGTGCTCGAACTGTGTGCGCAGCAACGCCCGCTGTGTCCCCGCGACCCTCGTCCCCCGCCAGCGCCGCCGCAGGTTTCCCGAGCGCGAACTGCTCGCCCGCATCCGCCACTATGAGGCACTGCTCCAGGAACATCACATCCCTTTCGAACCGCTGCATCCTCCGGCCCCGGGCAACCCCGAGAGCAGCAACCAGTCCCAGTCCGGTCACTCTCCCAACACCCGGTCGGAACCGCCCTCTTCATCCGAACACAGCAGGGCCACCAGGCCAAGATTATCAACGTTACGTCTTCCTAGTATTCGTTGGTTGGTACGTTACTGACATCCTCGTCAGGAACATTTGGCGCGCTCTAAGCCAAAAGGTGTGTGCTTTGCTCCTACAACCTCTGCAGTGCGAAGCGCCGCAATTGTCAGCTGCATCTGCTTAAGTGCTGACCGTGAAGAAGTTCAATTCCGAAGATGAGGCCGGCGACGAGGGTGAAGAAGACGAACCAGGTGGCAAATTCTTTCACTACGACGATGACCAGCGGGACGCGGTGATGAAGCACACTTGGGACCGCTACCACGGTGCCTCTGACACCAGTCACCATCTTCTCTTTGGCACCCCCGGCAGCAGCGTCGACCTGACCACCTTACACCCGACCCAGGCCAAGATATTCCGCCTCTGGCAGATCTACCTCGACAATGTCAACCCCTTGCTCAAGGTCACCCACACGCCCACCATGCAAACCCGCATCATCGACGCCGTCAACGACCTGGCTAAGATGGCTCCGCCGCTGGAGGCCCTTCTCTTCAGCATATACTGCGTCGCTCTCTTGAGCGTTACCGAGGGTCAATGCCAGACCCTGTTTGGATCGCCGAGGAAGGAGCTCCTGGCAGGCTATCAGTTTGCCTGCCGGCAAGCGCTGATCAACGCGAACTTGCAATCTGGCGACTATGACTCCCTGACCGCCTTGTTTCTTTATCTGGTAATGCGCCTTGGGAATCTGATGCTCCTGTTGTTCGTTGTTAGCCGTGTCTGACACTCCCTCCAGGTCTCCGTCAAGCCCGTCACCGACCCCCGGGCTCTATCCACTAGTCTGTTGGCCCCAGCGATCCGCATCGCGCAGCACCAGGGCTTCCACACTGAGTTCAGCAACGTCCGGCGCCCTACCCTCGAGGCCGAGATGCGCCGGAGGCTGTGGTGGGCATTGGTCGTCTTTGATGCCCGAATCTGCGAGACCTTCACCTCGAGAACCACAACTCTCAACCCAACCTGGGACTGTGGCACGCCCTCCAACCTGAACGACTTTGACCTCCGGCCAGACATGAAGACGGCTCCTTTCGTCCACGAAAGGCCCACCGAGGCCCTGTTTGTGTCTGTCCGCAGCTCCGTGAGCGACCTCGTCCGCCATTCAGCTTTCCACCTCGACTTTACATGTTTCGATCCGTTGTTGACGACTCTGTCCCGAGCCAAGAAGCCCGTGACGATACCGCTCGGTGCATCCGACGAAACTCGTCAGCTGCCGGAACTCCAAAAAAAGGCTGATCGGCAAAACCTGCTCGACCTGCAGAGACACATCGAGGAACACGTCTTTGCCCACTGCGACCCGGAAAACCCGCTCCACTTCATGACCATGTGGACGGTCCGCGGCTACTTCGCAAAGAACTGGCTGATGGAGCACTGCTCGTGGCAATCCGACGATGCTCCGACTCCCGAGTCCCATCAACCCTCCTCAATATCAACAAAAGCAACAACAACGAAACCAACCGAAGCACACCTTCATCCCCATCCAAACCCAGGTGTCTCCCACGCGCTGCGCATGTTAGAATGCGACACCAAACTCATGTCCTCCCCGCTAACAAAGAGCTTCCATTGGTACATCCAATCGCACTTCCCTTTTCTAGCGTATGCCTACCTCGTGCACTACCTCAAGAAGCGGCCTGGCGAGGCGGCGCAGGCGGACTCAGCCTTGTGGGAGGCCATGCACGCGAATTATGAAGCGCGCAAGATGGACTTTGCCGAGACGCACAAGCCGCTGTTTGTCTTGTTTGCGAGGATCGTGCTGCAGGCCTGGGACGGGGTGGTGATGGTGCCGGGGGTGCGGCTAGATGGGGATGGGGATGGGGAAGGGTTGCAGCGGGAGATGTGTCCGAGGATTGTGGCTAGGATTAAGAGGAGAGTTGCGGAGATGGAGGGTAGGGCGGCGGAGGAGCCGGTTGGTGGTGGTGCTGGAGAGGGGTTCGCGGTGGATGAGGCTATAGTGGCGTCTGGCGGAGCGGTATCGTCTGGTTTGAGGGCGCCTATTGGCGATGCCACTGGGGCGCAACCGTCCTTTGTAATACCGGGACTGGGCGGTGTCTGGGGGATGTTGCCGGGTGACTCGGGGATGGAGTTCATGGATCTCGACCAGTTCTACCCCACGACAGATTGGGGGTTGATGCAGGGACGTGGTTGGTGACGATCGATGGGCTTCTCAAGAATGATCCGGGCACCTCTTTGAGCGAGCGGATTACGGAACCTCAACTCTCATCGCAACAGTTACCGGTCGGAGCGAGACTTTCGGTATGACATTGCCTCGCGTAAGCCGCAGAAGACTTGTTTCAATAGACTGGCCAATAATTTGAGCTTAACCTTCGGTAGCGACAAGCTGTCGTGTGACATTTACAGTGCGACCGAGTGTCAGCCCAGGAAGACGACGCATCATTCCATCGATGGCCCTCTTACACCGGCCGTAAGACGGACCGAAGTTAATAATAGCAGATTTGGTTCGAAGGCCGAAAGTAGGGTGATGGACGTGGAGGATCCCCACGTGGGACGGCATGAGGAGGAAGGACGGAGGCAAAAGTACCAGAGCTATGCAAATACAAGGCGTATCGTGGCGTACTCTATGCAGCCACAATATGTAAGTCGCTGGAGTCATGTCGAAAGAGGGCGCCAATGGCAAGCTACGACCACCCTGCACGGCGTTTGCAATCCCTACCTGGTACTAGAATCAAGGTATGTACCTAAGCATATGCGTTGAGTCTTGTCTGAGACCCCGCGCCCAGCTAAGGTACCTGTTGTATCATGGATCTTACGTTAGGCTTGCGCAGCCTGCGCCTTCCAATGGCTTGAACCGTTGTTCAACTAAATATGCTTCTTGTTGCCATACGTTGATAATACTACTGTTGGGTTCTCTCGGAGTCAATAACTACCTAATCACATCATACATCATCTGATATCCCTTTTTCGGTACCCTTACGATATTCTTGCGTTCTCCGAAGCAGCATTGTTCACTGGCGTGGTTTTATAGCTTAGAGGCCGCACTTGACCTTAGATTTGCAACGTCACTACTGTAGCTTCTACCCACGGTAGAGGGTGTTTTGAAGTTATCAAATGCAGGCCACATAATCAGGCGCATGGCCCCTGGCAAAGCAGTCGAAATAGCAACTACGTACCGTATACATAGAGTGAATCCGTCTGGGCTGCTTAGCTAGAAGTGGTGGCGGTGCAAATGTTGACGACGACTGGTAAGCAAGCCCGGTCAGTGGCTGAAAGGGCGGCGAGAAGCAAAGCCCGGGCAGTCATGATGACCGATGACCGAGCCCGAGACATGCAGGTTGTCGGCCCTGGGCTATGGCTGGTCGTCAGATCTAGTAGCATGGCGAGGCTGGTCCTCAGCTGGACACCTAGGTAATCATGCTGACGACGATCGGTATCGCCAAGCTTCGGTTCACATTTGTCTGCGGCATACCTTGCATTGCATAGCGCACTGGCAGTCAGGCGATTTCTTGAGATCTTACCCGCCGGGCTGGATACCTCATGGGCACTATTGAGTGTGTGTCTACCTTATCTGAATAGATGTGTGTATGGGGGGGTGGCCCGTTGTGTCTACCTTTCGGCTCTTTACCTAACCAAGCCCGCCTCGTCGCCTTAAAAGTTGCAAAAATTGCCGTCTCCCAGATCATTACGTCCAGCTGACGTTGCGTAAGAAGATTGGGGTCGTGGGGGCAGATGAGCGGTCATAGCATTTCCAGCGACAGACAACCAACAACCGGTAATTTCGCCACGAATATGTTGATGTAAAAGAGGCACGCGGCCCTGCAGCCAAGCACCCGGTGAAGAAACCGTTAGCAAACGTTGGGAAACACAGTTACTTATTCGGTTACCAATGCGAAACCCGTCATGGTGGAAGTGAGTCAAGCGATGATCATGGCTGAAGACAGAAAGGGGCCTTGAATGTCCGGAGTTGAGGGAGGTCAGCTAGGACGCGAGAGGTACCAGGCAACTACCTGGTAGCCTCCGGTCATGGAAAAAGACGGGAGAAATTTCATGTATATAAGGGAGCAAAAAGGACCCCGCAGACAATACCTCAAGACGTCAGACCATCCGAGTCACCATTTCAGGTTCATCGCTTTCCATCAACAACAGCACGACAAATCCATTCATCCATCCGCAAGGCAACTACACCAACGGAGCAACATGGCGCGACTTGCTAGTGCCCTTTTTACTCTCTCGGTTCTCGCCGTGTTCGGCTCAGCCAAGCCACCCACCACAAAATCCGCCCTTGATCTCACCACCGAGATCTATGGCCCCCTGCGTTCCTGGAAACCAATCAAGGCTATCGACATTGACCCAAAAATGACTATCGACGGCAAACCAGTCAACGACAGCTTCATCATCGGCTACCAGCCCCCGCAGCTGAGCGCTGACGAGCAGGAGAAGAAGTTCGCCCAGCTCCGCAACCTGGTCGCCAACAACTCCGAGTCCACGCTGGCCAAGCGCGAGCGTTCCTGGTGCGGCGTCTCGGCCGACCATACCCTGGTCGCGAAAGCGCAGTTGCAGCCTTCCATAACCTACTTCTGCTACACCTCGCCTGCGACGGGCTGGTGGTACTGGTGGCCGAGGAGCTCCGATAACTCGTGGCAGCCCTTCACGACCAAGGACGGACTGCAGCGGCCGGTATGGTTTGGCGGATCCGTTAGGGCGGGCTACAGCTTCAGTGGCTACAACTGCTGGTCCGCCTTCAGCGAGATTTTGTATGACTGCTTCTATCTCTCGTACAGCCCCGGCGGAGTTGGGGAGGCGTATCCTAGCGGCTATGATGCGGTGCTGATGCCGCAGAATTTTATTTACGCTGATCACTAGCTGGATGATGACGCTAATCATCGGCTGAAGATTGGAGACGCTGGTGGTTTGGCATGGTGTGATTCACGTTTATAGGAGGAGGATGTTGTCTTCATGTTGCGTCTTGTACGAGATGGACATTTCAACAATGCTCCTCTCATCACAGCTCTTCCCCGCTAATTTCTTCTTTTGGAATTTGCCAATAGTATTCTACCGCATTCGTTGCTCTGTTTCAAGGGATACCAGTGTGAGGACTTGCGCTGCAATGCTGCTACTATTGTCATGGACGTAGGTACCTTGTCCTTGGGCTCGGGTATTACCGCGTACGCTATGCAGTTGTAACTCTTCCTTCTGTGCAGATATGGGCCGCCTGTCTCGTCTCTATATCACAACAGATACTTGCAATTACAAACCATCCAGTGCTACCGCCTGGAATCGTAATCGGCGATTGGTAAGTAATCAAGAGTGATGCAAGATCCGGCCGTGCGGTTTGAACACGGCTCAGAGCGGCGTCCCTGTTACTATTTTAGAAGGAATCCGATTCCGGTTGGAAAAATTGAGAAGCTGAGCAGATGTAGATAGGTACCTCTAGACATAATGAACCGTGCAAGAGTCTCTCACCTGATTAGATAATACACATATCAGAGAGAAGTTTCACTGCCTCATCAACTCCATAAGCACTGTCACCTTGAAGATCTGAGTACTTCGCTGGAAAGATGGAGAATGGCTTGCTGGTGGGTGTGCGGGGATGTGTGTGCCCTCGTTCAATAACACAAGTTGGAGCCAGGCTTCCCCGAATTCTGGCACACCACTGCACTGCACCTTATAGCCTCCGCGAGTCACCGTCCCTACTTAAGGTCTGAGGGCCAGCAGACTGCGTGACGACTTGGCCGGAGACCATAACATTTTTGATAACCGAATCCGACTGGAGTCGACCACTGTTAACCTACCAATTGGTCTCGTAATCAGAGGAAGGTAATCAACCTATACGGGAAACAGAACACCTCGGACATCAACCTCGGCCTTTCCTCTCGCCATCCTCATTGCTCTTCAGTATTACCCAACAGCGAACGAATCCATCCATCAAACTATGAGAGAAGCAACGTCAAGGAAGCAAACATGATTCGGCTTGCAACGGCCCTTGGGCGTTATACACTCGCTCTTCTCACTACGCTGGGCTCAACAGCAGAAATAATAACCTCGATCTTTGATCTTACACTTTGGGTCCACGGTTCACTACATTCCTGGAGACCAAGCAGGGCCATTGATGTCGATCCAAAAATGATGGTCGATGGCAAGCCAGTCCACGACAGCTTCATCGTCGGCCACCAGGTCCCGCAGCTGAGCAATGAAAGGGACAAGAGGATGAAGTATTCCGAGCTCTTCGAGCTCGTCGCCCAGCTAAACAGCTCTGGCGTTCCACCGCGGCCGCCGCCCGCGCTAGCAAAGCGCGGCGGCATCTACCCCCGATGCGGTGTGGGCGCCGACGACGCCATGGTCCCAGTCGAGCAGCTGCGGGTGGCCGTCCATGCCCTTGCTATAACATGGCTCCGCCGGTCGATGGGGTCTAGGGCATGATTTGAGCCCGGCGAGCGGCTGGTGGTACTGGTGGCCGAGGGTCTCGGACAACTCGTGGCAACCTTTCACGACCCGGGCCGGACTGCAGCTACCGGTGTGGGTTGCGGGATCCCTTTGGGAGCCCAGGGAAACGTACTATTGGTTCACATCCTACTGGTGCTGGGTTGCGTTCGAGCAAATCTACCAGTACCGTTGCGGGCTCCCGTGGAGCTCTGGCGGAGTTGGATCAGGGACGAGGGATCTTGGAACGGTGTTTCCTAGCGGCTATGATGTGGCGCTGATGCCGAACTGGTACGTTTCTAATGAGTGCCACAACGGGACCCGCGTGATGGGCTGCCCCCCGCTCTCAAATATAGGGCAGCCCATTGATCATCAGCATTAGCGAGAAGGAAACTCTGTCACGGTAATCCGTGACTTGACAAGGCCCTTCATAAATGTTATATGTACCTACGGAGAGTGGTAGCGCACCACGTGGTGTGTGACATTGGCAACGGGTGTGATACGAGGCCCAAAGTGTGGTCAACATGGCGCGATTCTTCTTGGTGTAGAGTCTCGGAGAATTCTGATTCATTGTGCTCTATCTCGTGACAACTGGGTGCTACGTTGTGCACACAGCAGGGCGAGCGTGAAAAGTGCCGAAGGAGCGTAACGGGGCTGGAGGTTCATATCCCCCTGATATTGTCTCACAACTTCCAGCAATGTACATCATAACGTCATAATCATTAACCGTCTATCCAGGCTCTATCACAGCCGCTCGCTGAGCGTCTCCAGCGACAAGATCTCCTCGGGCCTGAGACTCAACCCATCCGGGATCTTGACCATGCCCCGTCTAATCACTATCACACCGCCTTTCCCACTCATCACCGACACCGTCCTGGCCAGCTCGCCGCCCGTCTCCAAATCCCTAATGCTCCCACCAGCAGTACTACTCCCGCTCGACTCAACCTCCTCCTCCTCATCCCTCCTCCTATGCCTGACACTCTTCTCAAGTCTCGCCTCGTTCGTTTCAACTTCACCCTCCTTCCCCTTCCTCCGCCGCCAGTACGTGCCCGTCTCGCCGGGGCTCCACCAATAAAACGGAAACCTCCTCTGCACGTTATTCACCAGCAGAGCAACCCCCAACATCAACCCACACCCCAACAGCAGCGGCAACACCAAGAACCAGCCCAGCTTCGCGACCTCGGGCTCGAGCACGGCCATGAGCGCGGTGGCGCCTGCGGGCGGGTGCACGGTGCCCGTTAGCGCCATGAGGGCCGTGGCGCACGCGCAGGCCAGCGACGCGCCCAGCCAGCGGACGGCCTCGAAGTGAGGCGAGAGGGCGAAGAGCTTGCAGATCGAGATGCCCGTCAGGGCCGAGATGAGCTGGCCTAGGATTGCGTTGCGCGGCTGGGCGAGGGGGGATTCGATGGCGTAGAAGTCTAGGACGGCGGCTGCGCCCTGGTTTTAGCCCACATGTTAGTTTGTTGGTTTGGGCAATAACGTGAAGTGGAACTTAAAGGATGAGGTAGGGACGTACAAAACTCCCAATGATGGTGGGCACGCCGCGGGACTGAAATTCGGGCACGGCCCGTGCCACGGCACCGATGACAGCCAGGCTGCAAAAGACGCCAATGACGGCCCAGAAGATCATGGCCAGGTTCCCGAGCGGGTGCATTGGCGCGTGGGTGCGGTACCCGAGGAAGTGCGCGACAGAGGCGGGTAGACGGGGCATAGCGGACGTCGGGATGAAGGGGTTGAGGTACTTGTCGATGTCGAAATGCCACCGGGACAGCCCGCGGCGTGGCTGATCGGGCGCCCTCATGGCTGAGGTGAAGGTATGCCGTCTAGGGTATGCTGTAGATATCCAATAGGTGAATAGAAAAGAGCGAAGTCTCTTGGTGGGCTCAGGGCATTAGGAATGGATCATGCAACGTCGAATCCGATTTATTTGCAAATGTCAAGGCAGCAAAGATGAGCACAGGCCGTGTCCGTCCATCGAGAGTGCCGTCTGCAAGCAAAGAGAATGTTGAGCGACTCCAGGTTCCGGGCCCAAGTCCGCCGCGAAATGACCTGGGAATCGAGTCCAGAAGAAGAAACTCTCATCCTTAAGAGAGAGGTTGGCCGGGGCTTCGTTTAGATCCCGAGAGAACCCCATCGATGTTGCCATCATCCGGCTTGGTGGCACGACCGCGGCAGAGAACAGCGAGAAGCAACCGAAACACAGGCAGCGGTTCCCATGAAGAGGAACCCGTGACAAAGACATTGCAGGAGCAGCCAACGGCCAGGCGCTTGGTGCCGGTCGTGCCCCAGGATTTACGTCAGATTTGCTAAGAGAAACTCCCAATGCGGTATAGTGCGAGGAGGGTGTTAAAAGGTCAGTCACCCTGCTGCCCGAGATCCCTTGACGACTGGATCTTGGGCAAAGAATTTCCGCGGAGTATCGAGTTAGAAAGCAGATCTTGCTCGCTCGTTCGCTTTTTGGCGTAGTTAGTTCTGTGTTCGTTTGGGAAAGGAAGTGCTGGCAGTGGACAGAGCTTCTGGAAGGATGGAAACTTCCTTTCAAACCTGGTTGAAGGGTGGGCCTACAAGCTGGAGCTACTGGCACCTGTCAGCCACTGGCTGGCCGACCTGATGGGGCCCAGATGCCCCATTCGGCAGGCTGCTGCACACCTTTCCGACGATCCCTTATGGAGGCAAGGAGGCAGGAGGTACGGAGCTGCTCTGTACGCTAAAATTGCTTGGTTGGCAAATGCGGAGTTAGGTTGTCACTTCCAGCAGTTCATGCCCCTGTCGCCACAAAGCTTCAGTTGTCTGTTGGGCGACTCCGGTCTTCCGCCCAGCGAACATCTACTCCATCTTTTACAGACGGCTGGCCGCTTAGTTTGCAGTGGCTTTTCAACCCAGGGAGTCTCTCATCAGCAAGCTGCTGGCTAAGCCAGGCGTATTGTAACCTGTCCTCTGGCTACCATGACTGTGCCTAATCTCATCGAGCAGCGGCCCTACAATTCAACTTGGGCCGGTTGTGGTTGGTAAGCACAGAACTTGAGTATTCATAACTCTTCAAATCTCTATATTCCTCTTTTATCTTCTCCTACTTGTTATCTTTACTTTTGTTTGTTTTTGTTCTATCTTTCATTGTACCTTAACCTCATTCCTTGTTTTCCTGTTCTAGATTATTTTCCTATTTGTCTCGTGTCCGCCATGTGTCACGCTAACGGACAAACCGGGGCTGTATTACACGTACTTGCGCAGCATGAGCGAGCACCACGCACCTGAACTGAATCGACCTTGGCACTCATTACGTGCGGAGTAATCCATAATTCACCACCAGGCACCCTACCATCCCATTGCCGTCCAACATACATGGGGCCGATCAATCGCCTGCCACCTGAGCTGGTGAGCGGGATGATATGTGCTCATTTGGAGCCGGTTGACGTTTTCGCGCTGCGCCTGGCTTCAAGGGACTTGTGCGCCAAGTCTTTCGACCACCACCAAGCGCTTCTTCGCCAGCCTCCATCTTCTGGTTACCAGCGACATTCCAGCTCTCTTGAAAGGATATCTCGGCTCACCCTGAATTAAGCGCCCGGGTGCGCAAACCGTGGATCACATCGGCTCTGTTTGAAGGCAGCTACGATCTCCCTATCGAGCGGTACCTACCGAGGTGCTACAGAATCAGCCGCCCGTGGAGCTACAAGATCAACCGCGGCACCTCTGTCACTCCAGATTTCAAAGAAGGCCAGGCCTACTACGCTGCCTACAGAGCTGCTGTCGCGGACCATCTCAGCATAGCCACGACGCCCGTCTTGCGGCGTGCTCTGGAACACGCCTTTGAGCGGCTCCCAGATCTCAAGTCTGTTGGGTTGAGACACTGCAAAGCCTACAGAGTGCCCGTTAGGAATGGCGAGATAATCTGGGCTCGGCCGGATGTCAAGTGCAAAGGCTGGAAGGCACTGGCCGAAGCCGCAGGACATGATCCAGCCGAGGCGTGGTATGACGCTCTGCCGATGAGTCCGGGTACTCCACGCGTCAGAGCCCATGTGGTCTCGACCTTGTTGATGGCGCTAGTGACCGCGCGAAAGAAGATCGACATCTTGACATCTTGGACACCTGTGACGACTTCTGCAGTGGTCTCATACTCGGTGATTTTGGACTCACCAACTCGCAATGGGGATTCGATCCTCTACAGCCTGGCCGGGGTGAGAGACCTCCCTCCATCTCTGCATCCGTGACTGCACCAAACCTCCCTCCCCGGACGAACCGGCCGAATCCGTGCTCAAAATCCTCACAACAGCGGCGCCGAGTATCCAGACTCTCTGTTTATCGCTACAGCTCCCGTACGGACCGCAGCTTTTCGAGTGGACAGCTCAACGCGTCCAGTTTTCCAGACTTTCGAGATTCGAACTGTGGGACTTCCGTACCAGCCCGAAGCATCTCAAGCAATTCCTTCTCGGCGCTGCGCCAGCACTGAGATCCTTCAAATCGCGGTCAGCCAGACTGTCCAGTCCCCCCGGGCGGGCTGGGGGCAGCGAGGAGGATGCGGACGCCGCAAGCCAACACGCTCGGAGAGAAATTCTGGACTTTCTTCGGGACAACATGTCGTTGGAGCACGCTTACTTCAGCCTCCTCTACGGGCCGTCCTGGGACCGCGTCGTAGTTATGGATAGCCTGCATGGCCATAGCGGCTCGCACCCCGTCGTCATTCGTGCAGATGAGGCTTTTTTTCGATTCAAATTGGCAGAGGCCAGCTTTTGCGAGTGGATTGATCAAATAGATTTGACGGCTCCTGATTGGGATTCGGATTGGGAGGATTGTTCTGGCTTTGAGTTGCACGATTAGTCAAGAGGAGTCATGAGGCTCTCTGCAACAGTGAGGGGCAAATTGCCCGATATCTTGTGGTGGAAAGGGATGCGATGAGCTGCAGAATGCAGTGGTAGTTGGGCGGGTGCCGCACGGTGTTGGACGATAAGCCCCTCGGTGGTGCTGGCCACCGACGCTGATGCTAGGAGTCGGGCGCGACTCGGACTTTTTCAAGCACTTGCCTATTCTTGGTGGCGCATCACAGCCTAAGGAGAGTAGTCTTTTGTTTTATGACCTCATGACCGAGTGGCTCTAACATTGTTCGGCTCCTCCACTCTAGCAGTGGCAGGCTCTGGCTCTCCCCTCGGACACTTTCTCGTCGCCCGATCCAGCAAATAGATATCTCGCTCCTTGACGGGCCTTCCAAAGTCGGAAATCGGCCCAGCCGCCGCTACCAGCCTCTTCGCCTCTTCCACCGGCACCCACAAGTGGCCCAGCCCGTCGTCGATCTCCTCAGTCAGCGAGGGCTCCCCGCTGCCGTCTACCAGGTCGGCGTCGTAGCAGTACGACACTTGGCACAGCGGGTGTCACGGGTGGGCGCAACTGACCACTGCGTAACACCCTCAAAAGAGGGACCGTGGTTCGAACTGTCCAGTCGAACCAGGAGTTGCGCACATGAACCTCACACTGTGACGACCCGTGACAGCGGGATGCGGAACTCTTTGGTAGCGGCGATGCAGCCGTTGCCTCGGAGTTTGATGAGGCCGCCTGTCTCTACGCTTGGCGGCTGTCTTATGGTCTTCGCCGGGCTCGATCCCGCCGCCGGGAAGCTTGTAGTAGCTCTCCCGCTTGGCGTACAGGATGGCCACTTCGCCTTTGGCGTTGAAGGCCACCACATGCACGGCTTGACAGTCGATATAGGACACGGCGAGGCTCTCGGCGCCGATCACCTTGAGCGGGGGAAACGATGGCGCTGACATCTCGGGGAGGAGGATGGTTCCGCAGGGCAAGAGGTTGAGGGTAGTATCAATCGAAACACGACAAGTGACTATGAATGAGTCATGTTTGGCCTGCGGCGTGACGGTGAACCAGCATGGCAGCAGTTACGCCTCTTTTGTAGCAAGGTATTGCCTCTGCTCTCCTGACATGCTGACCGCCCAGCAAACAGTCACCCAGTCGATATGATGCTAATTCCTAGTAGTGCGTTCCACTTCCAGCCGCTACCAGTGTCATTGAACATGGAACCCACCAGCCCGGAACGTCTCATTCCTTGATTGCTTCAAAAACGGCAGCAAAGCAGTCCCTCCTGTCCCAGTCAATTCTGCTCCACCGTCTGACATCGCATCCCTCCCCATGGCAGACGAAGTCGCCCTCAGCCTCGACGATGCCGTCGCCAGGTTGACGCCCTGACTCCAGTTTAGCTGCCGCGACGGGATCACAATATACCTGGCCACAATCTGCAGGTGCTTATTCCTGAACTCGGCCAGCGACTTGGTCGCCATACGAAACGCCTCCCTCAGCGCCCGCTGCTCGTTACTGAACCGCTCCTCCTTCTCATCTCCACCAACCGCCATCAAAACCTCCCCCACGGCCTTCCTCATCCCCCCAGGCCACCGCGCAGCCACATCCTCCAAGAACCTCCGATGCGGCTCCGGCATGTAACCCCTCACCTCCTGGTGAAAGCTCACCGGGAATTTACCAGCCACCCGACCGTAATCATGACCATTCGTCTTTGAATCAGAGTCAGGACTCGCGTTCCCCTCAGCAGCATGCTCCACCCCAAGCACAACATCCAGAAATTGAATCAGCGAGCTCTGTCCGTTACTTCCCCCCCTCAACTGCCGCCACTCGCCCCTACCGTCCCCTTCGTCATAGAACACGCCCCTGGGCAAACCCGCGGCAACCATGTTCTTGCTGCCGGCCAGGAAGGGACGGATGCGGTGGTAAAAGACTTGCGGGCTGCAGTGCTCGTCCATGCGGTCTAACAGGTTTCCCAACTTGTGGATGCAGGTCGTCATTTCGGTTAGGGCTTTTGTGGCGGTGGGGAGGGAAGAGGACGAGATCCGTGAAGGAGGGGAAGTGGAGAGGGTGTGCAGGGCGGTGAGCATGACCGGAATGATGTAGGCCCCCTGGCTTTCCATGGCCACGGAGACCATGTAGAACCAGGACTCGTCGGGCGTGCCGGTGAAGGTGTGCAGCGCCTGGAGGGCGTCGAGGTCGCTTAGGTCGTTGGCGGGCGAGGCGGAGGTGAAGTTCCAGAGATTGAGAGAGGCGTAGGCGGCGACGGGTGGGATGCCTAGGTGGTGGGAGACCGCTAGGAGCGGGCGGGTTATGGAGGGGGGAAGGATCTTGGAAATAGAGGTGAGTTGTGATGTGACGACAGTGGTAGTGGAGGGTGAGAGACGTACCTCGGCCGCGGTGTCACCGCCCCAGATGTAGCCATGGGTAAGGAAGCCTAGCACCACGTATGCTCGTCGCCATTCTTGTTCCCTGGCCAGGTGGTCTGTTGACAAGATAGGGAGGCCGTCGACCTGTTGTCGGAGGGTTTGCTCTGCGATGGCGGTTGGGAGGCACTCTACCAGAGTTTCCCAAGGAGAGTAGTAGGGATGTGGAAGCCTCTTTAGCGGTGGCTCCTCGGGGAGAAAGCCATTGGACGTAATTGCGTAGTCATCCAGCAACAAGGGCAAAGCGCCGGCCTTCTCTTCTTCTCGGGCCGAGGTGAGTATTTCGCAGGGTGACATGGCGACAAGAGAGGGAGTGGGTTGTGGACGGGATCAAAACTGGTATGTGTTACTGCGACTGATGTGTCAGAAGCATAAGAGAGTGTTCCAACAAAGGTTGCGAAGCTGAGCGACGACAATAACTTATACGAATATCAGTAGCAGCCGCTAAAGTCACTTACCGGCCATTGTCCGATCCGTCGCCGACCTTGTTCACTCTATGCTTCCGCTCTTTGCCGCCGGTGTTGATGCCGGTTATCGGAATGGCCTGATGTCATCCACCAGTACGAAGATAGCGGCGGTGTAAGTCAAGCAATGACATGTCCCAAGATCACCGAACCAGGGGCCTATCCACACTTGACGCTCCATCACGGAACATGGGGGAGGGAGGGATCGTCGGCGTTGGCAATACTCTGCAAAATGGAAATGAGTAAACCAGACAAGACCTTTAACGCAGATCCACTTGCCTGTTTCGGCACTGGAGGACAAGATCGGGTGGATGTGCAGGGCACCAGTGGGCCGGGGTGGAGGAGCGGATGACGGAACACGGAACACGGAACACGGAACACGGAACACGGAAGTGGGCGGAAGAACGGGAAGAACAGGTGGGTCTCGGCCTTAGCCGTGGCCGCCCGGAGGCTGCCTCGGAGCAACAGGACTGGGGGAAATAAACCATTTTTGCGGTATAAAGGATGTCCAGGTTGGTGTTTTGTCCGACGCTCTCAATTGACTGCTTGAAAGAACCGGCATTCTCATTGCTTTGGGCAGCTGCGAACACCTGGCTTGAGAAGTTGTGTTACTGCTTGCAAGTCCACCGCTTATTTACAGCTTCCCCAGGCAGTTTGCAAATCGGTTGCAAGTTGCAATTACCCAACACATCATCTTCATCTTCATAGCCCCCTGCCTGCATCACCACACTTTACATCATCCTCCGTCGCGCTTGACATTGAGCTTCATTACCATGTCGTGCGATTATCCACTCCTCGTCAAGACGTTCCGGGCTGGCAAGAAGCCACAATTTCTCGCTGACGCGAAATCCGTCGACTTTGCGAGACAGCTGGATGCTCAAGACAAACTGAAGTCATTTCGGGATGACTTCAACATTCCCACCAAGGCCTCCCTGAAGAAGAAGGCACTCGACGGTAGTATACTCGGTGCGTCTGCCCCGTGTTATAAAGGGAGTTTATCGCTGACGTTTGTTCCAGGGGAGAAGAAGCAGCCTCCAATGGTTAATGGCGATGGCGACGGCGAAAAAGCAGTGAACGGTGTTTCTCAAAGCAGTGCCGACACGGACGATGACACCCCGTCCATCTACTTTGTAGGCAACTCGTTGGGCGCCCAGCCAAAGTGCATCCGGACACACCTCGATGCGCAGCTCGAGACGTGGGGATCCATCGGTGTAAACGGCCATTTCACTTCTCTGGAGAACTCGCCCCTGACAGCATGGCAAGACATGGCCGCCGACTGCGCGCAACAGTCGCTTGACCTCGTCGGCGCCGCGTCGGCCAGCGAGGTCATCTACATGAACACGCTGACGGTGAGCCTGCACCTGATGATGGCAAGCTTCTACCGCCCGACCGAGAAGCGGCACAAGATCATTGCCGAGTGGAAACCGTTTCCCAGCGATTCCGTATGTCTTGACCCTTTCCAACCCCACAGCCACCTCCTCTCTCTCCCGTGATGCTAACCCCACGTACAGTACGCGATAGCTTCCCAACTCCAATGGCACGGTCTCTCCCCGGAAACCTCGCTCATCGAGATCCACCCAGACCAACCCGGAACGATGTGCATCTCGACCGAGCACATCCTCTCCGTCATCGACGAACACGCCGACGAGACCGCCCTCCTCCTGCTTCCGGGAATCCAGTACTACACCGGCCAGCTATTCGACATACCCCGCATCACCGCCCACGCCCGCGCCCGCGGCATAACAGTGGGCTGGGACCTCGCCCACGCCGCCGGCAACGTTGAGCTCTCCCTGCACGACTGGGACGTCGACTTTGCCGTCTGGTGCACATACAAGTACCTCAACGCCGGGCCCGGGGCGATAGCGGGGGTGTTTGTGCACGAGAGGCATCACCATGCCGATGCCAATGCCAACCAGGATTCTGGCGTGGTGAACGGGCTGGGATACAGACATCGCCTGGCGGGTTGGTACGGCGCCGACAAGAGCGTGCGGTTCAACATGGAGAAGGAGTTCCGCCCCGCCGAGGGGGCCCACGGCTGGCAGGTGTCGAATCCGAGCGCCGTTGATCTGGCTTGTGTGCGCGCTGCCCTGGGCGTGTTTGGGCGGACCAGTATGAGGGAGCTGAGGGATAAGGCCGTTGTGCTGACCGGGTATTTGGAGTGGTTGCTGAATGGGTTGCTCGAAGACAAGGTTGGCATGGGGGGAGAGGGCCAGCCGGCGTTTCGCATCCTTACCCCGGCGAATCCGTTGGAGAGGGGGTCGCAGCTAAGTTTGTTGCTCAGGAGTGGGCTATTGGGCAGGGTGAGTGAGAAACTGGCGGAGGTAGGCGTGGTAATTGACGTGAGAAAGCCGGATGTGATCCGTGTAGCGCCGGTGCCCATGTATTGCAGATTTGCGGATGTGTGGGGGTTTGTGGAGGTGTTTAAGAGGGCGCTAGAAGAAGCGTGATAGACACCAGAACAGAGGAGCAATATTCTTCAAGGCCTGCAGCTCTGCAAATGACTTCTACTCTCGAACCTCAGGGGTTCAGAAAGTGAAGAAGCGATCCGACCATTTCCCTGCTGTTAGCGCCATTCCCATCCTTCCTAGTTTGATTCATGTCTGCATCAGCTTTAATGATGACATGCTTTCTGCCATCAACGACCGTCTTGTTCTCACTGTCCTGTGTGGCAACCAAAAGCTTGACTATCCCAAACAGTCTGTCAGAAACATTTGTTGGCACGAATGACGCCTTGAGCACGACGCCGTTGCCCAGATCAAGCAAGGAGTCCGGTTCCGGGTCCTGGATATCCAGCTGTCTGGATGCATAGAAACCTTCTAGGTTAGACACACCGTCACCGTTGACGAGGGCGCACCATCCAGGTTTCGAATACAGGTGGCCCCTTGGTGTGAGCCCAAAAGCAACAACCGCCGTCCCGAAACGCTGGTGGCGCCCAGAAATCGCTTCCTTGGCGGCACTTTGGACACTGATACGGGCAACTCCGGCCATAATATGAACCGGCTCGCGTAGGTCGGGAGTCCCAGGCATGCAGTAATCCAGATTCAATATCATCTGACAGTTGCCGCGGTTCCACCTCCTAAGGGGCGCGGCTTCTTCGATCGATAGTGTCATTGTCGAGCCTTCGATTGCCAGTGGCAGGAGCCAGAACGTGTGTATGGGAGCGTAGTATCTCGGCGTCCGGCCATCACCCTGCATCTCCATAAATTCCTCGGGCGCGGAGGTGAACCCGCCCCGGTGAAGAAGCGTGAGCGGGATGGTCACATATTCGACTTCAAACACCTTCTCTGAATCTCAAACCCTTCGTTAGTGCTGTGGTGTGTAGGGGTGGTTGTAGGCCCCCCACTGTGTGATTGCACTGATGATGCGGTGCTTACCATTTGCGACACTTTCAAGGATCACTTGAAATGTCTCTCTAGGGTTTCCCTTGCCCCATTCCTTGTCCCGAAAACCTAGGGGCTTCATCTGCCGTTCGGCCCAGTTGACCCCGGGATGGGCCAGAAGAGATTCCGGGGTGTACAGGGAACTTTGAGTCACAAGTCCGTCACAAAGAAGCCGAGTGTAATGCCGCGGGTTGCCCAAGTGTTGGCGCAGGATGATGGTTGGAAATGTCCCGGGGATCGGCCCTATCTGGCAGTGGAGGATGACTTCGATCTGGGAATCTCCTTTCGTTTTCTCCTTAATAATGGCCATGAAGGCAGTGGAGTTAGTCATCAAGTTGACGTGGCCTAAGATTGACCTCGTGATAGGCGCTTCTCGGAGTGGCGAGATACTCCCCGACTTCCTAAAACACCTTGGGGATGGGGCGAAACAGGATGGCAAAGTCTTCTTGCCGACCCAGTATTGCGACCGATCGTAGGGACTACAATACCATGCCAGTATGGATTGGTCGGCCGTGGCTTTCGCGATTTCCTGCTGCAGGCGGGCGAAGGCCTTTCCTCCCTCACCGTAGAGCAGGGGCATGTTGACATCGAACAGTCCCATCAAGCAATAGGCCCCGTCCTCCTTTCGAGTCGTGCGCCTTCTCGAAGCCCAGTACATCTTCTTGGCCACGCTGACGTCCTGGAGCTCAACGGCGAGACCGAGGACGCACTCGTCGACAAGACTGGCCCGGGATATGATGGGGAGGAGCTGTGGGTCCTTCTTCTCGCCGATAAGACCCCAGTCTGCGTTGTAGAACTCAACATCGTTCGGGGCGATGAGCTCTTGCAGCGTCCATCCCCTCTCGAACCACCTGCTGCGTTCGAGTTGCGTCTTTTCAAATTGCGTCCCAATACCACCGGCATGGACGTCACTGAGGTAGGCGTAGCAGACGGCCGAGTTGCGGTACCACCGGTACATGGAGTTGATGGCCTCGGACAGTTCGGCGCTGCTGGATTTGTCGATGCAACATGTGTCGATCCAGATGTAGTCGTAGTCTTGTCTTCTGGCCAGGGCGCATGCACCTTGGACCTTCGCGAAACCAGCTTTTGAGCGAGCCTTATCCAGGTCACCGCCGACCAAATCAGGGAAGATGACTTCCTCCTTTTCCCATGTGTGAGAGAGGATAGCATAGTCCGGCGCTGTGTCACCGATGAACTCTTCCAGCTGGAGAGTGTGCGTGCTGAGAAGTCTCATGGCGGCGAGCCCTGGGGCAGGAATTAATTGCGTACGATTCGCAAAATTGGTTGAGATGTGGGCGTTTGAGATTAGGTTTTGGTTCGGTATCCGTCCTGTCATCCTGTGGGCGGAGGAGCGGGCCCGAGAGTTGCGGGGGTCGTACGAGTACAATCCGACCCTGATTCGCTATTATTAGTAACGGCACATGACCAATCTAGGTCACCAAGAAAGGGAGCAAGCGGAGCAAGCGGATATAAACACGAAAAAAAAGAGGTAGGAAAAGAAGGGAAGAAAAGTGGCAGAGAATGGACAAAAGAAGGAAGGCCGTGTTATGCCATTGGATTTGAGTTAACTGCAAGCGAGCCATATTCATCGTATGTATCTTACTTGAGTCGAGATTGTTCAACCAAGCTACTGTGTACATCTACAATTCACATACCATATATACCTTTAACCCTGGCCAATATACGTCGAAAGGCGACCACATGCACACGCTCCCACATGGATACTCTTCCTCATGTCATGGGGGACCAACAAGCAGCCTTTTACCGCTCCGCCGGATGGCCTGGCAGCTTCTCCCGATCTCGCTCAGGGAGCCGCCAATATGCCAAACTCTGGTTCACTGAAAAGCAGCCTCTGCGCGGATCAACCGGGTGGGTTCACAGTGGGTTGGCCTTCCCTCGGAGCCGAGTTCCGGGCGGCCGCTTCACACACTCCATCGGACCATCGGGGTCGTACGGCAACCATGCAACATCCGACGCTGCAGGTGCCACAGTGCCACCGCGTAAGACATCGGAATATCCGCTCAGTTGGATTCGCTAACCGGACAGGATGCCTGGTTGTATATATTATTATTCCGACACCGCTGTGCCCTAGACTGGTTGTATATACTTCACCTCCTGTTTTGCCACCATTAGACATTTATCCTTCTTCTAGCCAGGCTGTTCCCTTCGTCAGGTAGAACTGAGACTCTACGCCATCCTTCTATGGTTGACCCTGCCAACACCGGTTCCCCAGCTACAGTACCTTACCTTTCGTTGCTACCCCCACTATGGCAATTAGACTCCCACCGCTCAACCCGGGCCACCTCCTCGCCCTGCTCATCAGCATAGTAACGACCCTCGCCATCGCCCACCTTCCTCACGCTCACCACGATACCTACCACTCATATGATCCTCCCCAGGATATCCAATCCCTAAAAGCATCCCTCTCTCCAACCGCTCAGCTCCTCCTCCCCAACGACCCTGCCTTCAAAACCCACCTCAACCACAGATGGAGCACCAACCCGCTGAACACCCCCAGTCCTTCCCTCATCCTCCTGGCAACCACCGAATCAGACATCTCGCACGCAATCCGCTACGCCAACGCCCACAACGTCCCCTTCCTCGCGACGGCAGGCGGCCACGGCACCAACGCATTCCTCTCCGATTTCAACGGTGGCGTGCTCATCTCCCTGCGCAACCTCACTAAGTTCGAACCATCCCCCCATGGCAGGACGGCAATTGTAGGCGGCGGGTTGCTGTCCCAGCAGGTTGTCGAGCGGCTGTGGCAGGAAGGGAAGGAGACGACCACAGGTCTATGCGGGTGCGTGTCGTACTCTGGGCCGGCTATGGGGGGCGGGCATGGGTTTTTGCAGGGGAGATATGGACTGGTAGCGGATCAGGTGGTGAGTGTGAGGGTGGTGCTGGCGAATGGGGAGGTGGTGGTGGCTTCGGAGGAAGAAAACGGCGATTTGTTTTGGGCGTTGAGGGGGGCCGGCCATAACTTCGGGGTGGTAACTGAGTTTACTGTGAGGATACATGATGTGGAAGAGGCGAGGAGAAATTGGGTCTGGGAACAGTTCATTTTTGAGGGGGAGAGGTTGGAGGAGGTGTATACGTTGGCGAATGAGATGATGGAGTACCAGCCGGTGGAGATGGTGAGTTGGTCGGTGTGGCGGATGGTTGAGGATGTCGACCCTGGCAAAGTGAGTCTCAGTCTGGCCCCGTCGCTGTCCCGGGGAGGCTAATAAAGGCTCATCGCACCGCCAGCCCTCAATCGTGGTCATCGTCTTCTTCAACGGACCACTGGAAGATTCCAGAGAGTACACCCAGCCGATCCACAACCTTGGCCCAGCGGCATACGCGTTTAAGGTGACCGAGTACCCGGGACTCAACGCTGTCCTGGGTGTCGATCTGAGCGGCTCAGAATGCCAGCCACAGGGGACAGCGCTGTTACGGGCGGCTGATGTGGACAGGTACGAAATCATCGCACTGCGCAACTGGTTCGAAACCTTCGGCAAAATGCTAGCAACAGAAGAGGGCCTTGCCAAATCGGTATGCATCCTCGAGGGGTACGGGGTGCAAGGGGTGCAGGCAGTACCTTCCGACAGCACAGCGTTTCCCCATCGCGACAAACGGCTGCTCCTGTAAGTCTCGCTCAACCCTGGTGCGAAACAGTCCTCTGCTAAGCCGTTGCCAGCGCCCCATCTGTCCAGTATGACATTGTCGGCAACAGCACCCTCGACCGAGAGGCCGAGCGTTGGAGCAAAGCTATGGAGAAGGCGGCCTTCGGCAGTGCCCAGAGAAGGACTTATGTCAACTACGCCTCGGGTGACGAAAGCTTACAGGCCATGTACGGGTGAGTGCAGTCGGTTTTTGCCGGTGGTGATGACACTGACGCATCGCAGGTACGAGCCGTGGAGGCTACAGAGGCTTCGAGCCCTGAAACGCAAGTATGACCCGGAAAATCGCTTCAGGTTCTTTGCGCCGATTGTCCGGGACGATAGGTCGTGAATGCCGTCGGGGACGATGGGGAAGGAGAGCGATAGCCAGATACACTCAGAGCGAACATGAGCGAGAACAGCGAAAACAAGTAGAATTGACTGGATCATGGCCACAAGGAGTCAAACATGAAGAGCCAGTCCTCCCAATAGCTCTCATACTTGCCCACGAGCCAACTCCTCCCATCGCCCTCGCCGCCAATCCTCCAGGGCCGCGTGTAGAGCCCATCGGTCCTGAGGTGTCTCTTCAAAGCAACATTCATGCTGAAGGAACTGGGGCTGACGCCGAAGAAGTAATCACACTCCAGCAGGACAATGAAGTCGATGAGGGCCTGCTGGTCCCAGGTAAGTGACTCCAAGGCTTGCAGATCAGCCGGATGCTCCTTCAGTAGTTCATGCTTCGTGAAAACAGCCATGCCATGCTGCGCAGACGCTGCGTCCGTCAACTTCCGAGCCTCCGTCTTATTACCCGTGGCGAGGTACGCCGCCTTGAAGCTCATCGCACTGGCGCGCTCCAAATATGCTCCGCTCTGCTCATCAAACTTGGGCCACCTGCTGAGCGCATCGTTCTCGGTTCGGAGGTGGAAGCCAGCGAAATAGCGAGAGCCGCCGTGCCGGGCAGCACACCGGCGCATGTAGCCCGCCGTCCGGTGCCCGAGATCGAGGATGTCCTGCCGGAACCGGAGCAGCCCACCGTAGGTGGCGACGAACTCTGGACCGTCGCGGAATACGGGCCAGTCCCATTGGACGCCCCAGTTGAAGCGGATGATGCGGGGGTGTTGGAGGCTCGGCGGCGGCAGCTTGAACTCGTCGGCGGTGCTGTTTATGTGTGCCCAGAACTGCTTGTCGAAACGGCCAGTATGCTTGTTCAGCTCTCTTTTGTCGCAGCCGCCCCTCTTACCCAAGTCCCGAGGGGTGATCTGCTCCGCCTTGAAGGGAACGGGGGCGAAGGGGATGTCGTCAGTCGAATTGTGAAGGGTAAATTCTGGGCAGGCCGCACGCAAGCTCTGACGGAAGTGCGTCTCGTCGAAGAAGTAGTCAAAGCCCCGATGGCCCAGCATAAGATTGGAGAGATCCTTTTCCGACCGAGTCCTGATCTGGGGGAGGACGATGCCTGCAGCGCCTGCCTCGATGGCGTAGCGGAAGCACGTCAGAATGTAGTTGCGTATGTTGCCTATGCCGCCCGAGTTGTTGTCGCAGACGAACACGATGCCGGGTGTCCATGAGGTGCGTTCCCTGCACACCCTTTCCAGTGGCCAGCCGATGAAGGGCGAGTCCGCCCGGGAGAGGTCGATGCTCTGCCGTGCTGTGGGGGGGCGGTTCTGGTTTGGAGCGCCTCCGACGTACAGGGACATCTTGGGCAGCCAGCAAAGCCAGATGGTCGTCAGAAATATCACACATATAGTAAGGAGCACACCGCGGGGCCGAGCCAGCAGGCCCGACGCGCTGGAGAGACGGAGCCCCATGGTGCGTCAAACGTCGCCTGGCTGTCTCAGATCAGATGCTGCTGCGCCGAAAGCCATTCGCGTTGCAGAGCCTCATTAGCAACTTTGAGGCGGATGGATGCCAGGTGAATCAATTGACGTGACCCCTCTGAGCGCCCTGTCGCAGGCGTCTGCCCCGATTTATCCTCGGAAGCACGTCTCCGAGGCCCAGCCCGGTCGGACATGGCACGGTTGGTTCGTGGCCTATGGAATCGACAAAGCCGGAGCGTGTGTGAGAGTATGTTCGACCCTCTGTCGTTCCAGGATCATACTTCCGACCTGATAAGAAGTTCCGTTGCTGCTGTCGATATTGAAATGATGACAGAACCTTGGAAGGTTAGGGACAGTGTTTTTCTGAGTTTTCGCTGGAACAACTGCGCCAACGTGCTATCAGTCGCTGCAGCTCGCTAATAGCCCACATGGAATAACGGTGGGTTTGCACGACACTTTCTTCCATGCTCAACAATGGCGTTTGATGTGGTGGTGGATACGAGAAAATCGAGCCCCGCATCCTGTGATAAGGGGCCCCACTAAAAAGTTCCAAATCCACAAAATTTGACTGAGAGTTTGCGACCAAGTCTGCCACCGCCTATCGCATTCACCTTGAAGCGCCCTTCAACACCACGCGCAGAGTTTGAGAAACGTCATGGTGAAGCGCACAGCGGACGAAGAGAAGGCGGCCGGCCCGCTCAAGGCTGGCGAGCGTCCCGACGCCATGGACGTCGACGAGAAGCCCAACGACATGGGCGAATTCGAGGACGAGTTTGAAGACGAGTTCGAGAGCGAGGACGAGATCATCGAGGCCGGCGTTGACGGGAGGCCAGATGCTGAACGAGAGGCCGAGGAGGCAATGGATGTCGACGCTGCTGGCGCACCAGCTACCTTCATTGTCGGCAGGACAAAGCTCGAACCCGGCCAGACCCTCAGCCCCGACCCGACAACATACCGCATGCTGCACAACCTGAGCACCCCGTGGCCATGCCTCTCCTTCGACATTATCCGCGACGGTTTGGGAGACAACCGCAGCGTCTTCCCGGCCACCGTGTACACCGTGGCCGGCACACAGGCAGACAGCGTAAAGACCAGCGACAACTCCATCATGGTCATGAAGTTCAGCGGCCTCAGCAAGATGCAAAGCGAGGATGGCGAGGAGTCGAGCGATGACGAGAGCGACGACGAGGACGCCGACCCTGTCCTCGAACACAAGAGCATCCCGCTCAATACCACCACCAATCGGATACGCGCCCACCAGACTCCGTCCCAGGACCCCTCGAAACCCGCGACGACGCTCACAGCGACCATGACCGAGTCGACCAACGTATTTATTCACGACATCACCCCCCATCTTGCCTCATTCGACACCCCGGGCACCATTATCACACCACAACAGAACAAGCCCCTTTGCACCATCCGCGCCCACAAGTCGGAAGGCTACGCGGTCGACTGGTCGCCTCTCCACCCGGCAGGCAAGCTGTTAACAGGAGACAACGACGGCATGATCTACGTCACAACACGGACCGACGGCGGCGGCTTTGTGACCGACACGAGGCCCTTCCAGGGCCACACATCGAGCGTGGAGGAGATCCAATGGAGTCCGTCCGAGGCGTCCGTGTTCGCGTCCGCGTCCAGTGACGGCACTATCCGCGTGTGGGACGTGCGCAGCAAGGGCCGCAAGCCGGCGCTCTCGATGCAGATCAGCAACGTCGACGTGAACGTCATGTCGTGGTCGCGGCAGACGACGCATCTGCTGGCGTCGGGCGACGATGCCGGTGTTTGGGCGGTATGGGACCTGCGGCAGTGGAAGCCGAGCGCGGGAGGCAGTGCTGCTTCGGCGCCGCTGCAGCGGCCGAGCCCGATTGCGAGCTTCGACTTTCACAGGGAGCAGATTACCAGCGTAGAGTGGCACCCGACCGACGACAGTATCGTGGCGGTGTCGGCGGGCGACAATACGGTCACGCTGTGGGATCTGGCGGTCGAGCTGGACGACGAGGAGAGCAAGGATACCGCGGGCGTGCAGGACGTGCCGCCGCAGCTGCTGTTTGTTCACTACCAGAACCTGGCCAAGGAGGTGCACTGGCACCCGCAGATACCGGGCGCCTTGGTAGCAACGGGCGAGCACTTCAGTGTGTTTAAGACCATCAGTGTCTAGGCTATCAAGAAATGTTGTTGAATTCGAATGTTGTTGAGTTCGGTTGAAGCCGCTATGTATGATACGTCTTATCACGAAAATCTGGCCCGCTCATTGACTCAGCGGCTTGGACCAAAGTTCTCATTTAAACCTGCGATATGCCCTAAAGTATCCCTCACGCTCACTAAGTACCAGGAGTTCGTTACAATCTCCCTGTGCACAACCCTAACGTCGTTCAACACCCCCATATTTTCCCCTCGATTTGATTTAACCTCCCTAATTTCGCAACCTCCGCATCAAACTTGGCCCACAAAAAATCTCTGCTCAACATCCCAACACACCCAGCCTACGACACAACCAGCTCCTCACAATCTCGCATTTCGCCCACTTACAGACGGCAAGTGCCCCTCCCACTCAAATAACAATCACCTAGAACGTCAGAACTGCTCAACCTTTTACAATCTTCGAGTATCGAACCGTTCAATCGCCCAATCACTGTTTACAAAGAATTCTTGCCTAACAAAACCCTCCAAATTACCTGATTTTCAAATAGTCGATCTGAACCGGGAGCAGAGACGAAATCGAAGAGATGGGCTTGAAGCCGAATCGAAACCGAACGAGCGAGGCTGAGCGGGAACGTCGGTCCCAGACGGAAGCGGATGAAGCAATCGATGAACGACTTGCCGATCGGTTAAGGTGCGTATAAGATGGGTTGGGTGACATTTTAGAAGCCGTTGAAAGGACCTAGTGTCACATATGATTTGCGTGGCAATTAGTTACCTGACACTACTAGACGGCCTGGTAATGCCTGGTTTATGCCTGGTTTGTTCGGGTTGGATGGTCGGCTGGGGAAGGTAGAGAATTACATACCTTTTGACGGTTTAGGTACCGGCGAACAACAAATGCTCGGAAAGGCGAGTTGAGTTCGCTAGTGGTTTGTCATGTGCGCTTGAATGGGGGGAAGATGCCGACGTGTGGCGTGTATAGTAATTGATTAATGCCGGAGACGGGGGGGACGATATCGGGAGGAGTAATCGAAGAAATTTCAGCCGTGAATGGGAAGATACGACAAGGGACATCGATGGATAGATGGAAAGGGTCTCCCGTGGAATCGACAGACGGAGGTGCCGCGAGGGCGAACATCACACTACCGCAAAGCATGCCTGCACGACCTACCATTCCGAGGCTCTCACTGATGCATCTTGCGTGTCAGCGAGGGTTAGCGACCACGCCGAAACTTACCGGAGAATACATGATGTTGCTCGCGGTCCGGATCGGATCGTTGGCTCTGCAGTACGCCCCTGTGTGGACCAAGTCAGTCGAAGTCGAATTGGAACGTCGGTGAGGGTGTTGTCACGGCCGGCGGCAGGTCTAGTACGTTCGAATCCATGGCGTGACTGGTCGACGGCATCAATACCAGCTCAAAGAAAAGATTGATGAGCCTAAGGGGTCTTTGAAGTAACACAGAGAGTTCAGGACATTCCATACAGGAGAAGAATGGAATTCGCAAAACAAAATTAATTATTGTTTTGTTTAGTTATTGTTTTGTGCTTTCTCGCACACCACGCAAAGTATTTGTAACCAGCGAGGTGGTGGCGACTGAGTTGACCACTATTTGGATGCCGTCATCATGCTGTCATCGATCTCAGTCGCAGCATTATTACATTGAAGCGGTCGGATGATTACGAGTCAGGCCAACAGTGTAGCCTGCGGCAATCTGTAGATGGGATTGTATGTGTTGCCAGCCAGCTCTGCAAGAAAATTTCTGTTACCATCGAGACCGTGTCACGAAGCGGGATGGACACATGCTGGCTGGAGCAGCTCAAGAACGGCCACATGATCATTTACATCAAGATCCTAGGTCTCTTTTCACTTGGGTTCGTTATTTTCGATTTGCTTAAAAAAAAAAAGCTTGTGACTTTGCTTGTGGCTCGAGCCTCAGATGCGTATCGACTGGTGCCGTGGCGGACTCGACATGATCTCCGAATCCTTGGTAGGAGATATCATGTGCCGTCCTAACACATACATACCTTACTTAGACGAGCTCCATCTGGAAGCTCTTCACCTTGATGGCACCCCCAAGCGCTTTGGTGGCAAAGTTGAAAACTCCGAACCTGTAACCCGAGAAGTACCGCCACGAGTTGGTCATTACGACGGCGGGCCCAAACCTGACGAAGCTCTTGCCTCCGTCGATACTGTACGCAAACGTCGTGGTCCGTTCCGTGCTCGTACCAAACGCTGGCGTAATGTCCGCCTCGATTATCAACCAAACGTCTTGAGTGTTGCTCACAGTCGGCCCAGTCGCGGCAACTCTCCCCGTTGAGCTGGTCGTCCATGTGCCCTCAGTCAACCGCAAGTCATCGACCACAACGATCTGAACCAGTCCGCCTTGCTTCCACACCCCGATGTACGCGGCCCGGTCCCGGAACAGCACGACCCCAGCCCTGTCGCCATCCTTCATATTGCCCACGTCCAGCTTGAATGTTCCTCTCGACTTGGGTCCGGCGATCCTCCGCGTGAGCGTGTTCCTCGCAGCAAACAGATTCCCCGTGACGCTGGCCGTCCTCAACAGCAACCCGTCGCCGTGAAGCAACCACTTGCTATCATCCGGGTTATGATTCCACTCCCAGTGATGGCTCAGCTCCTTTCCCTTGAACTCATCCAACTCGGTGCTCTTCCCCTCCACGGTCTTGCTTGTATGCACCGGCACGGGGTAGCTCGTTCCCCAGTTTCCCCGCGCATCCGTCACTACCTCAGGCCAGCCATCGCTCGTCCACCTCAACGGCGCCACCACCGGAATCCTGCCCCCGGGGTAGGCGTCCATGAAGGCCACATAAAACCAACTCCCGTCGGGAGTATCCACCATGCCACCCTGATGCGCAAACCCGGCGTTCGCTAGCGGCCCATTGATCCTCGACACGAGCGTGCGAGCCGTGTAGGGGCCAAAGGGGCTGTCGGTCGTCGACTTGAGCACCCACTCGGCGTCGGCCGGGCGCGTCACCAGGATGTAGTACGTCCCCTTGACCCTGTACATGCGCGAGCCCTCGATGGTGGTGCCGGCGGGCGGCGTGTAGACGGCCTGGGTGCGGACCTGGCGCAGGCCGTCGGCCGACAGCTGCGCCACGCGGATGGTTGGGTTGCCGTAGGCGATGTACATGGTATCGTCGTCGTCGATGAGCAGGCCGCTGTCGTAGTAGCAGGCGTTGATGGGCGGGTGGGCCTCCCACTTCCATTTGTAGGGAGGAACTTCGCCGTTGTTGACGCCCGCGTTGGTGCCGGAGCTGGTCCAGATGTAGGTTTGGTTCTGCTCGACGCAGCCGTACCAGTAGAACCGGTCATTGGAGCGGCGATATCGCAAGGTTGATGCCCAAATGCCTTTGACGTACCCGGCGGGTGTGCCCCCTAGGAGGTCGTACTGGGGGCCAAAGTTGAGTTTGGGGACAGAGTGCGTAACGGCGGTCCAGTTCACGAGGTCGTACGACTTGAGGACCGGAGCGCCAGGCGAGTAGGCAAACGTGGAAGAGGAGTAGTAGAATACGTCCCCGATACGGAACACGTCCAGATCGGGATAGTCCTCCCAGAGCACCGGGTTGTTGAAGGTTGCCGCGCGGGACGCGAGGGAGCTATGCGGATGTGATGCCCCAAGGCCGACGAAGATGGTTAGTAGGCAAGCAAGAGTTTTCATTTTGAGAGACTGCCATCTAGACATGCACAAGGATCTCTGTTGAGCGAACGGAGACTCAAGTTTGGGTTGGGCCCCAAGTTTCGCTGCGTTGAACTTGACCTGAATGTTCAGAGACGTCGAACGTCCCATAGCCCTTATACTATCTGGTGGTACCATTGGCTCCCAGTTGCCTCGGCCTCATGTTCTCCGTATTCCCGGTTGATGGACAGACTTCCTCATCTTTATTGGCGCAACAATTGGGAGAATGAGGCACAATGAGCATCCAAGTTGTGATAGTTGCCGATCCGGGCAGTTATGTCGTATTCCTATCAAACCAACAAGCGCACCAATCGTGAATTGTCGGATGAATGTCTCTTATGTACTCTATCTTCCCGGCCCTGTTTCGCCGTCCTAATCCCAAGCTTGGACACACCAATGGAACCCTAAGGTAAGATTCAGCAGCATCCTACTGCGATTCGCGCGCTAGAGACTCGACTTGCTATAACAATGAGATTTGACAGCCAGCGAGCGGGGGCCGCCCCAAGACTCTGGTCGCAAATGAAGGCAGCATCCGCATCGCGTTCAACAAACGTTCGGTTTAGAGTCTAAGGCAGCTATTGGAACGAGTTGTCATTGTTTTGGGGTGAAATTTTGACCAACACGAACCACCCGGGGACTACTGAAGCCCTGCTCCCGCATTCAGGTTGCAGAGAACTTTACCATTCGAAGTGAGATAGCCCGACAACCTGTTACCCTCTCGCGTTGCTGACCAGTGAAGTGCAATTTCGGTCGCTTGGCTTGCCGAGAGTATCGGAGAACAGTCCTCGCACTTGATTCGGCCACACAGCAGGCCCGAGTGCGCTGCTGCGTCGGGGCGGCTACCACAGGCCGACCATGATGCCCGGTTCGTAGCCGGTGTAGGCGCTAGGGAACTTTACTAGCGGCCCGAGACCGCCCTGCCGCTCCTAGTCACCTCGGGCGATGTGCAGCCGATGAAGAACTAGCTCGCCCGTACTTCCTAGCGTCGTGGAGCACGAGACACTCGGTACACGATACATACAAGATATAGTATTAGCTAGCTATAACATAATTCACTATTGACTCGGATACCCTATTAACTCGGATATACTTTCCGGACTTTGCCACTTTAGACTGCTAAAAGTCGACTAGAATCTAATATAATCAATTGAAACCAATCAGAATCACTTAAGCTATCTATTTCTCTTGTAACGGTCCAGGAGTATATTGCAGCTAGCTGGTGACGACTCTACAAGTTTGTCTCGAATGGAGAGAGAAGAAGAAAAAGAGTGTAAGACTATGCAAGATATATGTGTAACGGGCTTGGCCCGTAAAGGCCTCGGCAAACTCTCGGCCAAGACTCGAGATTCGGTGGACTTCCATCTTGTTCGATATCGGCGCACAGGCCAAGGATGTGGAGGATAAGACGGCAGGTATCTTGCATAGTGTTTCACTCTTTTTCTTCTTCTCTCTCCATTCGAGACAAACTCGTAGAGTCGTCACCAGCTAGTTGCAATATACTCCTGGGACCGTTACATCTGCCGTCTTATACCTCCACATCCTTGGCCTGTGCGCCGATATCGAATAAGATAGTAGTCCACCGAATCTCGAGTCTTGGCCGAGAGTTTGCCGAGGCCTTTACGGCCTCAGCCCGTTACATCTCTAGCCTCCGAATACATACTTATATTATAGCCAGTCTTATGGCAGATGCTCTAGAGCCGTAAACCTGTCCCATGCCCTTTCGATGGCACTTCATTTTCCTCTTTAACGCGCTTGTCAGGGTTCATAGCAGAGACCCTCCGAGGCCCTAAGAGAGAGTACTTAAACAAGTGGTTGCGCAGCAATTGTCACGAATTAACTAACAACGGGCCGCATGCCAAAAGGCCATATGCGGGGCGCAAGGAACGCCCGAGCAAAATCACTTAGGGAAGCAAGGCAGACCAGTCAGGATGAAGCTAGAGTGCTATAACGCCAAGACAGACGAGCACATTGCAGCATGCAAGGTGCTCGGAGCGATCGAAGGCATAGCACTGTGAGCACTCGAAGAATCGTGGCATTATATAGTCACTCGTTCTAAAGGACTCTGCGAGTTCTCCAGTAAGCAACTCAAGTGCAAGATTGTCAGTACCCTTAGACATTGCTTGTTGCGAACCCTTTGGCTTCACCGAACCTCACCCCGTTGTCAAGTATAACCTTCAGGAGTCCCTTTCAGACGTTGGGGCTTGAAATTCATCACAGCAATGCAACGATCGGTGCACTGGCGGATCTTTTGGTCTAGCTGGCACAGGGTTTTACTGTGCAGCCTCTGACAGCGCTCATCCTCTTGCACTATACCCTTCTCTGCCATTTCCTCCATAGCTTGGCTTCCATTAATAGCCCCGCCATTCTGGAGACACGTCCGTTTGGCTCTACAGCGCTTAGAGGGTGCTTTATTAGCCTCCTGAAGTATCTGTACTTCGGCCTCCAAAAGGGTAACACGATGGGAAACCGCTTATATTCACTTCAAAAGCTGGTCAACAGCGGCTAAAATCGGACTCGGAGAGCTTCCCTGGTATCTCGCAATTTGATATTAAATAAGGGTAGACTGCGAAGGAGCCTCGTTGGTAGTTTAGGGTATCTTAGAGACCTATAGTATTCGTGGTCCATCAGGAGTCCTAAGAGGTATTAGTATTCGCAACTTAATATCCAACTTCGAAAGTACAGCCTATAGGTTATAGAAGATAAGTCCATCCTCAAAAACCCCTAAGAGGATTTTCTTAGGTAAAATTCTAATAGAAGGCAGATTTAAATATAAGAAAGAACTTAGATTTAGTAATATATATAATCTACACCTTGATAAAGAGCTTGATTTTAGCACTATATATCTTTATAAAAACGCTAAAACAATCAGGATCGAATACGTAAGATAACGACGAGTAGGGAGGAAGATAGAGTATTATATTATTATTATTATTCCTACACCGCTTTGCCCTAAGGCTCGCTAGACCCTGTCACGACAATCGCGCCGTGCCTGCCAGGACCCATGGGTGGGGCCCAGCGTGTAGGCCCCTGCGGGTTGAAGATCCTGCACCTCGCTGCCGCGACTTCTGTTCGTAGCTCCTTGAGCTACGTCTTGACAATCAAGCCTGCCCGTACTTGACGGAATAGAGCCTAGATTGTAGCTTAGCCCGAATATAATTGTCATTGGATTGTCCGCCTGTCCCGCCGTGACAGATCCTCTACTACTAATTACATAGGAAAACCATACCTGCAAGGCTGGACTAAAAACCTCTGTCTCCCCTTACCAGTCTGATGTCCTGAATCTACCTACTACAGCAGAAAGAAGGCGCAGATAGCTAACTAAGCCATCGAACTAGCCTAGTTCTAGCCATGCAGCTAGTCTACACTTTAGGAGCCTACTAGAGCATAGTAGCCACCTAATCACCTTCCTTGCAAGCCTTCTCTCTTCGATTCCTACCTCGTCGAGAGCCCTATATAAGCCTCTCTACAACCGTATCTCTATAGCCGGCTAGGTCCTTAGCTTCGGTGATTGGCAGCACTATACAGTTAAGTGTTCTACTATTCCCTGCCCCTGCTGCATTCGCAGTAGGTGGTATGTATTTGAGAGACCTTGGCCCGGAAGAGGAAGTCTTTTAGGCTTATAGCCCCTTTTCTGGCCTGGGTTAGTGAGGACCTCTCGGCATTTGTAAGGCCCTCATGTCTTTCTAGTGCCCTTTTATCAAGTTTCGGCTGGTAATCGGCCGGTTGTACAGTGAGTAGGGCCTGATTCCAGGCCCTATACCGTTGTAGTCGATTGGTGATCTCCTGGGCCCACCTAGCCTCCCAGGCCTTATTGAGAGTCTCTGTAAAGTCCTTGCCTTAGGCTCTTAGGCTGCAATAGCTTCTATAGCTTCTTCTATTGCTAGAGGTTGTGTTGGCCGTCTGGCTCTTTGTAGCCCTTAGAAGCAGTTGCGAATTGTCACGGGATTCCCCGTTCCTGTTCTCATAGTTATGTCATGCTTGCGGTTATGCATACGTCATGGGGTCTGATCATACGTCTATGGTTATGCTTACGCATAGACCTCTGCTCCAGTACTTAAGGTCTGGTTGCACGCCCATTCCTGTCATCTAGCTCTTGCTCTCGTTGTATCAATATCGATCTTGTATATGCGAGCTGACCAGTTGTGGGGCCTGCCCCACCGCCTAGAAAGACTCAGCCAATCAGACCCCACCAAGGCGACGAGGATATAGACGACGACGACGCTAACGACGATAGCCTCGACGGGACTACCCCCGTCCACAGGGCTGAAGGACGAGACGATAGCTGAGATGGCTGATGGATACGGTGAAGGCAGACCATCAGGATACAGCATACTATATGGTCGACGAGTTGATTGGACGGCTACAGAGGCAAAGATCAGAGATCGAGGCCCTTGAAGCCGCTGCTGCGGCCACGGCCGCGGCTACGGCTACGGCAGCAGCTGGTTCGGAGGACCTCCGGAAGACTGTTATAGAGGCTGTGGCGAAGGTGGTGATGGAGGAGGTTGGGAAGGTGACAGGGGAGCTCTAGAAGGAAACATAGGAGTTTAAGAGAGGGGGCCAAGCTATATCGACAGCATGGTCGTGGGCTACGGTTGCGGCCCAGGACCCCCCCAAGAAGGTTATACCAGGAAGGCTTTGCAAGGAGGTGTTGGTTCGAGGTCGACGGAGCCATCATTGACGAGGAGGTCACCGCAAGAGGTGGTCCAGGCGGTCAACGGGGCATCGGAAAGGAAGGGGGCTATTGCGACCCGGAAGCTCCCAAGTGGCGACGTGATCGTTAGTTACATTAAAGGATGCAGAGACGAAGGAATGGCACGAGGGAAATAAGGAGTGGGTTAAAAAGGCCTTTGGGGAGGCTGAAGAAGAGAGGAAGAGGTCCTTTATAGTCCTTGCGAAGGGGATGTTGAAGAGGGACTTAAAGGGGGTGGTAACAAAGGTTGAGTTTGGTAGGTCGATTGGACTATCGACGGTCGAAAGAGTCCGGTTTCGGATTCCAATGAGGGAGGGCGTTATAAGGGCTACAGCTTTAATCAGCCTGGCTAGCCAGAAGGCCTGTGAGAAAGGAGTCCTCTGGCAGGCTCAACTATTCGACTGTGAGCCGTACTGGGGGGCACTGCAGGCAACACAGTGTTATAAGTGCTGAGGATGGGGGCATACCCAACGGTTCTGCTTGCGGAGGTGTGACGAATCTCGAAACCCCAACTTCTGAAAGGAACTCCTGAAGATTTTTTTTGACAACGGGGTAAGGTTCGGACCTTCGAATTAGCCCTTCGAAACAAACAACGACGACATCAGCCACTACACCAGATGCAGAACATTACATTCCAGGGGGTGCAAGACCCAATGGAGGAAGCCGACAGTGGCTTCCAAGAAGTGGGAAAAAGGAAGCGGCCCCGGGGTCGAACCCCCGGCTTCGCCAGATCCCAGGAGGGGGCAAGAAAGAGATCCAAGGCAGGGAAAGCTGACCTTTTGCGATGCGGGTTAATACGACACTGGCCGGCCAAGGCTAGGAGGGAGGCATGCAGGGAGCTGAGTAGGCTCCTTTGACTTATAGAGCGATGAAGTCTCCGAACCCGATGGCCTGGACGAACGGCATATAGGTTTCTCACCAGTTAGGGTCTCCCAACACGGTTTTCCTATATAGGCCAGCTAGTAGCAGGACCGGCGCACCCTTATTGGGTATAACGGCGTAGGAATAATATATATATCCGTAACTTCTTTCTGTCTTTCTTCGGAATAAAGAGGGCCGGATATCCTGCTAGCGATATCGAAGGTTGAATATATCTTCGACGAAAGTTTGTCTCCAGGAATCTCCGTAACTTCGCGTCTTGCTTCTCGTTAGTCTAGCGTACCTAGAACTTTAACTAAGCGCCATATTGAGCTTAATCTCGTAGTTTTAAGCGTCTGTAATTTAGCAACCCTTCTATGATTTTTGCTTCAAACGCTAGGTGTCCTCGGTGTTTATCCGGGATCTGCCCTGTCTTATCGTCCTTCCTTGTACTCTTTTATTACGAGAGCTTGTCGTTTCCGCCCATGACGACTTCCGCTTCGAATCAAATGACCTATTCCTAGAATTCGAGTGTTCCGTGGTCATTGATCGTGATGAAGTTTATTTCTTTATTCGCTCGTCAAGTCTAATCGTATCGTACATTACCCGGTCTAGATTGCGTCGTTAATCATCTACTACTATTCGCTTGCTACGGTAGGTCTATAGGCAATGTATCGTTGTATATACCGCCTATATGTAGCTCCTCTTCTGTGTATTCTCTGTCACGAATAAGCCGTGTGCAGTGACCTGGCGGGGCGCGCAGGGAACGTTCCGAGCTAATCATTGAGCACAGTGGCGCAGCCAGTCACACGAGGAGCCTACACCCTCAATTGCGCTCTAAAGAATGAGCGACAGGAGCAGTCTTTACTCCGGTCGCCCCTAAGGACGATAGGAGGGGGAAGCTGTATATAGACAACGATCTCTAGAGCCTATAGGTGCTATAGTGGCCTCCTTGGTAAGCAATTCAACTGCGATTTTGTCAGTACCTTTGGACATTGCTTCTTGTGAACCTTTGAGCTTCACCAAACCTCATCCCATTGTCGAGTCAACAACCTTTTCGAGTCCCTTTCTGTAGTTAGAGGACCGAGATTCACATTCAATCGGTTTAAATACGACGGAGTTTCTCTTAGTTATACGTATCTAACTCCCTTCAACTAATGTCAGGGTCTTCTTAATCTTCGTGCTATTAGTACCAGGAATTGTATCTTTCTTTGGCTCTATATCTATAATGTCGAATACTACTTGGATGGTTGTTTCTTTCACATCAATATCGAGTAGTTCTGTCTTCCATTAGACCAATTGCATTCTAAGTAATCCTTTAATGGTATATGACTCTTAAGTGTCTATGGAATTTATTGTTGGTTGGCGAATACTAGTAACGTAAGGTCGAGATATAATCGTCTATCCACTAATGCTACTGCCCAGATCTCGATTTAGCGTGCTGTAGCACTAGAGCTTATTATCTAGTTGTTTACGTTAAATAGCAGGTATCTCAAAGTTCTTCTACTAGGGTATAGTAAGAGTAAGCCTATCGTTTATAGTAGTTCTTCATGTACTCCCCGGCTTATTACTTCCAGTATAGTGTTAAGCGTCGACGGGTACCTCAGAGGGCCTAGAGCCGTTTTCAAACTCTATCTTAAGTACTGAGAGGTATTCCGTCAGACTCTATATCAATTGTAGCCGGCACTTGATACCCTTGGAGCTATTGCCTACTCTTATATTCCTACTGGGAGTCCAAGACCCTCTTCTTCTAAATCGTAAATGGAGGTACATCCTTGTATTAGGTCTATCGTTGGAGAAGTAAGCGATTTTCTCCTTTGTATTGTTATTATTATTATTCCTATACCGCTATGCCCTAGGGCTTGCCGAACCCTATACCACTAATTACAAAAGAAAACCCATGACTGCAAGGCTGGACTAAGAATTCCTCTACCTTTCCTATACTAATTTGCAACTTTGAATCCTTTCGCTACGGTGAAAAGAAAGAAATAGGTGGCCCACTGAGCTAGTAAACTAGCTCAGTCCTCGCCGTGCAACTAGCCTATACTCTAGAGTCTCCTAGGTCCTTAATAGCTACCTATTTATTATGTTCCGTGCAAGCCATCTATCTTTGTTCCCCCATCCGTCAAGAGCTCTACAGAGATCTCCCTGCAAGCGTTCTTTGAAGCTGGTCAGGTCCTTAGCTTCGGTGGTTAGGGGCTAGGTCTTAGCAGCTATTTTAGATAGTGCAAAGTCGTGTGTTTTCAGCTTTCGTTTAACGGCTTCCTAATGAGCCCTCTAGTCTAGACTCCAATTTGGCTAGGCCCCTAAAAACTGGTTGGACAGCGCTGGTTATATTGTATTAATGCCTTCTCCTATAGGGTGAGCGAGCTTAACTAGGTTTGGCTACTACCTTCGGCCTTTGTTGAAGTGGGTTAGCTCGCTCTTTTCTCTGGCGAATACTATCCTTCTGGATTTAGCCCACTGTAGATTGATTTCTAAGCCTCTTCCAGTCGGTGGCAGTTAGCCTAAGGTCCTCAGCTGAAGGCTAGAAGGTTAGTATCGTCCGTAGAGCCTACTATAGCTATTGCTAGGTGCTTGTCCTTCAAAGCCCTATAAAGGGAAGCAATATAAAGGATGAATTAAACCAGGAATGGAGGTTCTTGCAGCATCCTAGCTTTGATTGGTATAAGCTCGGTAGCTTGGCCGTCGGAGTGGAGAGAAGCCTCGCGCCGTGTCAGCTATGCTCTGACCTACCGAACTAGTCATCCAGGGAAGCCGTAGGCCCTGCCTGGAGGGTATCTAGTAGCCTCGCATGGTTGATTATGTGGAAGGCTCCAGATATAGTTACAGTGGGGTTCCAGGAGTCTGTTAGCATCCCACCCACTTCAGACGTCTCCTCGACGCGTCCAACACCCTCCTCGAACTCTCATCACCACAACTTCCCCATATGGCACTCAATTTAACCAATTTGGGCCGCATTTTTAGCGGCTTATCGCAAGAAACACGAGGAATTGAGCCCTACCGCACGTGCAGCCATTTGCGGTGCGGTCGCAGCTGGTGTTAGCCAACGCACGGTGGCAGCCGCGTTCAGCGTGGTGCATGTCGTTGTGTCCAAGACTATTCAACGCTTTACAACTACCACATCCTTCGATTCCAAGCCAAGGATCGGCCGGCCTCGGGTTCCCAGTCGACGAAGTAAGCGGTATATTGTCCAGGTAGCTAAGCGTAATGCCCGGCTTACATATAACAGCTCCTTAATGTCCTAGACCAGAAGTTGTAAGCTCAATGGGTCCGTCGTGCTTCTGCGACCATAACAACCGAAAATGGAAAGCATTGAAGCAAATAATACTTACGATCGAGGTGGCAAAACTCTAACTATATTGGTGTTCTGGCTACCGTCGTAGAGGTGGATGATAGAGTTTGTCAATCTCCAAAAATCATCTTAAGGTCAATCAATGTCACGGGATTCCCCGTTCCTGTTCTCAAGGTTATGTCATATGCTTGCGGTTATGCATACGTCATGGGGTCTGATCATACGTCTATGGTTATGCTTACGCATAGACCTCTGCTCCAGTACTTAAGGTCTGGTGGCACGCCCATTCCTGTCATCTAGCTCTTGCTCTCGTTGTAGCAATATCGATCTTGTATGTGCGAGCTGACCAGACCTTGGGTGGTGCCCGTCACAATCAATATATCTGTTATAGTATAGGGTGGCATCCAGAAGGGCGGAAGGACTGACCTCGTCATTACAGAGTGTAACCACACGGGCCCCCAGAAGGGATGCTACCGTTCTTGGAGCTACCAAGAGGCTCTGAGAAGGTCTCTTACCAGTACTGATATGATGGATAAGGCATTTCCAGCAAGACAATGCCAAGGTTCACGGTCTAATTCATCAATAGAGTGGCTCCTCGACAATGCAATTGAGGTCTTAGAAGACTGGCCAGCCTATAGTCCGGACTTAACCCAATTGAGCATGTTTGGGCGCTGTTGAAGCGAGAGTGAAGGAGCAATACCCTAATATATGGGAACTGAGAAAAAGAAAGCTGGATGTTGATGAGTTTACACATGTTCTTCAGGAGTATTGGTGGGCGATTGATCAGGTTGAGATCGACCGTCTGATTGATTCAATTCCACGTCGGCTGGCTGCAGTCAAAAAGCTAGGAGTTGGTACACTAGAGTTTTAGCAATTGGATTTAAGGCTACAATATGTATTTGCAGGCTCGCTGCCTGGATTTTTGTGCAATAAGTTATGGTTCGTTAAATTAGAGGTACCAGCGCTGAGTAATTCGGGTGGTTGGGGATTTTGGATGGGGTGGCGACAAAACTTTGGGGCCCCACTTTAGCAAGGGACTATAGGAGGCCCTAAGAGGCCACTATAGCCTTGTTGTCGGTTCTGGAGCATTGGAAAATGTAATAGCCGCTTCTACATCCTCTGCGAAAACTATCCAAAAGCTAGTGGGTGAAAGGGTGTCCGGCTTATAGGGACTTTGTAGGGCTTGCTCAGGGCCAGTTGTACAGTGGGGGGCCAAAAGTATCCGAGCACCCCACCTCAATTAAACGCGAACTCAGCGCGTCGCGACCAGCACGGTTTCTTCAACCTTCCACAACTCCGCCAAATGAAGCTCAATTTAGAAGATTTTGCGGGCCAGCTGACAGCAAGCCGCAGCCGGAACCAGGAGTTATC